GCCAAGACTCAAAATGCGTAGTTGCTCCCATTTTTTGTCAAGTTTCGTTCAAGCTGTCGTAGGAAGGCGCTGCTACTGGAGAGTGGCCTGAATCCTATAGAATTATTACAATTATAGCTGTATGGTCTTCCGGCTCTGATGAACTCTCTGCTTCTTATGATTGGTTGGGTTTTGGATGGTGAAAATGTAGGCAAAGCGCTGAACCAACACATCTGATATTGCTGCGTAGCGAAGTTCGAACGCGAATCTACACCGTGTGAAGGTCGCAGTATGCGATTCATATCGATAGAAATCGCTCGTTTACCTACAAATAGTGGCCTCCTGCGGCACCAAACAAGATGTCCTCAAAAGAGCAAGAATATGGCCACCATGACTTTGACACGAAACCAGAAGCATTGAGCTTTTAACCGGCACAGGCCTCAAAATACTTACCGATGTTGATGATAACTTAGATGATTACTCTTGTTGAGAAATAAACGCAAATCTAATCTACAATATTCAAATTCTCGAAAACGACATAATTACAATTGCAACTTCACATCCGTAAAGTCCATTTCAAGCGCCTAACGTGAATTCGTGACCATCTTCCTCAATATCCGTTTCCTCGCCGTTAAACAATAAAATCAAATCCTGGATATCAAGGAAACAAAGGAAAAATCAGTTATCAAATTAAAAGCAGCACTCCTAATGAGTTACGCACTTCAAGAGTAAGACGTCCTTCATCCTTTTTCATCTTCAATACACCACCATCAAGTGCAGCAGAAAAGATCTTTTGCTTCTTGTGTTGCAATTGTTGAATACGGTCTTCGATACTATTTGCGATCGTAATACGATTGACGAAGACTTCCTTCTGTTGACCGAAACGGTGCACACGATCGATAGCTTGGTTTTCAACTATGAACGCAAAATGAGAAATCATGTAAGTTCATTCCGCTTCTCTTTTAGCATTGCGTTAGGGCAAATGCGGTTTGCTAGTTCTTACGTGCAGGATTCCACCAAAGCTACAAGTTGAAAAGGAAACTTAAGTAAAGGCAGAGAACTACGTCAAACCCCTTTTCATACGTACGTCAAGAAGAATCACTCGATTAGCACAAGTTAAGTTGAGCCCCAAAGACCCACACTTCAGGGAGATGAGTGCAACAGTGCACTTAGGATCATAGGAGAATTGCTTGATAGCAAGTGCACGTTGCTTTGAGCTCATGCTACCGTCGTACTAGAGTGTTGGGGGAAAGGTTAGCGAGCTCACACCAGCGTTCGACACTCAGACAGATACTGACAAGCTAAGCGAATATCAGAAGCACTCACACGAACAAACTTGTATCCCTTATTACGTAGAGGTATTTCAATCAAATCTAGCATTCCAACGAATTGACTGAAGACTACAGAGAAAAGTATGAGATAATCAGCATGTAGTGGGAGTTTCTCTCCTCACATCAGCAAAGACATCAGTACTTACTAATTGTCTTGTCACCAGATCCAGACGCACGTACTTCATCCAACACTTGAACAGTTCGGTCAATTTTGGCAGACGAGACAAACTTGGTTACGAGACTTTGCAAGACACCAAGTTCATCATCATCTTCATCGTCACCATCACCATCATCCTTCTTCTCGAGTTCAGGATGCACTTCGAATAAAGTCTTGACTTTGATCAAGCTGGAAGGATTTACGGTACAGCGACATTTGGGGCAGTTATTGGTTCCTTCACCATCAAAGAGTTTGGCAATGCAGTCTGTACAGAATACGTGACCACAGACAGAAATCAAACTGGAGCTTTCAGGCATCATGGGACTGTCTAAAAGCGAGAAGGAGACGAGCTTTTCGTGAACAAACATGAACCCAAAAAATTCAGATCCGCTTTACCTAGACAGAAACCACACTCATCACCCATAAAGTCTTCATTCTTGAGACGTTCATAAACCTTGTCATCCAGATGTTGAGCAAGAGTTTGTTCATCCATTGGTATTCCATCATTATCTTCTGCATCCCCACGAGCTGCATCTGCACGAGCCAATTCTTCTGGGTCACCCTTCTCGAAACTATTGGCGACGAGAGAAGCATGACAGCATGCTTGACGGAGACGAAGCAACAAGACCAAGACATTGGTGTAGTTCTTCATAACAGTTCCCTAAACTCAAGTCAAAGCAAGGAAGAATTAACATCGCGATAATCAGACTTTGGGTCTACTCACAACACACTCACCCTCTTGACATAAGTGTTGAACTTGAGGCGAATGCGTTTCTCAAGGGCATCATAGAATTGACGTTCAGGTGTGGTGAATCTAAAATACGGCAAAACCCACGAGGATGAGAAATTTGCACAGTGTCTTTGTACATTCTGGTAGAATCAGCACGTACACTTGAGCATCCAACAAGACATTTCGAGGAGGTAGAACTGTGATAGGTTGACCGTCAAGTTGCATGTCTTTTGTCCTACGAAGACACATAGCTGGTGGAGAATCAGAGGCGTTGAGCAGAAACCAAGAATGGCGGAGTCGTTTTAATAGTTTCAAATGCAAACCTTTCAAGATAGCATGTACCCGCTTGAGTGCAGTCTTGTGCCTTCCACGTTTGAAAGGATTCATGACCTTTTCCCGGAATTCATCCCTACAAATGTTGTTTCGCGTGAATGCCAAGAATCGCTGCATTGAAACCAAAATGCCAACCACATACCAGTCAGCATAAGGTGGGATTCCAAGAAACGAGATCAATGGGTAAAGTTCACCAATGTTGTTCTGGATTGGAGTACCTACGTTCAAGGGCAAATCAGCAAAAAGACGCTAGATTTATTTCGTTATTTATAGCAGACTCACCAGACAAACACCATCGAAATTGTGACTTGAGTTGTATAGCAGCTCGAGCACCACGAGTGGCTTTATTTTTGATTGTTTGTGCCTCGTCCAGGACCACACGATAGAACTGAGCTTTAAGCAGAGGACCCTTTGGAAAGCAAGGAAGGCAATTGAGATATTTATGCAGAATAAACAATCAACCAATGAAATTACCAATTTTAACTTGATTTCCTCCTTCTTGTGCTCTTCTTCTTCACGCATCTCATTAAACTCTTCGTCATCAGCAGCTTGACGGTCTTCTGCAGTGAACGCAGCAGTCTTGCCCTTCCTTGTCTTGGCTGGTTCAGGAAAGTCCAATGCGAGGATTGAATACGTAGTGATGACTATATCGTAGTCTAATATGTCTGAGACCCTCCTGAGTCGATCACTCCTTTAAAACAATTGAAAGTCCTGTTTAGCATCAAAAGCTCTACAACTGAATTCAGTAAAGCATTTGAAGCTCACCCATGATGTACGTAAACTGAGAAGGTACCACGTTTCACTTTCTTGCTGATTTCGTCTTCCCATTGAGTGATGAGAGACATGGGCTACAAAAAACAAAATTGATTTGAATTTGTGGCCATTTTCAAATTCAAGTAAACGACTTACAGCAACAATCAACGTAGTCTTTCTCTTGTTGTCTGGAGATGGATTGAGACAACACAATGCAAGAGTTTGAATAGTCTTTCCAAGACCCCTGCAAAACAATGGAAGGAGTCAGCTCATCATAACTCAAGATTGCAATAGACAGAACTTTGAAGAGCAAACTCCAGCGTACATGTCATCAGCAAGTATGCCGCCCTTATTGGATCCACGCTCCATATTCAACATCCATTCAACTCCAAGCTTTTGATGTTCCAGCAGGGCAATCTTCATTTGTCGAGGAGTTGTAATACGTTCATCCTTTGGTGTGATGTCTCCCTGATCAAAGTTTTTGAGCAAGTTGACCAATTCTTTGGCAGCTCCGAGCTCATCAAGAGGCTTCTCAACAGGTTCTCCATCTTCACCTTCCTTCTTTATGGGAATTACATTGATATATACATTTGGCAACCTTGGTTGAGGTTGGGGCATGACCTGATTTGGTTGATGAACATAGGGTATAGGCTGTTGAACACCTGGACGGTGACCAGGACCGAAACGACTATATTGTTGACCTGGCTGATAGACATTAACATTGGGTTGAGCGGGTATGGTGGGTTTAACCAATCCGTTGAATGTCGGAGCTAGGCCTGTCCCTGGAACAACTGCAGGATTGGAGCGAGCTGCTGCTGGATATTGCCCTGGTAAAACTGGAATAGGAGTTTGCATCGGAGCTGGAATTGCTATTGTCTTCGGAGCTGTACTACCAAATGTAAAGACAGGAGCTGGTGTCAAAGTAAACGAAGGTGGTTGTGGTTGTGGACGTGGCGGTGTAGTCAAATCGATAGCAGAGGAAGCACCTGGTCCAGCCATTTGTGCAGAGGCAGAAGAGCGAGACACCTGTATATCCTTCTGATTATTAAAAGAAAAGGTGAGATGAGGTTCTACTAATGCTGCCTTGGGGTTTGGGGTCTTCTGTTGTTCTTGTTGCAACGAGAATGATGCAGGGTTGCCATTCATTTCCTTGTCAAATTCCGCCTGTAATTTCCTTGCATACTCTTCATCTTGTTCTACAATCCTCCTCCGAGCCCTTCTAGCTAACTCATATCTTGCATCACGTGCTACTCTAGATCTATAATCGTCATCCTCTTCTCCATTTGCTTCTGCGTTTTCTTCCCTCTCAATTGCATTATTTAAATCTTGATCAGATATATCTTCCATACTACCACGTACACCAGAAGTAGATGGTCCATTCTTCACTGGGTCATCGGCCTGTGAAGTGAATGCAGGGTGCTGAGGAAGTGCTCCATCGAATTCCTGTTGTAATTGCATAGCATAGAGGGCGTCGGCTTCCTCGAGTTGCTTGCGAGCGTCGTAGTAATCTGCATCGTCGTAGCTTCCATTAGCAAATTGAAGTGCCAGCTAACATAGGCGGTAAGCATCTCCAAGAAAAGCAACAAACTCTTTGAAAGTAATGGTTACCTGACGTGCGTATGCTTCATCAGCTCTACAAATGAAGTAGCATAAGTGAGTACATCAAGGTTGGCAAAGTTTGGACGATCAATCTAACAATCATTCAGTAACTCAACGGCAAACTTACGCCTCCTGTTGTTCCCTGGTGAGGCCAGTAGTAGTATTATTGGACGATGATGCATTTGGCATCATAATAGGCTCATCCTCTATATCGGTATCTTCATCGTCGTCATCATCATTCTTCATCAATCTACGTTTGGCAACTGGAAACAGTGCAGTAAATACTGCATCATCCGCATCATCGATTATTCTCTTTGACATGATCTATAATAATTGCAGTTAGAAATCAGTCTTCTTTTATAGTAAATTGGCTCTTGTTCATCAGCTGGAACAACCTCAGGACAAAAATGACTGAAAATTGAGGCTACGCTTTGGAGAACAGCATCGAAATGAATAATGACCTACTTGTAGAGACCGTCTCCAAGGCCCTCTATATGGGACAGTGTATGGATCCTCGGTATGATGGTGTTTCTTTGCTGGGGTTCAAAGTTGCGCTGTAAATCAAACAGGAAAGTGACTGGTATTTTCAAGCAATGGGTTTGATAACATGCCAACGATAATTTACGTGATTTTGCGCGCCAAATAATTCTTTCATCGTGATTTCAAAGTAGTTCTCTTTGGGGTGTCAATCGGCTCTTCACCAGCACCTCGACAAGTTCGTCAAGTTCCGAGTCAGCAATATACAAAAAGGAGAAATGGAGATAGTGACAGTCGTGCTCATTGCAGTTGTCATAATATTCTTGATTTCGCTGTTCTCTAACTGTAAGTCCGTACAACCAACTCCAGGCGTATTTTTTGTTCAATTTCGCTTTAACACAACATCTACGCTAGCCTCGAGTGCTCCGATACGGCCTGCATCTAGCATTCGCACGGCACCACCTGGGCGTCCATATACTGGACGGAGGCATCCCGTAGATGAGAATCAACTCAACGTTTTGGCATCTATGTTTGAAGGACAGCTACCAAGGGAAGCCATATCTGAAGACTTATCACGGACTGGTAGTGCAGACGTAACTATTGAAAATATACTAGCTGGTCGAGTTGAAGCGGTGAGCCAACCAGCTGGTTACCGTACACTTTACACCTCGCTGACTCGTCTTCCTGAAATTGTGCCCAGCCAACACCTGCTGCTGCTTCATCTGCCAATGTAAGAGCACCTGTTGGTGGATCTAGCGTGCGGATTGCTGATTTGGTTAAAGAGCCTCCACCGACGACACCAGTGAAGGCTGAATGGAGTTCGACGCCCAAAGATCGAGAAAGTAACCTGAGGAGTAGAAAGGCACAAATGCTGTATGAAGCTCGGCAGTGAGTAGTATCTCGGATCTATTTCAAGGGCCCCTACTTACAAACAGATGTTTCTAGGAAGCTACTATCAAAGAACAAGGACTAGCCTTATTTTAAATCACTGTACATTTGAGTATTGACCTTCTTGGGACTCATACTCGCTTCTACTACATACATTCTCTTTCAAGTCATGAACAAGAAGACGGGTTTTTTACTACTTTTGATGGAACTTTGTATTTTTGTGTACAATAATGGGTGTTGCTTCTCCTTAGCTAATCCTCCAAACATCATCATCATGACATACCACAGAATCTAGCAAATTATAGAAAGGGGGGCAAATTATAAACAACGACAAGACATGAAACTTTTGACAAGTGAGTAATATAGATTATTGAGAGCCAACAACGATCTCAGGATTCAGATGCATTCCAGTTGTTTTCTTTGGAGATCTTGTTTTTCTGGAAGAGGAGGGGAAAAGCATTTAGGAAGATCCGTGAATTCGTTACAATTATAAGCATTTACCTCGACGATGAAGGTATCTTCCTTGTACTTTTGTGTTTCTTCATAGGCATACAAGTACTTCCAACCAACAATCGTGCTGCAAACGTTGCAGTTGATGTCTGCGACAGTATGCAATCCAGTAATCAAGATTCGATCTTCCTTTGCTCCAACAGTCACATTTTCACTAATAAGGAGTATTTTGATCAGCTAATAATAGATGGGGTTTCCAACAGAGTGGAATAAGCTGCAAAATTCTTTGGTGCAATTTTGAGAAATCTGTTTTGTAGAACGCAAAAGCACCTGTTGTCATATCGCCACAGTGGATAAGCCAACACAGGAAGGCAGTAGTTCGCAGCGTCAAACGTATAATCTCAACATTCAACATATCTCTCCCCCATTCATTCACTACCACCTTCTTCAATCAACTTCTTTTTCAGCTAACAGCAAAACCCAAACTTACACATTCTTAAACAAGTATGCTCGACCATGTCTACCTTGAAATGCCTAAGTAAAACACAATAAACTATTGAGCTTACACCGTACTATGCGTTTCATGTCGGGCGAGCTCCACCAAGAAAAAAATCGTCATGTTTGATGCATGAAACAACGGTGGTTGTATCCGGTCGGTGAGGAATAAAACGGCATCATTCGTTGCTTTTGATGTCGAAAGATAATAATACATACCTTGCTTATAATGTCTTCATGCTTTGCGAGATGAGTGTTGCATGTTGAGCATGTATACACACGGTCGCTTGAAAGGTATACCTGGAACAAGCGTCCCATCTTGAATGCTTTATATGGTGAGTTCTGATGATGCTCGTATATGTGTTGTCTCTGTCTCTTCAACGGCTTGGGAATATGTCAGTGTTTTTTTGGAAAAATCAGGTGACGGGTTATGAGAAATCGAAGCTAGGAAGGATCATTGCCAGTAGACAGTACTTGACTTTTCTTGAGCTTTTGCACGTGCTACTTTCATAACTCTCGTTGACGCTGTGGTCGCCAACCCAAGGAAGCAAAAGGATCACACTCGGTGCTCAATGAGACTGCAATAAACCCATTTTATATTGAGGAGCTCAGATACAAGATCAATTGGTTGCTTCCGATCATTTAAAACGCGAATTTTCGTCCTACTTCCTTACGTCGTTTCCGTTTCTGACATCACCGACACATTCACAGACACATGCATCCTCACTTCCCCCACTTTGCAACCACGTCCTCAAAATACACCTTCATGATGTTATCACAGTATTCCACGAGGTTCTTATGCTTCAACACAAGATCTCGAAGCTTATTGTCCGGAAAGTGTGTGCAATACAAGATCGACGAGATCATTCCAAATACACTGCAATCATACGACGAGATCTGATCACCAAACAAATACTTCTTGCTTCCTAGATACACACTGACTGCGTCAATTGCAGCATCAGCGAATGACACTACATCCTCCCAAGAGAAACGTCCGAATCCTTGACCGTATAATTGCTTTATGGCACTAGGACGTGCGAGATAGTTGGCTATGATGTAACGCATTGGTGCTGGCATGCCACCAAAGATTACATGTGTGGTCTCAGCCCAGTTTGGTTCGTGTTGCCATCTTTGGTATACCTTTATGTTTGAGTCCGGTGTTTAGAGGGGTTGATTCTTGGTATTGACAAGCTTTTCAGACGGTAACTTACTGTAGCCCAGTAGATGCGATCTTCAGCAAGAGAAAAGAGTGCGGTTCCAATCGCAACTTGCTCTTTGGTCAAGTGACTGTCCAAAGATTGAGAGACGCCATTTCTTTCCAGGTATCGAATGATGAGTGATGTGTCGCCCACAATGTCCTCGTTGTATTTAATATACGGTGTCTATTGTTCGAAGGAAGAGATGTAAGAGACAATTGTCCATATGTGAAACATACAAAGGGAGCGGAAAGTTGCTTGTCCAGCAGTTGCACCACGTGGGTTTACCTTTGAGCGTGGAGCTTTTGTACGTTCTGTGAGCTTGGAAACATACTTGACCTTGCAGATTCGTAAGTATCTGGTTCAGTAATGAGAATAGTGAGCGAGTGAGCAAAAACACGTGTGCTCAGAAACTAAACATGACGAGAGATGCAAACACCATCCAAAATAATAACATGCTTCCAATAGTCCAAGATCAATGCAATCTTAACTTACAATTCCAGTTTGGTCACATATGGAGACTACGTCAAAATTGTAACATTCAAATGTTGGTGTGGAACAGGAGAGAAACCCAAAGAAACAAGACTACAACTTAAAGTACCATATTAACTCCACGATAATGCTCCACGGAAACCTTCGGAAATCCGTACAAGAACACAGTATCCCGTTCTTCAACTGGTTGAGGAGCTGGTTTCTGCGGCTTGCCTCCCAAGACGTAGAGGCTACCAACGACAGCGAGGCCACCGAGAGCAATTGCTAGCACAGCTGGGTTGGCTGTAAGCTGTTTCATCAAGTCAGACGACGACATCTTTTCAAAGCTTTTGGATGTTTTGAATGCTTGGTGCTGAAAATGGCAGCAGTGACTGCAGAATGCGGGGTGACTGAAGGAGAGGATGAACCTTTCAAGAAACCTTTGCGAGCTGGTAGGAATGGAACGAGCGGGCGAGATTGGCTACTGTATTCCAACTATACGATCACCATGATCACAGTGTCGTGATTCTCAATCTGAATGCTAGTTTCTTCTACAGAGCAGACATCTCAACAATAGCGAGGGCAGCAATGGCGAGTATATGTAAGTATTTCTATTCTACACGAGCTGATTCAACCCTTCATAAGACATCCGTGGTCATGAACTTGAAGGGAAAGAACTGTTTGCGGCAATTAGAATTTCAACGGAATAGCAAGTTGGTCAGCCATTCAGCCATTTTAGATACTAATCGTGCACCAAAGTACGATGCAGACTGCTTTATTGTACGAACACGAAGATCAGCGTGATTGAATTGCTCGCCCAACCAACGCCGCAAGTGTTAAAATGCAGATTCAAATATATGATTATAATTACCACCGAAAATACATGTCCACTATTGTTCTTCTTCCAAGGATTTTATCCTGGCTTCCATTTTTTCGACATGCTGACGACTCATAGAAGCATTCGTTTTGAGAGCAACGATTTCAACACGTAATCGAGATGTTTCTGATATTTGATCCACTAGAGCAGCTTCCAAAGCCTTGATCTGCATAGATCATGGGTAAATTGAGTTATTTTTTGCTTCAGCTGAAAATCCTTTGGTGCTTACCTTTTCAGAATTCTGTGCAGCCATTTCCAACAGCGATGCACAAGCACGTCCAAGTAGTTCTAAGTCGCTTTGCACTTGCGTTTTCGTTGATTCTTCCTGTAAGATCAAAAAAGTTAGCAAAACCATCTCATGGCATGGATGTGCTTGCTGTGTCTTGACGGCTCACATCTTGATCTCCTGCATCTACTTGATCCTCCTCGTCGTCATCACTATTCATACCAGGTGACGGTGTCGACGGAATAGCATCCTCTTCATGTCGACTAGAAAGCACTCGTGTCCGATGCGACGGTGTTTTACTAGTCTCGTAGTCCATCAATTCAGCATCTAAATCCACCACATCATCACGTGGTAAATTCTTCAGTGACGATGTTGGAGACGGTGTGTTGAGTCCTTTAATTCGTGACAGACTTGGTGATGATGGTATTGATGTGCTTCCTGAAAAAAAGACATATTGTCAATCATAATGACGGGACGTTGCAGCGACTTCCTTGACACTCCGTCAACCACGATCAATGTACCTTTAAGAAAATTATGCGTTGAAATCTGCCTTGGGCTATACTTTTCCGAAGCATCTTTGCGTAATTGTGTTGCTTGGGATGATAGTTTTAATGCCGAAAGATCATGCACAGTTTCCTATAAAAATGGAGCAGATCTGAGCGTCAGTACATCGTATAGAACTCTAAAATAAAAAAAGGATCTGACTAAATGCACGTACATCCCATTCCTTCTTCTTCTTTAGTTTGGATTTCACACTTGCTGATGATGGTGAGCTAACACTGTGAGTGCTTGAAGGCGTTCCTTCTCGACGAAGCATTGTATGTTGAGGCTAATTCTTGAAGGAATTATGCTATATAACAAGAATTTGGAGTTGATGCGATATGGATCTGCGCAGTTCAACCTCTGAAGTGATGCAGCACAAATAAACCTGGATTGGCAAATGATTCTTGACTTCAGAACGGCCATAAAATGTATAGTTGACGTAATTAAGCGTCTTCCGGCTTGGATCACACTGGACCTATTGTAGAACGATCACAATATGCTGCAACCGATATTATAATTTACATAGGTGGCTCACAATGACAATAATTGAGATATCCACAACACATTCGCCATCACGTTCAGCCCGACTTAGTAGGTCTATCGCTGTGCAAGGTCGACAGACCGAAGGTGCTAAGTTGAGACCACACCATCTTTGCACCATTCACTAAACGTATCAACCCCTTTTAACCACCTCCTTCGGTATTCCATATACATAATGCCTTCTTCTGAGTCTGACTTATACAACGGCTTCTACTTCAGACACTCTACACCTACTCCTCCTCCGCAGACTCACTTCTTCCACCTTGACACACAATCCTCAAAGTACTCGGCCATGATGTTATCACAATAATCCACCAAATTCTTAGCCCTCAACACACTGTCCCTCAGCTCATTCGACGGATACTCCTTCCAATGCAGTAGCGAAGAGATGATTCCAAACACACTGCAATCATATGACGAGATCTTATTACCAAACAAGTATTTCTTGTCACCTAGATACACGCTAATAGCGTCAATGGCGGTATCTGCAAACGATACAACGTCTTCCCATGAGTGCCGACCGAATCCTTGGCCGTATAATGATTTTTTGCAGCCAGGACGCACGATAAATGTAGATATGATGTAGCGGATTGGTTCTGGTATGTTACCGAATATGGCGTGTTGGGTTTCCTGCCAGTTTGGTTCGTGTTGCCACCTTTGGTATGCCTAATGAAGTTGTGTTAAATGCGGTTGCCAGTACTGACGAGTTTTGATGAAAACTCACAAAGGCCCAGTAGATACGATCTTCCGAGAGAGCCAGTAAGGCAGTTCCAATCGCAATTTGCTCTTTGCTCAAATGACCATCCATCGAATGCGAGATACCCTTCTCCTCGAGGTATCGAATGATGAGTGACGAGTCGCCCACAGTGTCTTCTTTGTACTTGATATAAGGAACCTTCAGGAAAGAAGAGATTTAGTGCCAATATTCCAGAATACAGAAGCCGTGTGAAGTAAAGTAAATGGCTCTGGGGTCTGAATGTGACAAAGTTGATGTAGTACCTTTGAGCGTGGAGCGTTTGTATGGTCTGCAGGCTTATAAATATACTGGATCTTGTTGCTTCTTAAATACCTAAATAGTGGGAATGGTAAGGTTGTAGCATCTGTAGTTTATGACGGCGATAGCTTCACATGGACGCGACGACATGCTGCCCAAAGTTAACGCCATATTCAGACAACCATGATAAATACAATTTTTAACGCCATATTCAGACAACCATGATAAATACAATTTCTACTCACAATTCCAGTTTGGTCACAAACGGCGACTAGTTTAAACGCGAACGAAAATGTGTTAGTTTCATTCTGCATGTCAGCGATGCAACTGCTGCAAGTAGAAATAAAAACTTCAGGCAGCTTACAACATTGACTCCAACAAAGCGGTGAATATCCTCCATCGGAAAGCCGTATACGATCACAGTATCTGCGTTGTCATTTTTAGATGGTTTCTGTTTCTTCGCTCCAAAGAGAAGGAAGCCACCAACGACAGTAAGGCCAGCTGCGGATATCGCCAGTATAGATTTGTGCTCTGCAAGCTTGATCACCCATTCAGACGACATCTTGTCGTGAACATTCAGATGCTTTGCGTGCCACTGCGTAGTGCGTAACATAATAACACGTAGAAACAAGAAGAAGACTTGTAAACTCAGGGTTCAGCACGTCATTAATATCCATTAAACAAGCATAAATCAGGATCTACACCAGAACGACCATAGTCTTGCTATCGAGAGTATTATTTACGTAGGTATTTCAAAACAAGCCATTAATAGATCTTTACATTAGAATCAAGATATTCAGTCTCAGTCCAAGCGACTCAAAGCACGACTACCGCCTATTACAGCCTCGACAGACCTAGAACGATCAAGCAAAGGTCAGCATTCGCCGGTGCGTCACCAAATCACGTAACATACCAACAAAATACAAGCAGCAGTTGCTGCAACACCCGTTAAGCCACCAAGAACTCCTCCGACTATAACGCCCGTTGAAGGACCTCCACCGCCAGAAGTGGAGTTCGATGCGGCAGAGGTTGATGTAGCCAGAGGCACAGCAGTGGTTTGGATAGATTGTTGTAGTATTGCAATCGCAGGACTTGTAGGTATAATAGCGAGAGGTGCATCTGTTGTAGGAGCTGCACCGAAAATAGCTGCTGCGTCAGTAGGAGCTATCGATTATGATGAGAGTCAGCACGTTTTTCTGTGGGTAATACGACAACTCGACATACCTGGCGATGCATCCGCCGAGGGATCTGGCGATGGGTTCACTATAGGATTTGGTGAAGCCGCAACAGAAGCCACCACTGACGGTACGATAGAAGCTGCAGCTGAAGGCGTGACAGATGCTGGCAAAGGCGAAGGACAAGCAACAGTAGAATCAGGCAGTGTTATTGCAGACTAGTAAAAACACCAGTAAGAGTTCCAATCACAAGATGAAGCACATACAGCCTGCTGAGCTGGATTACCTCATCACAAGACTGTACATAAAAGTTTGCCGTAACTGCCAAATCCGTGAGCGTTGGATTCATATCCGGGTCGTAAACAGTCGTGAATCCAATATTGGAGTCGGCGCCCAGCGTCGAGACTTTGATGATGAATTCCGGCAATGAGGTTGTAGTCACTTTGGCGGGGTCGTACTCGTAGGCTAATTGTGGAGGCCGTTGCGATGAGTCCCTGTATCTCACACGCCAATGAACAAGGAAGTACTAACCAACTTGCAAGCTAAAGGACCAATGGCTCGAATTGTGAATTGGTCTGGTACAGTCACCAAGGGTATAGTTGGTTTGAACAATATCATAGAACGAGTACAGTTCAATGTTGTTCAAGCCGACTGAGCAAACATGTTTGTTGGTAAGTGTATAAACTAGAAGACCTTCAGAGTTTACCTGTTGGTGCAACCAAAGATGGGTTAAAGATAAACTCGCTTGGTCCGCTGCCTCCATCGAAGTTGATGAGCATATTCAGAAAGATTTCAATGTCATTGAGGTAGTAGGCGGTATATGCGGTGGAGTTGCTGGGGTCGGAATAGATGGCTAAGAAGTTATAGGGGTTGGATTTCAGAAATACGGGGCATGACAATCTTTGACACAAATACCTTGTGCCCAAAATCCCATCGCGTTTGGTCCAGGTAGAATAGATGGTGAATCGGGAGCCCATGGATTCGAAAACGACAACACGTCAATCTCAATCGAAGTAATCGTGGAGTTGAGATTGGCAACTGTCAACATCAAAACGTTCACGAGACACGATCGTTAAAAACATTATGCGGCATCAGCTCCCAAACATACTCGAAAATGACTCTGTAGTCCAAAACGGACTGAACTGAATCGGCCAATTCAATCCATAAGTTGGAGGATCGGCCGTATATAGCAGATTGCTTCCCGACGCAATAGTATCTAACGCAATCAAAGTCAAACACCGCCATTTCGAAGCATCACCAGGCTTCAGTTTATCTTACCAAATACCGATGAATTCGTAACATATCCAGGAGGAAACTGAAAGAAACTAAATGTCGTCGAATTCCCACAATCTCTCGCTGGTTCACTCAAGGCTAGCAATTGCCTTGGAAGGTCTTGGAATGTCAGGGTGAGAGGTAGAGACACTATTTCCAAAGTAAACTTGTTAATGAGTTTCAGTCAGCGTCATCAGTAACAGTGCAATCGACGCATGGTAAGATTCTATTGGTGATGCGTTGTTTTACTTACCAGGTGTACCCAGGATGGGTTGAATAGCATTCCAGGAAATGATTCCCAGTACTGCAAGGCGTGTCCAAGTAGCCATTGCACAAACCACGATGTAAGCTGCTGCACCAACTTTTTGGTGGTTGAAGGCAGTGTCGTTGAGAAACAGGGTCCAATGTGACACACAAATGTCCACCATACAAATAGGCTTTCAGCATCAGTTTGGACTCAACCGGATGAAGTTATGAGGTCGTTCCATCCTTGATAGTTCTTAGAATCGATCAACCAAATCCTCGTAACGCCCAACGCAAACCTGACTTTTCGTTTCAGGAGTGGTATGTTTATTAGCTCTGAGATTTTATGGCAAAACGTCGCTTATAATACAAGGTTGTTCTTCCTCTTTTTGTTCGCAGGCGACGAGACGGAGGCTGGGGGGTTTTGTCTCTCAGCCAACAAGGGCGTCAATTGTTGTAACAATTCAGCGGTTTCTTCAGGACTTGTAATCCAGGATGTACAACATGCACTTCGTGTAGACAGGTCGTTGCCAGTGCTCAAGAACTATTGGTAAAAAAAGGAACGTGTTTGATAACAACTATGGAAAGCCGGAAAAAAAACGAAAGTTGAAACTGTCATAATATTGCCTTTTCTCTACAAATACCATGAGTCCTTTCTCGCTAACATACCTGATCTCCAATATGTAGTGTTTCATGTCCAGCAGCTCCCAAATGTTGTTGCAACAGATGGACACCCACCAACTTGTTTCCCACATCAACCCATACGTCCGAGCCACCTAAGCACAACTGTTACAAGCGTTCCAATATGCGAAAATCTGAAACACTGGACTAACCATTGAAAGCGCAAAAGGGTAGTATTTCGTCCCTTCCTCCCTCGTCAAGATCCAAGTCTTCACGTTGTTGCATTTCTGCTCGTCTATAGCTTTGGTAGGTAGTCAACCGTCGTTGGACTGAGAGCACAAGTTCGTCTAGTTGCTCTCGAGTCAAATGACAGCCATCATTTGCAACAACACCTGAAAGGGTGGTAAAAAAATTAGTCAGCACATAGAGGGCAAATAACAGAATGTGTGCTCGATAGATGAACGTACCAACAGCACGATCCTTTCGTATAAACGACACCATATGCGTAACACTCATCCAATCAATACATTCTTTCAACGACGCTTCAGCGACATCCAACAATTCATTGATACGTTGTGGAGCAATAGGCCAAGTATAATTGCCAATAGCAGCTTTTGAGTGATATTCTTCTTCAGGAATAGACACCAAATGATGAACACTTGGATCATATCTGAAGAGGTAGTTACATTCACCACCCAGTACAAAGAAGCGTGCTCTGGCTTCTGCCGCCAGGGCAGATGCTTGCAAGCCATGCAGGAGACCTGATAATCGTTGTTCGTATCGAGTGGGGTTGTTTGGGTAACCTGCTGCTGTGACGATTGATACGTAGAGACCGGCGTCAAGGAGTTTGAGAAGCAGAGACACTAGCTGCGAGTCCTTTTCAAAGTCTGCACCGTCTGCGTATAGTGTCATATCTCCATCGCTGCACTCATTGCAATATGTTAGAACCGTATGGAAGCAAAATATATCTGCAGATAATATACAACTCACAAAGTGATGAGTTTGATGGTGGGCGCTATTGACATGACCTAACAAACATTTCGAATCGTAAGAATATAAACGTGGGACAATCTAGGTAGCAACCCAGCATACTTGAGCAGTATTGAGAATATTTCGAATGTCATTGAATGATGGCGGAACGTTTCGACGCCCAGCGATACTTCGTTTTCTAGTGAACGAAAAAAAACTCAAGTAAGCCATCTTAAGTTCGACTTAGCGACAGCGAACACATACCGATTGTTGTATATAAAACTGTCTTTGAGAGGTAATGGTGTGAAAAACCGTCCAACAGTAGGAACCAATTGCGATAATCTTGACAGTTCAGGTACACCTTTAAAACACCACGAAAGCCATTAGCCGAGACAGAGCTGGAAAAGGCAACTTCCACACGTACCACTGTTACAGTGGAACATGTGATCCAACACCATATCCTCTACACACGAGAGGATTTCCGAATACCTTGCAAAGATAAGAGTAAACGTGTCAACTTTTTTCCTTCTTATTGATCACATAAGATGACATCACAACCAACCTGGCAACATTAGATTCAGTCTGTGTAGCATCTTCCTGTCCAACAGTCGAATCACTTAAAGTTGATTTGAGTAGTCTTGTTTGGGGATCGCGAATGGCATCAGACCCGTTGGCTTTCAGAGTAACAGTGGATCGTGGTCTCATGTGCAAGACGAATGGTGTGAGAAGTAAGCCTTTGACTAGAGGACAAGAAACGTGTCAGATGTTATTCGAGTATGATGTTTGGTAAAATTTCTAAATGCTGATAACGTAAAGATGACAACGGATGAAGACAGAACGATCCAAGCTTATATCGACTCAATCAAATAAGTACCGAATTCAATAAACTCATCGCGTTTGTGAGCTCTAACAAAGCAGAAAAAGGTGTCAGGATTTGATAATCGTTTGAACAAAATTGTGTTTGAAAAATTGGAAAGGTGTGTGATGCATACCTCAGCTGGTAATTGATACGATATGCGGACGTCATGGTCGTCCTTTTCTCGCTGTTTTTTCTGACTTTTCTAGCTCGTTTAGTAAAAACTTTTTTAAAAGTCAGCTGTATGGCTCATCACGTTGTTAGAGAATAGGGACGAACATCGTATCGCTGTAAATGAATTAATTACACGTTTAGAAGAAGATCTCTGTTATCTGGTTGCGAAACGGTACGGAAACGCGACGCGGCATCCATCAGCAACGTTCCAGCAACCAGCGTCTTTCATACCTCTTCACTAACTGTACGTGATACATTCCTTCACAACAGCGCAGCATCCAACAGAGTGTCCACAATGGTGATTCATCAAGCGTTAACTTTAGTAGATCAAGAATGCTTTACATTGCCGACGTGATTTACCACAATCCAAGTAATGAAACACTAGACCAACATAAAAACCCTGTAAGCAAACAGTATAAATAACCATACCGCAACACAATCTTACCCCTTAGCCTCAACAGGCCCTTTCTTCCCAATATTAGTCCGACGACCCCAGTCAAAGTACGACTCAACCTTCACATTCTGACCCAAAAACACTGGACTCTTAGGTGGTACCGGTGTCTCAGAATCTGGAATGTATCCTTCCACACACCTATGCAAAGGAGGATACATCGTTACATTGCATGTTCCAAATACGTTGTTAACTTTTTCCTGTACCTTGTAAACCTAGGTTTCTCCATCCTGGCATACTTTTCATCATACGCACTAGACATGGCATCACGAATGTTCTCCACACTTCCATCTGGATGCAGAACATTCCATGGATGTCGGCATGTTATACCCACACATGATTTTAGTACAGACATGAGACCATCGAGACGATCCAGTAGGTGTTGTGGAGCTTCGTCGATGGCGTTGCGCATTTGGTGTGGGTCTGTTGTCATGTTGTAGAATTCTCGTTCGCCTGTGCACCAGACCGAGTAGTAAAAGCTGTCTCCGAATTTGTTGAGGAGACGGATTCCTTTGTAATTGTTCTTTGGGACACTAAGATAGTGTATAAGTTAGAGAGCGACAAAAGCTGACTGGAATTGCAGCATAATTGTCCTTACATGATACCGGCATCCTCTCTCACTGCATTGTCCCAAAATTCTACGGCATGAGCTTCAGTAGACTAAAACAATCGCGATCAGTTTACACCAATGGAGAAAGTAGCAACCACTTGTACCACTCACCACTGTCTGAATATCATCTTTAACAGGCATAGGCTTCCCATCAAATTGTTCATACAGCGGTCCTCCAGCCAGCTTGAGAATAGTAGGAGCAACATCATGATGGGTGGAGGGTTCATGCACTTTGTGATTCTTCTTTACACCTGGACCTCTAACAAACATGGGCACTCGAATGTCTGAATCGTATCCAGTCATTTTGCCAGCTCCAAGTCCCCATTGGCCGAGATGGAATCCTTGTGAAAGAAAGTGTGTTAAAGACACCAACAAAATACCAGTACGCGGAGCTTATACCATTGTCAGACGTCACTACGTATAACAAGAATTAGTATACCCACTTAGAACTCCAGACAAATGCACATAACTCACGAAATATATAAGTATTATCCAACTCTCTTAGCTCTGTCAACAAATCCACAATCCCCTGCACCATCTCATCCACACTCTGCACAGACCTAACGCGTTGCCTATACCAGAAATCCATATTATCGACATGCGCCTGATCCTGCACAGGTATATTCTTCAACCAAGACGGCTTTTTCGGATCAGGACCATGATTGAAAGACGGTATATCACGAGGAACATGTAGTTCTGAATACTCGTATGCGTATTTCGGGTTTGGGATTGGTGCACTAACTCGGCCGACCATTTTTTGGAAGTTGAGGGCACGGTATTCGGGATTATTCATTGGTGTCTGTGTAAAAGCAACGAAGGTTTATTAAAAATCAGCAAAAAGGCCAAACAAGACGGAGGAAACTCACGAATGGAGTATTAATTTTGGGCATAGAGACCGCAGAGTGAGGAGCCATTGGAGCGACATAGAAAAACAACGGCTTGTCGTTTCCTCGTTTTGGATTTAGAGCGTCTCGTATCATTGCGTAAGCTAGTCAAACAGTCGATATTAGCACAATCCACTGCTTTCAAATATTTGGTTTTTTTTGTTGTACATACTTTTAGCCGCTAAAACATCAGTCTGATGCAAGTTCGGGTACACTCTTGGAATCGAACCATCTCGCGAAAACACCGGCTAGCAAAGTGCAAAGTAAGCACAGTGACAGCGCGGTAAAACCCAGTGGCAGACAAACCTGTGAATAATCATACAGCCACGGCAACACCAATGGCTCCCACGCATCCCAACCAGGAGGGACTCTGAAAAAGTTACGGAGCCCAAACCCGTTTATGAATTTTCTATATGAATGAGGTTGTGTAATCAAGCGAAGAAAATATGCTGTCAATCTATTGCAATACCCAATGAAAGCAGTCTGATATCCCGCATCACGCATCCACAATGGCAAGTAGCTCTTATGTAATCCAAGGTCAAGAAAGCGTTCGTAACCGCCTAGAAATGTAGAAAAGTTCGTCAACGAAAACAAAACCCATCCCAACGCTACTGGAATTGAGAGTCCAAAGACTGTAAGTACATCAGGCACAGAACTCGTACCAAAAGGGGGATTAATTGACGTGAAATTTGTGTTGTGCGAGTATTGCCCACGAAGAATGGATACACGCGACGGACAGCATATCGCTTGCGAAACCATGTGGTTCTAAGCGATTCAAAGTTGAGATGCTGTTGACCCAGCTTTAGAATCCACAACAAAAGCTCAGCGTTGTCAAACCTCAAACGAAGTACCACCCTTGACCAGATGCTCCTGCACAGCCTTCAAATGCCTGACACTGCCCATAGTCTGATCCAGATCATCAGTCAAGATGAAGATGATGTTGGGTCTCTTGTCTATAAGACAACCCATGATATTCAGGCCTCGACCTTGACTTTAACAAGCAACAAAACGTCTTTCACGTTGGTTGAATTAGGACTTACTAGTCGAATTGGCTCCCTTAACAGCATTAGCACTCCCACCACTCAACAACTGCTGAGCTACAAGCCCAATCCTGTCATTTGCACCCAATGTCAAATCACGTTCACGTTCTGCCCTTGCAAGGCCTTCCAAGTCGATATCTGGGAATTGGGCATTGGAGGCTACATCAAACCCTATGAAGTAATAAGATAATGTGTTATCGAAAGTACACTACAATGTCACGTTGAAAGCAAAATGATGTTTGGTCGTGAGACATACAGAGGCCAGATCTGAAAAGTTCATCACCAGGAGCTCCTGCGACGAGATTCAGTGCTGCGAGTGCACATACTGCTAGCCATAGTAGACGTGGCATCGCTGCACGATTAGTGGTCGCGGTGTTGTTTAGGTGGGTGAAGGCAGAATGTTCAACCATTTTTTAATGTGATACATCATCACCATCTTCACAAGGTCAAGTTGAAATCAGATTGATACTCATGTTCTGATAACTACGCTGTTTCAGATCATTCGCTATCAGATCTCGTGAACGTGAAAAGCACGTTTGCGTCGCTTCTGAAATCTTGACAATTATGAGAATAGCATAAAAGCATTTTATTGCAAAACTGATGGCTTTCAACCCCAAGAAATACGTATATGTTCAAGATCTAATTGTCTCTTTTCCTTTACCAAAATTGTAAGACTGCGACTATGACTACTAGTACTGTAGCTGTTTTATTTTTCTACAGAAAGAGAGCCAGTTAGTCTCTACGCGTTGAAAAGCAAGTATAATAGGATGGAAATGAACTTACTAATAACCTCAAAGCCCTTTGGCTATTAGACAGAAAATACAAAAAGTTAGCAAACACACCATGCCAGAACACAACCAAAACCAGCAATACGACGGCGAAACGATTACATACCGGAATCAACAACGCATACATCACAGCAGAACATTCCATCACAACTGCGATAAATTGTATGAAGAATGTCATTGGCAACCTAATCAGCATGAGTAGTGGATTGACACCACGATCCAGATCTTGGATGAATATTCCGAGCAAGTAGAGGTAGACGAAGGTGATAAAGGTGACATCTTTGAGGAGGCCAAACCAACGTGGAGTGCCTAGTGGGATGAAGAAGCCGAGGACTACTGAGGCGATTGTGCCGTAGAGACAGATGATCTATGAGATGGTGCAGGCGGTATTTTGTCAGAGTGGTTTCTGGGGGTAACGAAAAAGTGCGAGGTATGATGGTAAGAAAAGGCCGCAACTTACACCCAATGTCCAGAAGAATGCCCATATACGTGGTAGAACAAGAGGAAGACGGCGAATACCAACATACCATCTAAACAACAAAAAAGTAGAGTATTGCCTTAGTGTTATTGCCCATCGCTGTTGTGCACTTCATCACAACCACACATATTTTACCTTCGTCGTTGCTTCAAGAAATCCATGAAACGGGAAGGACTCTGTTCACGAACAATACCACAAATCTTGCCACACAAGAATCCTTGACTCCATGCCTTGACTGCGAATTGATAATCCTCAGTCAAAGAACCCAAGTCCCAAGTGACTGTGTTTTCAACAAGACCATTGACGAGAAGGAAGGATCCATGAGCTCCAAAAATTGGTCGATGGACTATTGGTAAAGCGAGTATGTTAGTGAAACTCATCGTGTGACCATAGCAAAACAAGGAATGGTACAAATACTCACAGTAAGTATACTGCAGCTGGAATCTCGACAAATCATCACCAACACGCAATCCATCAGCAACAGTAAACACCCAGTTCTTCCAGTACGCCCATTGATTATAGAAGATTGGTCCTTGGCCCCACCAGTATTCAGGCTCATACCAAATAAAGTCCAAGATACGACGGATTGTTTCATCGTCTACAACAGACTCTTCGTCCAAGTGCAAGACCCAGTCGTGTTCAGTGTAGCGCATGGTTTGGCGGTACCATTCGAGGGCACGAGCCTTGTAGAGTGCGTTCGGAGCGTTGAAACCGCGTGGACATGTGTAGCAATTGATGTTTTCAAAGTCTGTGTGGTAGCGATGTTAGCTGCTACATTCGAGTCGAGTTGCAAAAAAAACGATGCCGAGTCCGAGTGCGAGCTGTTCATCACTTACAGTACGGTTCATCAGTCAACACATGCACACGAATACAAGGATGCAGACGTTCCAAGTGCCTATGAGCATTCCAAGAACGATATACGGCTTCACGATTACTGCCCTTGGTTACAGTCAAGACGTACAGATTATCAAGGCGACGAGCTTTAGCTTCTCCTTCACGATTAATGAACTTTGTCGTGCGAAACGGGAGGGCCAGACCAAACAAACAAATTAGAGTATATGGCATAGGGAATAACCATGCTATGAAGAGGTGCAAAAAATGTTGCAGATGATGACGGGAAATTGAAGCTTGGTAAAAGCTCACCAATTTTCCACCAGCAAGACACATTCCACAACTCTGAATCCGTATATGATTGAGGTAGTTGGAATGTCATAAGATATGTACCACCGAATATAAACACTATGTTTGTTGAAGCATAAATTGAGTGAATATGTTGTAAACCTGGGAAGCATACGCGTAAACCATAAAACAATACATACATATGTGAACCAGCCACATTTCCGACAAGACAGACATGACCAGTTTAGTGTTTCCCTGCCATGGTCGAGTTTTGCCTCGTTCTTCAGTTGGCAAATCGACCAATGCTCGAGATTTGGAGGGGAAGCTCTTTTTCAGACCTTCCTTGTTGGCTTCATCCATATCTGAATCGGCTGATCCAACATCTGTAGAGCCAGAAGACATTGCTGAAGATGCTGTTTTGTGGAAAGAAGAGTGGCTGGTTAGCTTTTGTTTACGGAAAAGTGGTCGTGAAGGTTGTAAGGCGTTGAGACGGTCAAAACATGCATTTCGTGAGACATATAACAGCGGTCGGTCATAGGCAGAATGTCTGCGTATGCATCTTGGTGTGGGCTGTCGGTATTCAGGTCTAATCCAATGTCCTCATGCACTCGGGTTTCATATCCGGTTCTTCCACAACGCAAAAAACGACCCAATCCCAGATCAGTACATACCATTCCCGCCGTGAGTCATGTCGTCAAATACAGTAGAATCAGTTTCAGAGCCCGAGTCGGTGAGCAACGAAGCCTGATATTGTCTTCCAGAGTTGAGGGGAACCTGAGTACTTGTGCTTCGTATAGGTGGTGGAGTATTTTGGCTGTTAGCGGCCGGGTTTGCTGCGGAGATGATTCTCATGGCACTGGATTGTTGCTGCAGTTGCTGCTGGGCTCTTATTTGTTGTTGTATAAACTGTTGTTGGAGTAAGTATGATTGCGTGAGGACATCAGGATTTTGCATGTTCCTGGGTGGAGAGGACGCAGGTAGAGTAACTCCTCCGTTTGCTGTTCTTCCATCGTAATAGACCGGAGGCTGATTACTGGGCGTAGGTGCAGCAGTTGAGGTAGGCAAAGTCTGGTAGCCGGATTGTTGTTGTGGAGGACCTTCAGGTTGGGTTGTCCTAGCAGGCATTCCTCCCTGAGGATTCCTTATAGTGACAGGAATCGCACCCGCGGGAATGTTTGGATTTCGAGTCGCCATCCCCACAGCAATACTGGTGGTTGTATGCTTGTGTGCTAGTTTTGTGAGTGGACAAAAGTGTGAAGCAAAGAAGGGAATTTACAACCAAAACTCAAACAAGAAGCGCAAAAGGACGACGTCGAAGTGATATTGCAACGATCTATCAATGCGAATAGGCCCTTGCGGTTAGAGTTTGAAGTGTTTTTGTCCCAGAACACGTATAGGACGAGGATGGTTTCCCACAGCAGAAAGGTGTCTTGGCACCGCAGCAAAGACGTGAAAATATGTGTACTTGCTTTATATACGTGAAAAATCTATCAGCGTTGTCTGCACTTCCTATTGCATTGTTCCAATAGACCGTACGCATTGAGCAGAAAAACCTAAAGTTATGACTGTTTGCTGCTGCGATTTGGATCTCGCTCGCGCCAATCTGCCTTCGACCATGCACATCTCCCCTCCTAGATCAGATTCATAGCTCTCAACGTACTTGATAGAATCTGGAATTACAGCCTTAGGTTTTGGCTTTAACATCCTGGCAAAAAGTCTTGGTCTTTCTTTCTTTGCCTCACATACAATCACCGAAGTTTCATTCATCAGTCCTATATCAATCGCCTATCTAGCAGGCACCCAACAGCATTCATAGTCGGCATACGAGCCGTAACATAGCTCCACTGCCTTGAAAGCCCCCTCCCTCACAAACTAGCCCAATCTTTTTCTCTGCAGCGGGAGTTGACCGCTCACAGGCAAACCCAAATGACCTCGCCACAGTGTAGGAGGCAGAGGACGATGAGGACGATACCCAGTATATATAGCAGCCCTTATTGTATTCTTATATTGCTATTATCAACGTTGGTGCTTATCCCTGGAATCCTTGGAGAAGCAATCATCGCATACCCCCCAACTTGCAATGTCAATCTACCTACATACAGCAACACGTAAGTCTCATTCTGTCAACCTTATCGATCATCTTGAATCTTACACTGTCCCGTCTCTCTCTTGTAGAGCCTTCTTCTCAGCAACAGGAGCCACCTTTTCCGCTGTTAGTGGCACACAGTACACCCTGACAATCACATCTCTAGCAACCGCATCTGTCAATATAAACTTTAATCAAGCTCAGTGCTTCAACAGTACCAACTTCTTGTCCCTAGGTTTTGGACTCACGGTATGAATATCTTGCAGTAATGAATGAAAATCATGGGGAGTAAGCTGACACAAAACCCAACCGCAGGTATCCGGTTCTGGTAGTTTCTCAATGTCACTACAAGGACGAGATCCAACATGCACAACGCTACTCGGAAGTACGTGACCAACAAACTTGCGATCGCTCACGTAAAGGCCCCCAGACTCACTCCCATTTCCCTTTTCTCCAGCCTCAAACACCGTAGTATCAACATCATACACATCAGGAAGCACCATGAATGTGCCTTTATACGCATTCTCAGGCATAGACATGACGAGGATACAAGCCCTCACAATGTCGGGATTCACCACGGCTGGTCCATGGGTTTTCACGAATTTTGTCTTGAATGGATATCAAACTAGTGATTGCTCGTCGACCGGTACTGTTAGTGCTGCGTCTCCCGCTGGTCCATCGGTATCTGCAACGCCGACCTCGTCGGCGCTTAGTTCCGTCACGCCATCACCGAATCCATCAGCGGTGAATGCTAATGTTGGTGTGCAGCCGTCGAATGTTGCTGTGGTAAGTTTTCTATAATGTGATTGTGTAGCTCCACTTCAAGTTTTGTAAACCTCAGTTCTGACTGTCTTGCTTGTTTTTTTAGCCACCACCAGCGCCAAGTCTATCAGCAGGACTGGCCATACTGTCAGGAACCAATGCTACAGCCGCATCAGGGTCCATGATATTGCATCCACAGTCATCATCACTACTTATTATCTGCTCCATAATAATGCTCGTATTATCATCTCTCATTTCATTGTAAATGTCGCTATATTGACAGGAAAATTAAAGGCAAAAATGTACAAAATAATCCTGATTATTCTTTTTGTGTTCGTGATAGTCTGGGTATTATAAGTGGTATGGGTATCTAGTGGATGTTGGTTACGATGAGTACTGATCTTCGTCGATTTCCTCGTCTTCTATAAAGTCTCCTACGGTGGCGACCATGTATACTAAATCGACCAAAAGGTGGTGAGAAATCGTGAATGTTGGCCAAAAATAGGGCACGCCAGAGTTGAAATGGTAAACGCATACCGTTGTACCCACGCATCTGAGGCAAGTGATCTCCCTCAACGCGTCTATACTCGAATCCCTGGCTTTCCGTCTCGCCACCTTCGTCGTCGCTCTCGTCGTCACCAGTGTCCTCTTCATCGTCCTCCTCACTTTGTGAAGCCACCTTTGAAGGTTTAGAATCAGGAAACGGTGCCATCCAAACGTGTATGTTCCTGAATCCAGCATCGTTCATAGCTTCACGAACTTCCGGTATAGTCCATATCCGGAAATCGTACCCAAACGCATTCCTAAGTTGAGATCCATCCGAAAAGGAAAAATGGAGTTTCATGGCGACGAGATTCGTCATTGGATTTATAGGTGATTGCTCGAAAATGTACTAGAGAGTCAAATACGGTTAGATATGCTGATGCCTATCAAGCAAAAACAGGCTTGCCTTGAAATTGGGAAAGTGTCTTGTAAACACACGTCCGGTAGTCGAATTCACATCCGCCCCACAAAACAAATCCACAATTACCGCACCACCATTCCGTAATCCGTCTCTACATCGTGTCAAATACAGTAGTAGCTCCTTCCTCGTGTAAAAGTAGCAAATCCCATAGTTTAAGCCAGCGATTATATCAACTCTCGGTATCCGAGTCTTGAATTCGTGTCGCGGTGTAGTTACGCTTCCTAGCGTTAATTGTACACGGCTGGAAGCGTCGTCTCCGTTTAATGTGTGTGTTCTGGCGTATGAGATTACAGCTGGGTCGTTGTCGATTCCGTATGCCACACGGGATATGAAGGACGAGCACCATGCGTGGCAGAGAACAGCGGTTCTATAAGCAAAACGATGTGATCAGAGGTTCATCAGTTGCAAGGTAAATGTCCAAACACCAACACAAAAACCAAACACCAACAAACGCTCTATGAACTCATACACACCCACAAAAATCCTCTCGCAAACTCAATGCCGTTTGCAGACTTGATGAGATTTCTAACGAAACGTTCCGTGAAAAACGACTACAACATCGTCAAACTCCATTCTAAAAACTCACGTCTTCTCATTGCAATTAGATTAACCACCTCCGTATCCACAGCTTGTACTGACTGTGCATACAATTCATGCTTGTTACACGTGGCGGCCATGCTACCAGGCACAATTCCAGTTCCTTTAGGAATGGATTTGAAACTAAGATCCTGTTGGTGTTTTTTGGATGAGCTTTTAGATGGGTTTTCTGGGGTTTTCTTGGATTTCGTGACGCTTGTATCTTCTTTGAGCCATTTGGAAGGGATTGCTTTGCTTCCTTTGCTTGATTTAGATGTCTTACGTGACCGATCGCTCATTTGCAAAGTGTTTGGTGTTGCAGTAAGTTTCCAAGCACGACGTAGAATGTCAACAGAGTTATTTTAAGGCATGATTACTGCTAAGTTTAACATATAATATGAGATTACGATTACGCACCACCATCTGCATCACCCTCGCTAATGATCTTCAAAAAGACCTCATCAAGCGTCGTCTGCGAACACCCCCAATCTGATATCCCTACACGCTCCTTGTTGGCCTCCATCTCGCTGAAGAGGGTTGCAATGACTCCGTTCGTCGATGGGAACTCATACGACACATTAGTTGAGAATGCGTCTACTTTGTGCCAACCTGCTGGTAGTAATGATTCCACGTACGCGCTGGCCTCATCAACTCGTTCCTCCGGCGCAATGAAATACACCCTGAATCCAGACCCATACAGGGTCTTCAAGTGCTGCTGGTTTCCAAGCACTCGAAGCGTTCCTTTGGCCATAATACCAATTCGTTGGGCGAGCACGCTGGCTTCTTCCATGCTGTGTGTTGTCTACAGAATAATCTCAGTTTAGTATATAAAAAGCGGAGGAGTAAACATGACTCGGCCTACCAACACGATTGTCTTGCCTACTCGGGCTTCATTAATGACATCCCAAACGAGACGGCGCACTTCTGGATCCAATCCAGTCTAAGTCAACACGGTTGGTGAGTGATTGCATATGAGTTGTATGAAGTTGAGTGGGTGTTTACTGTGGGCTCATCCAAAAATACGACTTTTGGATCTCCAATTAAGGCAATTGCTATTGAGAGACGTCGTTTTTCTCCTATAGTTGTGCAAAACAATGAACAATTCAATCAAGGGCAATGAGAATGGTCTCAGTTCCGTACCTCCAGATAAAGTACTTGCACGTCGATGTCGTAACTCGAAAAGAGCGACTTGCTTTTCAGCCTCTATAACGACAGCCCTCTCGTCACGGGTTGGAACTAGCAAATGCGAAAAATTGTCAGGTCAAGACATTCTTAGTCAACTTCGTGTGGATTGTACTACCTCCTTTGAGACGTGCGTACTAGAATGAGCGTTGATATTAGTCAATGGGCATGCACAACAAAAACAAAAACCCGATTTGTCTTACAAATAGCAGGTGTTCTTCAATAGTTAGTGCGTCCCAATGTATATCTGTAGCAAAGAAGTCGCGGTATAAGTCTAAGTACACGTCAAAAGGAGCAGTACTAGACTAACCAAACTGTGGACAGACACCCAAATGTCGATACACTTGATCACTTTGGGTCTTGATATCATAGCCAGCGATGGTTGCAACACCGGCTGAAGCTTCATAAACACCAGTTAGAATGTTAATCAAGGTCGTTTTTCCTGCTCCATTAGGGCCAAGAAGACCGAAAACAATTCCCGATTCGACAGCTAATGAGACATCTTTGACAGCAAGACGAGCGGTACCACCAGCTCGTGGCGAGTATAATTTACGCATGCCCTTCATCACTAGCGGTGTGTCGGCAGTGTAGGCACCAGATTCGACTCGTACACGTTCAGCCTTAACTATTTGACAAAAAAATGAGCAAAACCGCTAGAATAATCACAAACACATGCAGTTGCTTACCATCAGCATCTTCAAACTGCAACTCGTTCTCATCTATTGCAATGGCAGTCGCCATGTACTCTTCCGATTTAGGATCAATCCCACCATGTTTACGTGCTCGTGATCGAGAGGCAGCTGACGCAAATGGATCTGTAAATATGAAATGCCATGGTTTTCGAATTCCGAATTCGTTGGGGAGGATGTTTTGGAGGTAGTAGGCGAGGAAAAAGTAGATTGGGATTTCAGCCGCCATGAAAATCATTGCATTGAAGACTTCGTTGCCGGGGCGAACCATGTCGAGTGTGTATGGGCGGAATCCTATTACATGTTTTTGCGAAGTCAGTCAAATGTAGCTGGTTGGAAGGATATGAAAAAGTGCCAAGAACAACCTTGAGTGTACGAAGCCTCGTTCAAAATTGACAGGGCTCGCATGAACGCGAAGGGCCCCCAGATAAAGTAGGCGGAGGGTGCTTGCGACGTTGTAAACAGGCTGTCAGTAACAAGACTTATGACCACACCTATTTTTTGTTAACGAATCAGCGAGAAAAAAACAACTGGACAAGAAGAAAATTATTTCTCATACCACAGAGAACAATTAAGAAAGTTATTACTAGAAGTGGAGAGCGTTAGTGAAAAATAGAATATTCATCCAAAATCACAACAGGTACCTAGAGCGATACGACTCCTGTTAAACACACTAGCAAAAAGAAACGCAAGAGATATCTGAAGTAGGCCCCACTCCAAGAACAGTATGATAAGCAACGCACGACTGGTTTTGGTAAACATATCCAACTTTGCAAGATTTCCAGCCAAAAAGAAGATAAAGGCTAAGAGACATGTTAGATCACACAAGCAAGTTTCTGCAAGTAAATATGTACTTACCATTGATAAGGAACAATACAAAGAAATGGATAAAGTGGGCAGCGTAATAGGTAAGTTGCTTTAATCCAGCCATTCGCATCATGATTAATATTCTGTTTTCCTTCTCTTGCACCAAGGTGATAACATATATCGGTAGGAGGAAGGAAACACCAACTAGAATTAGTAATGAAAGAAGGATTGGTCAGTCACACCTGGTATCGAACTTTGAGGGAATTCTAACGATTCATGTCACGTACATGGAAAGATGATACGACCAATAAGACCGGAGAAAGCAAACGCCAATCTATTTGATTTGATTTGTGGGAATGCTCGGAGACCTTGAGTGATTTGAGCTGATCCAAACGAGGAGTTGCTGTTTCTCAATATCGCATTGTCCAATTCCGTCATCTAATTGACAGATGTGAGAATGAGTAAGCGAGTTCTCCAACTTTATTTGCACCACAATTGTATCACTCACCATTATGAGTTGCCTGAGCCCTTGCTCTGGGAAATTACTTGAAGCAGCAATTCGTAAATCAGTACCGAATTGCAATGTATATCCATACTGTTTAGCCACAGCATCAAGCTTGTCGATGTAGATCGCTCCGTATGGCATGGATTGTAACAGCTTCCCAATGTTTGCATAGAATTGGGCCAGTTCAATTGGATTTGGATTCGACGTAGTCAAGATACGTTTGTCGACGCCAGCGATATCTTGAATCACTTGGTTCAGAGCTGCTGCTAATGCGGCATCGTTTGATGTCTTGCTACTATTCGTTGAGATGTTAAAATATGGCACTGGTTGGAATCCATTGAAATTCAACGACGAGTCTACGTCTGCGTAATATCTCGTTGCGATGGTATCGAGCAACCCATTACTCTGATTAGCATATTTATACGCTGGCGAATTCCCAATAATTCCCAACTGAGTTACATTCAATATTGGCGATAACGGCTTGCTACCCAATAGCGCCTGAGCACTGTCTGATGCAGACACCAGTGCCCAAGGACGTGTTTGCTGTTGCGTAAAGGTCGTGACTACACTTTGTTCAGTCGACACGGTCGATTGGGACGCCGTTACTGCTGCCTGTGCCCATCCAGACCTAGGTTCGGAAGCATACATGGTGTCTCGTACTTGGACACGTAGGGAGACGTTTGGGTTTCGTTCGTAGATGGATGTGTCGTATGGGTATTCGTCCCCAAACCAGAACACACACTCTTTCCGGAAGGCTAGGGCTGTTGCTCCTGGAGGACCATTGTTTGTGCTGGCACCTTTCCGATGGATAGAATCGTCAGCTTGCGACAAAATCTTTGACGAACAACAGAGACGCGAACAGATATATTTACCTAAATACACCCATGACAAATAAGCTGCTAATGCGACTACGTTGCCTTCAGTAAGCCCGACGTAACCAGTCCCGGGCACAGTGTTGAGCAGGGAAACGTTGTATAGCGGTTGATAGAAGGAGTTCTGAGTACCGTTAGAAGCACAATACAACACATCGTAGTACGTGGTTCCCTTCTGAATGAGTCCTGTTATTAACACACCCAATCCAGCAGCGATGACGATCATCATTAACGGACATAGTGCCTATAGAATTCATCGGCGTGAGTACACAATCTCCACGTAGTGCCACGAGAAGCTGCAGGATCGGTGGCTTTTTTAGTGCGAAGAGAATCTCTGGGCTGCAGTACTAAAACCATCTAAAGGCCAGGGGATCAAACTCACAATACAGCAGCAATTGGTGCAGTATTGACGTGATTGATAAGACAATGTCTTTCGAAACTAGTATTGACAAAAAACCTTTGTAAGGTCTTGAATGGAGCTTTTGTCGCAAAATTCGATTGGGCACGCACCTGAGCCCGAAATTGGTTGACCATTTTCACAGATTCTAAGAAGCGAGAGAGCGATTGAATCAAGTTAGAGATCGAATGAATGGGTAATGTTTCCACATAGCCAAAACATTGTAGCGGAGATGGGGACAAACATGACAACCACCAATCAAGTTGAAATAAGTGTGTCGTGACAAGGATCTTACTTAATGCAGGCAAAGCTTCGTATTCAGTATTCATAAGGCCTCTTCTTGGCCTCCTTTGCACAATTCCAAAAAGACGTGTTTCAATCCGGCTACACTTTCAACGACAATTGGGGATGAATCAAAGCACCGAAAAAGGTGTAACTCGCTACTGAAAGATGAATCTAACGAGGAGCAAGCTCTCTTCCCTGACTGCAAGAAGAAACGCTTGTAAATCGAAGTTTGCGGAAGTAGATGAGACGCTTATTGGCAACGGCTTTGACGATCGAATCGTGGCAAGATCTCGTGCAAGAGGCGACTTGCGAACTTGCCAAGACAATTCACGTACTCATTAACCGTTCTCGTTCGCCTTCGTATTTTGAATCGCCACGTGGCACTTGGATGCATCATGGTTGTGTTTGGACCAGACTATGCGTGATGCGAAAGATGTCTCTAATTACAAATTATATTTATCATTTCGGATCTATATCATCCTTTACCAGCTCATATACTAGAAGCACGAGCAATATTAGGCTAGAGTTCCACCTCGAGAACAACGTTCAAAACGTAGCTTACCAAACAAGGCCAACGCAGAAGGTGGCGTAGCGCGCAAAAGCTGTGGCCCTACACCCTTCCATAAACCACCAACCCGCTGTTTCCTAGCGACATGGATCCAAGTACTCCAGCGTGACGACGTGTCATCTTGCACTAGCGATTTCCATCGTTCTAGAGGAAATACAACCATCTGATGAAATATCCCGCCAAGAGCACCAGCCGAAACAACACAAGCACCATTCAACCACCCTACATGCTGCTCACTAATACCATACACGGATGCACTCTCCTTGACATACTGTTTCCCAATATCCTTGAATGTCTCAAACACTCCAAAGAATAGAGCAAACGATGAAGCATCTCTGATTGCGGTAAATGTAAAGTCCTTGTACAAGGTGACGATTTTACCACGTTTGAAATGGTCTTGTTCTACTTGTATCACTAATTCCTTACGGAGCGTTCCTAAAATTCCTTCTTTTCGGCCTTCGACGATCTTGTGACGACCGACGAGATTCATGATGTTTTCTAGTGGAGTTGAAATTACGGCTTGTGCAAAACCTCCTGCAGCGCCAGCGATGAATGAGGCATGGTTTATATGTTTCGACAGTTTTTCTAGCGTCAGTGAGTAGACCTGAATTTGAAGAGTAGTTTTAGTGAGTACACCTGTATTTGAAGAGAGTTGTCGGTTGTTCCGTGCTGCAGGTGCTCAGTTTTAGTTACTGCGCGTTGCTGCCATTGTCGAAAGAATCAAAGTAGATTGGCAGACAAGGTTCTTACATTGAATAGCACCATCCCCACAATCGAGTTCACCACAAGCCTATCATCATAAAAGGTATGTCAGCGACGGATGAAGGGAAGGAATGCTTTTTAGCATAGCTCACACTGGCACAAAATTCCTCCAATTGAGTGGAAATCCTTCCTTTTGAATCACGCCATGCACGAACTTTGGAGTCAATCGAGTTCCTTCATGTTCAGCCAAATGCTTGAATATTGTCCATGGATTGACTGCAAATGGTCTAAATAGTTTTGCTGGAGATCCTGGTGATAGATATAAACAAATGGTTAGAAACAGCGTCAACGTGTTTTAAACCGTGATCTATCCAATTAATGTACAAATGAATGCGCAATAGATGAGAATGGCGAGTTTTATTTCTCCAAATGGAGGCTCTCGTTGACAGACATTCCAAAACTGTTACATGTAAAATGTTGCAAACTGACGATGCAACACTTACTGAACCACCACTTTATCACGAAAATGCCAGTAGTCGAGAACAGCCTGGCAAGGTTTCCAGCTTGTAATGCCAAACTTCTAGTTACAGCTCCCAAGATAGAGCTCTCGACATCATTTTCAATCTTGGCAATTGTTGTTGGTGCTGTTGCTGGCACTGGTGCATCGCTCGTTCTAGGCCCATCGGATTTATCTTGCGGTCTATTATCACCATCCTTCATCCCTCCAACTCCTTCTGCGTAATGTTTGCGTATTTGACACGTTTCGTGTTTCGTCGCTGATAACCAGCCAACTCTCGTGAGTTTCTTCAAATATTCTATATAAATTACGTTCCTTCCACACATATTAACTATTTCGACAACGCTACTGAATAAACGGTATGGCCGTAATAGTCCTCTTCTTATACTCGATATACTCGTGCCCAAAGAATCTTGCCAACGTAAACTCTTCATAAGCTATACGATCACTGAAAAACTTCCATAGCGCGACAGCATATCCCACAAGACATATTGGATTACACATCATGATTTGCAGGCCAATACCCCAGTAAAAGAAGCCCGTGTATGAAGGGTGCCTGAGGATGGAATAGACTCCGTGTTTTACGAGGATGTGCTCAGGCCGTTTCTCGTCACGTATGAGATGGGTGAAGTTTGATGATGCGGTTATCATTGCTGTTGTTCGGAGAGCTTGTGATAGGATTACGAGGATGAGGCCTATGGTGACGTCGTGTTTGTGAGTCATGGTTTGATGGCAACGGTGTCAATGCGGATAGTTCACAATGAAGACGTGAATTAAACTCGTGAGCAGTCACAAGGCCTCACCGATTCGTGTGAGGGAGCTGTAATGTTTGAGCCAAGGACACAACCTCCATTCCACCAAGTATTCGATCACACTGGAGATCATGGCAACATTAAAGCTCGGCGAATGATTAAAAAGGAATGCTACATGAGAGGATACATGATCAGTTCGGGGTCGTATCTGCGACACTGACCAAAGATCCAGCCTACCACAAAAGCTCTATCACAACTCACATTTCAACCCAACAGTATCCGGATGATACATGGCAGTAGGTAAATACTCCAATAAATGAAAGCAAGCCAATGCAGCTATGAAAAACCCAATCCCACTAGCACCTGAATCGGACGTTGAAACCCCAATGGTAGCACCTATACCCACTACAAGACCACACGCAGCTGAATACAGTGCCACATTTGGCGGTGTATGTTCTCCGTCCAGTATAGGTAGATTCAACACTCCATTACTACGTGCGTCATGTGTGCTGCTATTCAGATTTGATCCTGTTGATTTGGCGCCGTTTTCGTTCAATCCACGATTCCTAAGGCCTGACGGCGGTGAAGGCGGGATATTTGATGAGGTTGTCGATGCCATGCTCGTTGGTGATTTAGATGTCTTGGTGTTGAATGATTTCGAAGGCTAGCAAAACGTGTTTTTCACCTAACCGTAATTAAGAAACGAGTTAGTTAAGCAAGGAACAAGGAATCAACCTGCGATATATAGTAGACCATACGTGGAATATACTACAGCACATACCTTTACAAGGTTTCTATTCGAAGCGATGTCATCAAACTCTGGAATCTCGTCTGAAGTGTTGACGCAAGCTATCAAGGAAAAGCTTTCAGCTGAACATGTAGTAAGTTTCATCATTCCTCTGCGTACAATCCCAAATTTGGTCACAGTACATTCTGTACATCTCTTTTGTCGATCTCTGATGCGGTTTGTCATCACGACATCCATATTGACCAAACCTTTTTGGTACCTCATGTCTTCACGTACACGAAGTCAAAGATCCCTCATATCAACCAATAGATTGCTAATCAACTCATCTTGTCATTACTCGAACAGGAGGTGACGGACACTTCAGGAGGTTGTGGTCAATCATTCGAAGCGATCATCGTGTCTTCACTGTTTGAAGGAAAGCCACTACTGGCTAGACACAGGTATGCAAACTCTCTTTTAACATTTAAGTTACGGATATGATCTGTCGCTCTTAGTCCATTGTTGAAAAATCCTGTTCCGTGTCGCTGCTATTATATTGGTTGAGTCATCCGACCTACCTTCTCATCCTTTAGGCTAGTCAATGAAGCATGTGCTGAACAGATTGCTCAGATCCATGCATTTTCACAAGTAAGGCTTAATACAGTATCAGTATCGATCAGATTGTTGACACATACCTTACGTAGAAAACCTTGACACCAGCTCAGTGGGTTGAAACTCAAAGCAAGTCATCATCATAATTTTCAATATTCAAGCCGGATCTCCATTTGTAATCGCATGAACATACTACAGTCTCTCTGAACATCACAGATTGTGTGGGGTTACAAAAGGTTGTCTGGGAGGGTAACGAGTCTGAATATCGCTGGGATCTGTTGTGATCTATGGACCTGCTTCTACTACTGTTACGGATCCTGCTTTGTTGTTGTTTGCTCCTTTGTCTTCTAGCTCTAATCTCAAACACGATAGATTTACGCGTTTACGCGACCTTGTTCGTTCATTTAGGATATCTCGCATATTTAAGTTCTACTAACTACATCCAGAACGCTCTTCTTGACGTGACTAACAAAAACGCACCCCAGGTTCGTTGTACAATCAAATCTGCCTGCCTCCATTACACCAATTTTCACCATTATCCAAATAACAACAAGATGGCAGACAAACGAGACAGCAACGGCATTCACGTAGAGCCTGCCAGCCCGGTCAAGGTGTCAGCTTACAATCCTTTTACTGGCCGCGTCGGGGAAGAATCAAACTCGAGGCCAATATCTTCCGTAGATGCTCTGAATGGTTCTCCTAATAGACGGAGCATGGCAGATGATCTACCTTCATTATCTGCATGGGCACGAAGGTTACAAAAGGAAACGTAAGTGTTCTTTGCTGTTGGCCCCTGCAAGTTTGGTGTCGGAGAATGTTTACATTTGGTGAATGTTGTGGTGTGTGCGTCAGAGTGAGGCTGAAGAGGGAACGAGTAGAATGAAGATGAAGGAGGACGTATTTAGTATTTTACATGTTGACAAGATATGAAGATGATCGTATTGCTGTTGATCCATACTTGAGCAAGACAAACCTGTCGGAGATTGGTTGTTGTTGCCAGTTTCACGACGCTTTTGTCAAATTCAATCACATTTATTTGATCGGGACTGCCATTCAAATGTCTCATTCACATCATATCTTCATCTTCTTGTTGACTTGCGGGTTACCGAGTCGGCATTACTTGATGTTTTGTACACAGTTTTGGTTTCTGAGGTTTTCACCACACCAAAAAACTATCCTCGTTTTCACAATTTTTCACAACTGAGATCTAACATATTATTGTACCCATATTTTTCACTCTACTTTGGCCTCTATTTACCCTCATTGATCACCTTCTACTCGACTGTGCCTCTTCTTATTGTCATCCTTCCCTGAAAACTTTTGATCTTCAACCATGCTAACTGTTGATTATGGCAGCTTTGAGCACAGCCGAACCATTTCAATGACTGTAAGTAAGATTGCTTAAGGTGTCAAATTTTGTGCAGGGTTTGACAGAGGCACGTGCATTTCACACAATGGAGAGCTTAAGCTTGCACCCGTTAAAAACTCGCAAAGCCTGTAACGACAGACGCACAGCGCGAGGACTATTACGGAGTCCCTCATATATTAATCAACAAACATGGACGGCCCACTGAAAGAGTACATTTTGACTCATTGCTGTTTCCCTAATGAACAACAGGATTTCCATGATCACGCGGCTGGTATGGCTGCCAAGAGCATGCGAAACGAGCTCAACGACTTGGTATCTGGTATGCCAGAAGATCATCCTCTTCGACGAGTAAGTTCTCATACAGCGGTGATTTTCGTACGGTTTTTTTGCATCTCTGATTTTTCAATCAACCGCAGAACTTTTCTACTGAAATGGACAACTTCTATATGCTATTTACTCGATACCTGAATGAGAAAAGTCGTAACGAGCGTTTGTGAGTACTCGACCTGATGAGGTGGTAGTCCTAGAGCAAAAGAAGTTGTTAAGCCAATGCCTTTCAATAGGAACTGGGCCAAAGTCAAATCACCAGCTGCAGAACAACTCGTATCATATTCAAGCTTGGAAAAGACTTCTCCTGCTCGTCAACCAGAATTATTATCCAAACTGGCTGTATTGAAGCTCAATGGTGGTTTGGGTACTACGATGGGTTGTGTTGGTCCCAAGAGGTAAATTAAAACAAAAGTTGTAAACATGAGACTCGAGGATTCATGTCTTTCTGCTACCGCTAGTGCCATTGAAGTGCGAGATGGATTGACCTTTTTGGATTTGACTGTTCGACAAATTGAGGTGTGGCAGATTTCGTGAGAGAGATTCTTGTGGGAAATACAACATCTTACTGTTCCTATTTTGGCTTAGTACCTCAACAATACTCATAATGTCAAAGTACCCTTAATTCTCATGAACTCATTCAACACGGACAATGATACACAGCGTATCATTAACAAGTATGCTGGTCACGGTTTGGACTTGTTGACTTTCAATCAGTCCAAATTCCCTCGTATTATCAAAGAATCATCAGTACCTATGCCAAAGAAATATGATGCCGATATTACTCAATGGTATGTGTGTTGGCTTTGCTATTGCTGGATTTTCTGTTGGATTTGCTAAGCTGGTTGTTTGGTTAGGTATCCACCAGGTCACGGTGACGTATATGAAGCACTTGACAATTCAGGTCTATTGGATCAATTATTGGCTCAAGGCAAAGAATATCTCTTTGTTTCCAACGTTGACAATTTGGGAGCTACTGTTGATACTAGTGAGTGTTCATCTAACTCGTGATTGAACTATTGCTTTCTTTAATATACCTTTTTCGCATTAGCCATCTTGCAACATATGATGGATGCCGGCTCTGAATTCATTATGGAAGTCACAGACAAAACCAAAGCTGATATCAAGGGTGGAACATTGATTGATTATGAAGGAAATGTTAGGTTATTGGAAGTTGCTCAAGTACCATCAGAACATGTAAGTTTGTTGGTGCTGTTGAGCACTAAATTTCAGTTTACGCTATTCTGGAACTAGGGGTCTCGTTTGCTTACTTTACTACCTGCTTTAGATGGATGACTTCAAATCAATCAAAAAGTTTAAAATCTTCAACACCAACAACTTGTGGATTTCACTCAAAGCCATCCGTCGCAACTTGGACAACCAAACCCTCAACATGGAAATCATTGTAAACACAAAGACACTAGATGGTGGAGAAAAGATCATTCAACTCGAAACAGCAGCAGGAGCAGCCATCAAACACTTTAAGGGCGGCCATGGTGTGAATGTGCCGCGAGCACGATTCTTGCCAGTAAAATCCACATCCGATCTGTTTTTGATTACATCCGATTTATATTCATTGTCACACGGAGAACTCAATATGAACCCAAAGAGACAATTTGGAGGAGTCCCCGTTGTGAAATTGGGTGATCATTTCAAGAAGGTACAACACTTCTTGTCGCGATTTGCTGGACCACCTCATATATTGGAGTTGGATCATTTGACTGTTACTGGTGATGTATCGTTTGGGCATGATGTGATTCTGAGAGGTAAATGCTATGATTGCAATTGCCTTGTGCGATATTACCATTTCTCCTCATTTTTTTGGGCCAATGTACATACCTCCCTAACGACCATCGAAACTTCCATACAGGCACAGTCATCATCGTAGCCAATCATGGGTCACGTATTGATATTCCTTCTGGATCTGTATTGGACGATAAAGTCGTGACAGGCAATTTACGTATATTGGATCATTAGTCAAATGGAGGAAGAGAAAAAAACAAGCATTATTTTTTGTTTCCACACATACACATCAAAAGCTTCAGTAATAGGTTGTTTGCCATTTTTTATCTCCGTCCTTCTTTTTATGAAATAAACTCTGTGCAGGGTATGTAAGAGCAACTTGTCCCCGTTCCCTGTTTGTAAGTGAAGCTTTTCGAAGCGATCCATCGGACTCCATCATAATTTTTTGGCGCTCTATTATTAATTTACACAAATGTGCTCCACATCCTACAGTACTACACTCACACTTCATACTCTTATTTACGACCACCACCCCTCTTGGGCCTAACAAACCTCTTTACCCGTTTCTCGAAACGACCACCTCTATCCTGATCCTTACTCGCAGATGATATGAGGCTGTCTACATCCTTGAACCTAGGCTTCTTTTGCCCTGAATCACCATCGTCGTTATCATCACCATGCATCATTGCAGCAGCCACACGTTTGTTTTTACGACCTAGTAAGCCACGACCATATGTATCTGCATCACTAGCATCGACGGCTTTCTTGACTGATGTGAGGGATGCGAAATCTGTGTCCAAATTCTGTTTTGAGAGTGTGTTGAAGTGAGTTGATGAGCAAAAAGGACTGGAGATTAATGAACCAATTGTTCCCAACAAGGCAACCCTGACTACTACAACACGAACATACCTCAAATTCATCCTGAAACCTCCCCATCCCACCAGTCTTTTGCAATTCCTTCCGATGCCACTTGTCCTTTTTCGTCAAATTCAAACGTATAAAATGATCCTCTTCAAACTTTTCTCGCTCATCCCACGACTTGTCCCAATCCGTCATTCCATCCTTACGCGAGTACCCTGTTCCCTCAGTAGACGTCTCCTCAGGCCGATCATCGAACTGGGAGCGCAGGTCTCTGATTATACGTGACCGAGCGGCTTTTTCTTTAGCTTGGGCTGTTAGTTTGGTTTGTTTGTTGGCTGTGGTTGAGGATGAGTCGGTGTATGGCATCGGAGCTACCCGTGGTGGTTTGTATAGTCCCGTGCTGTCTCGTTGCTGTGTATTATTGCTACTGTTATTGTGACCCGCTACATCGTCTTCGGCCTCATCACCCATAAGCGCACCGGGATTAGGGCGATACATGAGCGGATCCATGGTATCGACCTGCACGTTCTGCTGCGTCTGCGCTGCAATACCGACTTCATCAGCATTCACAGCAGCTTTAACTAGTTTGTCGACCTGGTATTTCAGTTTGAGCTCCATGGGACGGATTTTTTCGAGTACTGTTCGTAGTTCGATGAGCGAGTCGATTGTTGGGTGGGATTCTATTTTGTGGCCTTGGGTGCGGAGGAGGGTGTAGAATGTGATGTGTGTGAGGTAGGAGAGGAGGGTGTGGAATTTTACGGTTAGGAGGGAGACCCCTTTTGATGTTGGGAGGTCGGATAGTCTAGATGAGACATAGCGTAATGAGATGGTGGGAAGATGGCGTCGAAAGATACAAAGACGAGATACAAAGAAACCATCACAGATGCAGGAAAATGCATGTTCTTACTGACCTTTCTCTCAGCGTATTGACTCTGCCCATGACCTCTTTCGCCTTTTCTTGTAGCTCAGTCATCACTTTGATGGCTGCGGGAGCATCTTCTTCTACTGTTGACTTGTTTTCGATGCTCATTGTCGTTGACAGCCTTCTGTTATAACCGATCGGTCCCAGGTGACTATAAGCTATTATATAAAAAGAGTGTTAATCAATATGATACACAGTACGAATACGACGGCGGCTGTCCCGTGCCTTACTTTTATAGTGTCAAGTTGGAGCTTGGATTTTGTAATGATTCTGAGAGCAGAAAAAAAAGTCGAAACACACGAAGAATTGGCTTACCAAGGCTTCAAAGCAACACGGTTAACACGATCTACAGTGATGGCGAGGGCGGGCAATGCTGCGGCTGTGACAAGAGCTCTTCAGTCTTTAAGACGTTTGAACTTGACACCGTCTTTTGAAGCACGAGCAAGTTTGGTAAGTGCGTGTTTGTCGTACTTTGAAGCAATCATTGTTTTCGGAGTTGAGAATCAGTCATAATTTTGTTACTGGAATGGATCTGGACATTTCACCTCCCTATTCACTTGAATCACATCAAACATTGGAAGCTAACGTGTCAACATCAACCAATTTAGAGAACATCACCAAAACGCAAACCACTACCAGCTCAAGCCTCCGAATCAACACAATCAATAGCTGCTGCCAAGAAGAGGCTACCTCCTCTGCCACCATCACAACCAACTATTGTGACAACACTGGACAATGGATTGCGAGTTGCCACGCAGGAATCGCCAGGTCATTTTGTCGCTGCGGGGGTGTATATAGATACGGGGACGAGATACGAGACTGACGAGACGGCGGGGGCGTCGCATATATTGGATCGGATGTCTTTCAAGGTTCGTTTGTTGAGTTTAGCTCCTTTTTTGCATTCAAGCTGCATGGCTCAATCGCAATTCCTTACACTATTGCTTTTCTACCACAGTCAACGAAGGATTTACCAACAGAAGAGCTGGTATCCCAACTAGAGAAATTAGGTGGTAATGTTATTGCCCATTCATCACGAGAAGCAGTCATGTACCAAGCTGCAGTATTCAGACACGATCTACCCAAAGTAATGCAAATATTCTCTCAAGTAATTAACCATCCATTACTACTTCCAAACGAACTGGACGAAACGAGAACAACAACAATGTATGAAATCGCTGAACTATCCCAAAAACCAGAAATGATGCTACCTGAAGTGTTGCATGGTGTCGCCTTTAATAGTAACGGTAGTGATAATGTGAATACGTTGGGAAGGCCATTGTTGTGTCCAGCTGAAGTGCTGGATCATATTACACCTGATACGCTGAGAAAGTTTAAAGATACGTGGTATACGCCGAATCGGATGGTGGTGGCTGGTGTTGGAATGGATCATGCCATGATGGTGGATTTAGCGACCAAGTATTTTGGTAGTATGCCAAAGACGTCACCTGAATTATTAGAGACACAACAGAAGCTGTCGCTTCCTGCAACATATACTGGTGGTATACAAATACTAGATACAACGAATGATCCACCACATGCTAATCCGGATGTAAGGCCACTAACGCATGTGTATATTGCATTTGAGGCTCTGAGTATGTCTGACCCAGACATATATGCTTTGGCTACACTCACGTCTCTGATGGGAGGTGGTGGCGCCTTCTCAGCAGGTGGACCAGGCAAGGGCATGTACACACGGCTATATACAAACGTGCTCAACCGCTACTGGTGGGTCGAACAATGTAATATGGTCTCCTACTCATATCTCGACACTGGACTATTCGGTATAACAGCATCTGTACCACCATCAGAAGAATCCCACGCCGGTGTGCTCCCCGTCCTTCTCGACCAACTAGTATGGATGACAACCATGATTCGCGAAGACGAACTATCACGAGCTAAAAACCAACTTAAATCGTCCCTCCTAATGTCGCTCGAATCTAAAGTCCTTGAGCTTGAAGATATCGGACGCCAGGTAATGGTGCATGGACGTCGCTTATCTGTAAATGAAATGATTCAAAGGATTGAGGATTTGACCGTCGATGATTTGATACGGGTTGCGAGACGTATGGTGCTTGGTGAAGATACACCGAGTCCATTGGCGTTTGATGATGGGTGGACTAAACCGTGGGTGCGCACGGGGAATGGCAGTCCGACGGTGCTGATTCAAGGGCCTGTTGGTGAACGGGATCCGTTGAGGCAGGCTGAAGCCGTGTTGAAGGATTGGGGCGTGGGGAGGTATCAAGTTAGTGGCACTAGTAGTAATGTCAATAGTAGTGCGGCTGGTAAAAAGGGACTGTTAGGTGCGATTAGATCTTGGTATCGATGATAGAATTTTTAAAAATAGACGTTACGCATTGTACAGTACTTCAATGGTTTAGTTTACACGCGGTCAGCTGTGCCGGAGTCAAACCTGATCTACTGTAGTGTGGTGCATTTCTTAGTTGTGCTTTTATATATATGATCTCTATCGATACGCAGTTCCTGGACTCTCCAATCGACAATACTCCACTAGTAGTAGTAGTGTCGTCAGTACAGGATCTGGTAGAGGTAAATCAATCCACGAGCTTATTGCTGAAAAGTACAAGGAGATATCTCGTAAGGAGTTGGTGCTTTTTTTGCATTTCAGGCTGTTTTCACTGAATACTCGTTTGAATAGTCGATGACGATTCATCAAAGTCCAAATAGTCCAGCACTTTGGCTCCTTGTATGTATGCCTACTAGATTAGATGAGGGGATGAAGTTTGTTGCATATATATATCTTTTACTTTTTCTCGTACAGCTTGTCGTAGTCGTCTATGACCTCGTCAATAGAAACATTGTGAATAACACGAGAAAGTCGGGCTATTAGCGTCAGTTTCTTCTTCCATCTTCAACTTGGTATCCACTTTTTATCATGGCCCCTATTTTTATTGGTTGAAATCCTTATTACTTCGCACTGTCTCCACTATAAAAGCCGCACATTCTCATCCCAACATTCCAAAAACACACCAAATCATCCGAGAACACAAGAAAGAATCCAATTCTCTTCAAGAAATATGTTCACAGGCCGCCATCTCCTCCTGCTCTATCTCAGGCAAGTACGCTTCTGATACTCTTATTGTTTTTTGTTTGGAGGCCACGACGAAATTGTCTGCGTTGGTTGATCCAGACTGACAGGACAGTTGGCCGCATTGGCATCGGACTCAGACAAAAGGGCTAGCGCCCTCCAAGCAGCGTCTGAGACTGGTGGATGTAGATGATCGGGGCACACCTTCGAGGATATTTATTAATCGACATCCAAGCGGGTCGGATCGCAGCGTCCTCTGTCTGGGGCATCAACCCGGAACATGGCGAGAAACGTGCTGTATCTTACATCACTCTAGTGCATCGAGTGACTCGTTTTGATTAGTTTATGACAACTTACTGACACCATTATTTATTGTCTGTAGATCAACGCCCCTCACTCTATAAAAGGTGGCGGGAACAAGAATTTGGTCAAGATTGTGAATAACTACAAGACCATCCCCACTCAACCAAATGGACTCAAGCGCCGGGCCAGTGTCGAGCTATACAACACGGCCAAGACTCCACGACGATTACGACGTTCTGATATTCAACAGTTGCGCCTTGATGCTCTCGACGAATTCAAGCTGGCTTGGTGAGTTCCGTTTTCTCTGCAATACAAATGAGAAGGTATTGACTGACTATTCTCCTCTCGACCAGTCTCGATTTTGTGATTGCAGCTCGTGACGACAATACCCACCCATTTACTGAAGAAGTAAAGGCTCGTGTCTCTGACATCCAAGGCAACCAGGCTACGAACTTTGATGGATTCGATGAGGCAGCATTCTTGAGGCTGTTTGGCTCGACTTTCAGGTTGGGTTTTTTGGGGGGTCTAACACGACGCTTGACATTTGATAACGTGTGTTTTAGGAAACCCAACTATCTATTCCCCTTTGCTGGTGTCATTGCTGGAGATATCAAGTCTTATTTGGAAGCCGTGGCTGATATCAAGAATGTGCGTACGAGCCGCATTGCCACCGCACATCGCACCGTCGGGCAGGTGGTTACGGCTGATATGGATATATGTACAGAAATTGGCATTATACGTCGAGCACTATTCAGACTCAGTAAGTGTATAGTCAATGTATTATTTTATGCTAATGCTTATGCTAATAGTTATTGTTTTTAGACGCATCACCTCAACGCCATGCAATGGTTGTTGCCATCTTTGAAGACTTGGTCGATCAAATCACCGAAGCCAGAACCTCGCATTCGCCTCTTCTTGCTGTCAAACAACTCCTTGTAAGTAAATCGCAACGACAATAATAAGACGATTGTTTACACGTAGCTCGTTTCTAGGACTCTGGAAAGGACTCTGGAAAGGACTCTGGAAAGGATATACCAATCACAGAGGTACTCATGTGTTTTCTTGATGATTATAGTCAGTGTGTTGAGCTATTTTTTGTTTACATGGTAGCCTGTACGAATCCGGATTGCAGCAAGCATCGATGGGAAAGACGTCGCCGATACGGACATTGATGCCGTCAGTATCATGGTCGATCCAAAGTTGTTACTCGATGATCTGAAGGCTGACTTTGCTCTCGAACTGGATATGTCATTACCGACACGTCACTACTTGAATGGTATTCGACTCACCCCAGATATGAATACAGGAGATATACAAACCACCGCATCAAACCCTATCTTGGTTGTTGGATATGTCAAGACTGAAGTCAAGACTGAAGTCAAGAAGGAAGTCAAGAAGGAAGTCCAAAGAATATCAGAAGTAATTTGCATAAATTGATTCGCATAGCTAGAATCCCTATTCATTATTCGTTACACTCATACAAATTGCAAATGGAACACATTGTAATATTTGAAATTACTCTTTGGTTTCTCCTCATTGCATTTGGAACAGGTTTTGGTTTCTATGATGCTCAAGGAGATACAAAGAATCTATTTTTAAAGTGCGTTTACGCAGTGCGTTTAAAACTTCCAGCGACAACCGCATTATAGCTATATTTTTTCTCTTCAATACCTCGCCTCGCCTGCTTGACTTGACAACTCGACTTGGTTCTTTCAACAAACCAACTTTTGCATGCCTTCCCCAAAAAGCTCACACTATAACGAAGAACACGATCCTGCATCATCATGTTCAATGCTCCACCACTCTACAACAAGTCCAGAATGCAGACATACTAATCCCACTCCTCAAATCGACAATTCGCTTGTTGTCTTCCACACCTATCCTGGATTCTATGAAGAGCGACCAAATCATTGAATTATTTGAGCTCATCAAGGGACTTGCTCCAACCTACAAGAATACCAAGGTATTATGATCCTTCTCGTTCGTGTGATGCTCTACATCACACTTCAACATCTGGTGACTTCGCTTTCGCTGACATTGCTTCATTTCTCAACAGGCTGCTCGTGGGGAGAAGGCTGGTCGAGAGCAAGTGCAGAAAGTTGCCAAAATCGTCCTGGACGCCAACATTATCATCGCAAATCACAACGTAAGTCGGTAGACACAAAATGATCATACCGCGAGATAGCTCAAGTTAGAGTGGTGGGCTCATAACCCACAGGTCGAAACCTTCTCTCGCTATATTTTTCTCTCCTTTGCCATGTCTGATTAGCACGAGAGCACCAAAGAACCAACAATCGTGCCTCCTAGGACTTGTTTGATTTGAGAACTCGTCTGGCAAGGCTTGCAAAGGAACTCTCGGCCACAGCAACTGGAGGAAATACAGCTGATATTCGTGAATTGCAGAACCACATGCAACGAATCGACGAAGAAATGGAAACGCAAAAGCAATCCGACTCAGAGAACATTCGAGCTGCCAAAGATACCGATATTGATATGGAAGGTCGTTTGGAGGCTGTAGAAGAAGCTCAACAAGTCGCCAAGGAGAATGAAGTCGAGATGACCGAAAGAATGGATTCTATGGAAGAAAAGCAACGTAAAGCTACTCATACATTACAAGAAATCAATACCAAGCTCGAAGAAATACCAGAAATCAGAAATGAATTGACCAGACGAGTAAATACTGTTGCTCACTCTCGTTTCTATTCCTTTTCTTGCATTCATCATTTCTCAACCCCTCTTTTCAGGGACGAGTGTTTGACCAAATTGTCGACATCAACACTCGTGCACAAACTTGGAGATATAGATTGAATTCAGAGAATAACTGTGGCAAAATGCGAGACATTATGAAAGAATATGCTGGCCACTTCCAAACCGATCTAGTCGATCCAGAAACTGACCTCATTTCCGCCCCAAAAGACTTCATAGTAAAGGGATTCGTGAAGAATGGGCTCTTCATGCAGTTCTTATCAAAGCTCACCCACTTCCTGGACGTTGATGAGCTGGAAGGATAACCGTATAGGTATAAATGTAGATGTCTAGTAAGTAGATTGAAAAAGGATGCTGGAATGAGGTCGTGTATTGAAAATGGTAGAGGCTGTAAGAGGTTGAAAAGAGGCGGGTTGCTGATGGAAGGTTGCTTGTTTTTATAAGATAGATATTTGCACTTGTCATTATTTAAAGCACATTTCATAATTTGTTTAAATCACAATACAGATTAATTTTATTTGCAAAAGTCCTTGTCTTGGAAGATGATTGTTTCTTGCCTTGTCTCTCACAGCAAAATGTGGCTCATGCATTCTATTGGGATTATAGTCCCGCAAATTTACGATTACTACAACGCTTAAAAACGCACTAAATTGCGAATCACTCCCCATATGTTACTGGAATTACGTTTGCGTCAGCCCCTCAACTTAGTTTTGACCAACCATCTTGACAAAGGTTGTTACTTCCTTCTAACTCTCTGAATTACCGTTAGGACTTGACATTCGTGGCAGATGATGCAGTGTCAACAGATTATGCGGTCAGAAACCGCCTGAATCTCGTCAATCAGATATACTTGTCAGCGTCGCCCTCCCAAAAATCATCATCATACCAATGGTTTCGGTACTTTCCGACCAGTCCATGAACTGATTCATGTATCCGACTCCGACGTATCCACATATAACGAATGGATCCACGTCCTTGCTCCTCATATACGAACGTATCTCCAGCTGGTCAACCAACGAACGGCCTGAGCTTGATCGACGCTGGCATCGAACACGTTGTGCCAACTGAATAGATTGGCGATTGGAAGAGCTGTATGGTAAGTAGAAAGAAGTGTATAGATTACGCAAAAATCAAAGGCTGGAAGGCGGTGTTAAGTTGTTGATTCTTAAACAAACTCACTAAATGTTGCAACCCAAAATCACGTTCGATGTGCGAATTTGCGTTGATGCGCCCGTATAATCCGCCCACAGAGCATTCGTAATGTCCCGTCATCATGTTTTGGTGTCATTCTCGTTGGCTGTTCATCTGATGTTGATTTTGCAAACATTTCCCGGCCAACGAATAAGAGGGCGCGACCAGCTCCAGGAAAAGACCGGACTTCCGCCGTGACTCTTGTCAGGATGCACCCATCTACAAGCTCCACAGAATTCGTTGTTGACTGATTCGTCCCAAAATGTTGAGGCAAAACGACGGCCGTGATGACATCAAGTGGAGCGGTAAAGCTTGCATTTAGCGAGCGAAAGACAATCCGATAGCGTAATTGGAATTCTTGATAATCTTGGGATGACGTGAGTGGAGGTTCTTTTGACCAGACACTTTGAAATGTCAAGTGTTTGTGATATAAAGAGCACGGTCGGGACTGCTCCAGCTTGCCTGATTCAATTCAACCGCTTATTATCTAGATCCAGATGAATGCCATGCATGTTTGCAAAGCTCAATCTAGATTTCTTTGACGTTGGAATTTTCGAAAGTTGGCGTGTGTTCGTATGACTGACGCGCTCTGGCACCTTTCGCAGGTGGAAGCAGCCCTTTCAAATCATATTGTAACTCAATGATTTCTCATGGTCTCAATTGTGAGCGTACGCATAGTCAACATCGGACACAATTCTAACAATTCTCTGGTTTTACGAGTTTGGATGTAGTCTATGTGGTGGACTTTACCTTCAGTGGTCAAACCGGTGTCAACCACATCGTAAGAAAGAAAATTTGGTTACTTTGGACTCAGATTTCCTTTTGATTCTTTTGATAACGTCAACTCAACCAACATTGCTCCAACGTTTTACACAGAGTCCTGCCATTCACAAGCCGTTCGAATTGCAGTGCTGCTGCAGCAAGTAGGTTCGCATACACATTTTATTCTCACAATGAAACACAAATTCACCACATTCATTGTTCACAGGCAGCAGTACATTGATTTCAAGCTACCCAGATGGTTCAACATTCTCAAAGCTGAAAAGATGACCGTGTGTGCTTCATCACAGATAGCCATGTACCTATATGAAATTGGTTTGTAAGATACCAGGATTCACTGCCATAATATCAATGAATGATCAACAAATCCAAGAATGGAATCGAACAATAACAGGAATTGGGTATCAAAATCGTGAATTCCACTTCCAATTCCATTCTATTCCATTCCCGTGCATCTCTACAACAAATCAACTATAACAGGCTGAGCGAACAAGAGTGATATTGATCACGTACTTTGCCATTGTTCTTAATCGTAGATTCACGTAGATCCACGTGTTTAATACAACATTGCGACGACACAAGTCCAGTTCTACGCGTGTCAAAATGATTTGGCGGCCGTTCTGGCCTCGTTTGTAGCGCACTCGAAAAATCCTAACACTTGTTGACAATCTTGACAATTCTTGACTAGATCCCAGGCATCGTAACGATGACCAAAAAGCTAAACTCATTGAAGCCAGAGGAGGCAGAATCAATATCCAAATGGGCGATTGCCACCAAGTCCTTTATAGACAGGATACCTACCAATAATGCGTCGACATTGTCATCAAACGAACAAATAACAACAACACCACGAAAACCACCAAGTAAAGATATTGAAGACGACGACGATCCATCTCCTATTCCTCCATCGACACGTACATCCAACGATGGATCCAGTCATGCTCAAGTATTGGAACAAACCATCGTACATTGCGCAGTGCAATTAGTTCCAGTGCTGGGGCATTCTAATCCAAAGACGAGAGCTAAAGCAGTGGCAATGCTCTTTCAACTGGCTGTTTTACTTGATCCCACTGTTGCTACACAACAGAGCAAAGTGGATCGTGTCTCAACCGCGTTGCAAGTTGATGAACGAGGTACGTGTTATCACGAACGTTATTCGGTTTGGTACCTTGAAACTGCTAGATCCGTATATGTTAAGACTCCTTTTACCAATCCACCGCCTCTCCTTTTCAGGATACCATGGTCACATACACGAACTCTTCCACTACCTCGCATCTCCCATGTCATGTATCGCATTACCAATGATATCTGGCCTCGAATCGCTCTCAAAAAGCAGTAACTGGACTACAAGAGGTGCTTCTATATCTGCCATGACACGTATCCTATTTGAGAACGAGAAAATGTTTGGACAGGATGATCATTTACGAGTTGTGTGGAATTTGTTCTTCACTTTGGGATCAAATTCAAAGCATCGTTTCTTTCCTGATCGGATTGTTGTCATTAAGGTATTGTTACCAAGATTGGAGTTTGGTGCATGCGTCATGCTTGACAGTCACAAGGGTTTTCTAGGCATTGGGTCTCCTCGCACCTTTATATTGTTTGTCGGATTCTAGCTTGACGCAACAGATTGTTAAGGTGTTGCTGGGCTTAAAAGACAAGGTTTGCTTGTGTATTGGCGAGAGTACGCCAGAAAGAATGCATGACTCACACTTATCTGTAATCTAGACTTCCGCGGAATCAGAGGCCATCAAAGGCACATTGAAGAAAGTGTTTGATAAGCTTGGAGAGTCTGCCAATAAAGATCCCAAAGCTTCTGGTATGGTAAAAAAGGTGCAGATGTCCCTGGGTTATAAGCTCACAAAACTCTCTAAACCACTCCCAAATGCACAGGATACCAAATGTTTTCAGATCTATTACAATCTCAGTCGGAATCTGCTCATGATCTGCTACCATGGGCGCTAGAAACATACACGACCAGTCTAGTACCATCTCTTCGTGAAAAAGGAGGTGGGAAGAAACCTGTGATATTGGCAGAATCAGATATGATTGCCTTTGTCGAATTCCTATCCACACTACAGAACCATCTTCAATCAGCCTCTCCTCTAATCCGATACAGTACATGTTTATGTCTCCATACTGCCTTAACATTATGTCCGAGTCTGCTGTCGCCTAGCTCACCTTACACTACTAAATTGGTTATGGGTGTAGCTGATCTGGACTATTTGACCGCCTTCTTGTATACGTCACTACTTCCCAAGATTACACATTCGACACCTGAACTGAGTCAAGATGTGGAGAATGTTATTGCTCAGTATCGTAGACAGGATCTAATAGGGCAATCGTATGATAAGCGATACATGAAGAAGGACGTTGATGTCTCTCATAACGCTAAAAGTATCGACTTATTCATTATACTGGATGCAGTCATCAAATATGTACCGGTGCCACCTAAAACGTATCTGTCAAAGGCAGTGTCGTCTTTGGCATCACTAAAACCAACACAACGTTTGAAATCGCTTGATGTGATACGTGCGTATGTGTCTCAGACACCACAGGTACGTGTCTTCGGGTTTCGGTTTGTAGTTGCAAAACAATCAACACTTATTGGTACTTAAACATAGATTGATGTGGAAGTCATTGATGCACTGCTACCATTAATACAAACCTCTGATTCTGTGCTGCAAGCATCGGTGGTACAGGTGGCCAAAGCTATTCTGCCTTCGCTTAGTAGAGCTCAGCCACAGGATGTCTCGTTTGTGTGGCATACAATGCATCCCCTGTTGCAATCGTCGACGAATGAGGTTTGTCTGGTTTGAAATCGCATTCCTGGCTGTGACGGTGATGGTGATCTTACTTGTCGTCATAATAGAAAACGACATTGGCTATGGTGGAACTGTGTAGTTGCTTGCCCTTGCAGCTGTTGAATCAGAGTGACAGGACAGAGGTAAAAGTGACAACCGTTGTTGCTAGTGACATAGGGCTCAACTTTCTCTCTTTTTTCTAGCTGTTGATGTGTCTTTTCGACTTGGCTTTTGATGCTCACGCTGGCGTTCGAGCAAAAGTATACAATGTCTTGTCACAGTGCGCCACATTATGGGAAACCGGTAGTGAACGTATCACGGCTATTGCAATTCTATTTCTGAGCTTGGGAGATGGTAGCCTGGAATGGTAAATCGTTCGAAAACGCCCTCCTCCAAATTCAGAGATACTCAATTTTTTCGGCGTGTGCAATAGTGTGAAACAGATATCCAACTATTTGACGACTTTTGAGCCCGTTATACCAGCCTCGGTGCTAGAACTGGTCAAACTACTCCCAAAGGCATCAGAAAGTGGACTCCGCGCAGTCCTGAAAGTCTATGATGACATTGCCAACAAGATATGCAATGTCCAGACCTCTTGTGCTCCATTGGTTGAAGTCATCACGGCTGACGAATCTGTTGATCGATTTTGGGAATTCTTCTTGTCTGATGTGCCTGAAAATCAACTTGTCAGGCCAGATGATTACTCATATACAAGGAACTTCGTACAGGCACCATTTTGGATTTCTTTGTTATTGTGCAAATTTAGGTTGCCACCACCACCTGCTTCTACCGTAAGAATCATAGTTTCCTGTTTACGATGAAAATTGATGAAGGTATTGTAACAATGTTTTTGTCAACAATAGAGCGGTGAAGTTGTTGACCGAAGGATTGTTCCTGCTTCTCCTGCCAGTAAAAGGAGATTTGCATGTGGATTTATGCTGTGTCTTATGCCAACTGCTGGCATGCCGGATCCAATTTTAAGAGTGTGAGTAAAAAAAGTCACTATGTCTGCCGAATTGCGTGTTTATGTCCCACACTCGTTTGTTTTTAGACTCGCTTGTGAAGCACTCGTAAGATGTTGCTTTGGCGATTACAAGGTCTTTCCAGGAGCGCTCAAAGGGCTGCTTGAAAACACTGCTGGTCAGATGTTGATTCATAAGCAGTGGACATATCAGAGGTATGTGAGCAAAAAAAGCGAATATCCAGAAGTTTGTATTCACGTGTTTGCGATCTAGATCGGCAATTGACATCGTGTCACTACTACTACTGGCTCGTTTGTCAAACGGCATCAGTCAAATCCTGTTTCATCAGTACTTTGATGTTGCTTTGGAATGGACTGCCAATGCTTCATCCGCCATTGTCAAAATCGGAGCACTGAAACTTGCTGAAGTGTTTCTAAAAGTGTTTCCTAAAGCTACTGGTGCAAAGATTGAAGAGTTGCGAGATCGTGTCAGGTAAGATGCTGCGCTGACCGCTTTTTTGCCCTTGCCAAAACTGACCCTCATCTACTTCATTCTGCTCGCAGAACCTTGATTGTGGACAAAGAAAACGAAATTCGACGATTGGCCTGTAAATTATATCCCATCATTTTCAAGCAAACCCCAGCTGCTATGATGGAGGTTTCATGGAATTATCTGCTAAGTGAAATCAAAGTGATTTCGAAAGGTGGATTAGCAGCAGCAGCTGATCCGTTAGTTGCATCTTTGACTCCAGCTGATTGTGATCGTAAGATTGAGTGTCATTTGTTACTCGAGACGATGAGAAATCTAACCAAACCAATAAACAACAGATGTAATCAGAACAAGCATTATTGCTAGTGCCTACCTACCAACGAACCCCGTACTGAGTGATCAAATTGTGCAAAGCCTGCTGCCGTATTTGCATCATTCAAGTCCAGAATTTCGTGTGGCTGCAATTCAGTCTATTCTGCAACATGTAGGAATTTGGAGTAGCTTTGCCCTACCCTTTCTGCTCATTGTATTTCCCATCAACATTAGACTTCCAGATTGGATAAAGATCGTGTTGCTCCACTCATGTGGATTGTGTTGCCATTGTATGCGGATCCGCAGTCACATGTCAGAGTATTGTTTGACCGATTCCTTAAACGGCAGCCTCTGGTGCGGAATGAATGGCATATTGATCCTCATGGTGAAGACGACGAGGCTCTTATAAATGGGTAAGTTGCGCGCGTGTGTGTGTGAGGGGTTGTATTTGAATATCTAATATTTCTGGAGTAGAACCCTTGAAGACTCTCTTGGTGATGAATCTGTGATAACAAGCAACCTGCAACACTTCACCGATTTTGGATTTTTGGAAGATGGAGAGGAAGATTTCTTTGAGTTGGGCACAGAGCATGTAATGAACTCACAGTTCGCCCTGTATTCTGAGCCCTATTCCTGACCTTTTTTGCCCTTTCTCATAAGATGGCAGAGGGATATCCCAGACGACAGCCTCTCATATCGACTCATCTAGTCTCTTCATTGCGGCAGGTTGCTCAACTCATAACTAGTGTCTTGTCGCCTGAATCTGGCAGTCAAGTTGTTTATTACCTGCAAGAAATGCAAAAGAATCGACAATTGGAGGTGAGAAAACATGCTACGCATCGATACATGCGCTGGTATTCACACACACTTTGTGGTAGGCTTCAACAATTCTAGTGTTATCTGAACTCTCATCCATGCTGGAAAGTGCCATGCCAACTATTGTGGACATCATGATTTCGCATCTAGCCAATGATGTGTCTCAGCACAGTAATACTGCTATGGAAGCTTGTTTGATTGGCCTCCGAAACATTTCAGGTGTGATAGAAATACTTTTTAAAGGATTTTTGATCCCTTTTTGCGCCGACAAGTTATTTTGACGTTTTGCCTATTGTCGTATTCCAGAAAACTCTCCCCTTGCCTTCAAACAAGTGCTGGGTCGGTTGACCGCTGCATCAGCAGTAACAAACGAAGGAGATATCATTGCATTATTACATATTTCAGATGTGATTGCTGAAAAGGCAGCTCCTAAAGCTGTAGATGTTTTGCGTCGATATGTGCCTGTGATATCCAGTGCTAGACACTCTAGTAGGAAACGGCGGTGGGCTGTATATCTCTGTGGTAAGTGCAGTCATTTTCCTAGGCTTTTTTGCCTTTGGCAATCTCGCAGTGTTTGAAGTTTGTGTAATAAGTAATCTTACAAACTTCGAACCTTCAATAGTCGAGATGGCCCTTTTAGCTGGTGCAGACGAGATGATGAAACTGCTAGATGCTATTCAGGCGTTTATGGATGCTTACGAAGATGAAGATGACGATAACAATCTTAGGATTCATGTGTATAGCTGCTTGTCGCGAATCTTGGTGCAGCTGGGACCAAAGCACCCCTTTTTCCGTGCTCTTATTGCATCAGCCAAAAAAGTACGTCATTTCGATTCGTTCCAACTGTGGAAACACAACATTAATATCTCAAAACGTTTAGGAAGCTCGTCATAAAGATGTCAAGATCCGATTACGAGCTCTATCCATATTTGAAATCTTTATCAATCACATGACTGGTGACGAATCTATGAACTTTGCAATCTTGTTCCTATCAGACACGGACGCCAGCATTCGGGACGAGGCCAGAAGAGTGCTGGCTATGGAGGGGTTGTTGGAGTTTTGTGCTACCAAAGTTAGGAATCTGAGTGTTACTGCAAGTCCGTCTAGAAACTTGAGCGTCTCTGGAAGTGTGTCTAGAGGCTTGAGTCTTGCTGGGGGACTTGGGGCTCCAAGTGAAGTAGGAGAAAGCTCCATGTGTGATCATGAAGTCACATTTTTTCTCACCACATTGTCTTACAAAGGCTGGAACAAATCGAAGCCAATTCTACGACCATGGAGATTCACGTGCTTCGTCATCAGAGCTACTGAATAAGGCGGTTGTGGTACCATCGAGAGGATCGAAATGGAACGCGAGATTTTATGGTCTTCCAACTGGCGTGTCGCAACCACCAGCACCATCATCTGTGGTCAAAAATCTGGAATCTAAGGCGACACCAAGTATGGCTTCTGCATCTCCCGATGTTGTGGCCAAGCATTCTTGGGTACGTACAAACAACCTATTAGGAGCACTCGTATTATCGTACTCACTCGTTTCGGTTGTCCTCCAGGCTCTACACATTGACCCTTTGGTCTTATTAAAGGAATGCTGCAAGCAGGCTACTCCTGTCGCCGAGGAGCTAGTTGAAAGTTTGTTGGTTGAAGTTGAACGAGGTGAGCCTAAAAAGGTTTCCAATCACAATCGTGTTAGTACGCTTACAATCTCAATCACCCAGCAATACGAGAATCCGGCGGACAAGATGAATCCTCGGATGCTTCAGATCTAGAATCCGAAGTCCATGCCATCGAAAGCGCAGGGCAAATTCTCTGTGCATTGAATGGAGCATCTCACAAGGCCTCTACATATGTGGATCGTTTGCAGTCTCTATTGAAGTTGTGCAATACGTCTTCAGAGAGCATACGAGAGGCCTTGTTTGCTGATTTGGAGAGTTCTTTCTTCTTTTTCGATGAGACTATGGATGCCCCTATTGTTTCTGAAGAGCAGTACGTGTTGCATCTTCTCAATTTTAAGTTGCAGCAAAAAACTACGCATAGGCCTGACAAATCCTGTGCTTTTTAGGTATCAGACATTCGAGGCCATGAAGAAACTCTCACAAGAAGCTACTCAGGAGGTTGTCAAGACTGGCAAAGTTGATAAATTGGGACAGTTGGAAGCTAAGAGGAATGAGTTGGTTGATGTGATTGATACTGAGGTTTGTAGTGTCTCATTCTGCTGCTGCCACTCGACTTTTTTCATCTAAACTGCGATCCTTTCCGCACTTTAGAGTGATCGTATCAGAAGATTTACAGTCTTGTCAGTTCATGGCACTATTGCTTATGCTAAATACTTTGCTGCCAATCCCAACACTAAGCCTATTGAAGCGTTAGAGTTTTTGGAGACTTTGTCGTCTCAAGAACATTGGTAACGTATACGATGGTGTTTTTTTGCTATGGATGGACTCAGTACTCAACATGACTTCTTTTTTCAACAAAAGGGGCATACGTATGGCAGCTATTGAATCTATAACCATGATTGCGAACGCACACGTTGCACCAGGCACTGGTGACATTCAGATCAAAGTATCTAGCATGCTTGGAGCTGTCGTATCTCGCTTCGAAACAGAGAGGTCTACTCTGTTTAGAAGAAAAGTGGACTTGCTACACCTCATGCGCCATCTCCTAAACCATTCTCGAGTATCTGGCACCACATCACCGACATTAACGACCCGTATAGTCGCCATCCTGTTAGACTTGTGGACGGATGTAGATCAAGAAGTAAGAGCCGAGTCTATACGCATGATGCAGCAGATGCTGGAATGGGGTGTACCAGAAGCTATAAGTTTGTTTAGCTCGAGTAATAGTATGAGTGATAAGGTCACGATATCTGGACAAGCGAGCATGTTGATGGCACGACCAGAGTATGAGCAGAAGAATGAGCTGCTGCAGCTGCTTAAGTGGGGGTTTACTCATCCGATGAGTAAAAGTCGTAGTCCCAGTAAAGTATCTGGAAGTAAAACTGTGCTTGGTTGACTTTGTATAAAATCTGTATATAAGTATATAATAGAAAAGGGCTAATATTCCAAATTTGAAGTGACTCCATATCTGATAAGCGCGTGTTGAAGGCATGTCGAGTAGCTTTTACACCTTCCTCAATACAAGTTCCATCGTGCTATGAGCAACAGTTCTGAAACGACTATAATCTCGTTTGCAAGTGCAGTTTTTTGTTGAATGTGTACATGAACTTGAAAAACTGTGCCAAACACATTGTTTGGGCAAAAACAAGCAAAACAACGAAGACATCCGTGAGTCATTGGATGCCAATCGAATATGCCGTATTAAATGAGTGTGTTGTTATGTTTACAAGTGAAGGTCAAATAAGAAACTACATAGGTCAAGCTGGTCTTCCCAGACGTCTTTAAGCTACGATTCGAATACCCATCGATTTAGCCTGCCCAGCAATCATCCTAGCAACCTGATGCAGATTATACGATTCCATTCCAGGATCCGCATTCTTCACTTTAGCAATCTCATATACATGTTTTAGCGACACGATCCCCACTTCAGTATCGCTTGTTCGCCCACTTCCCTTCTCGACACCAGCAGCAGCTTTCAGCAGGTATGAAGCATGTGGAGCTTTCACTTGGAATGTATATGTCTTGTCTGGTTTGACTAGTATATGTACTGGTAGTGGTAGGCCCTCTGTAAAGTGTTTGGATTTTTCGTTGAATGCCTTGCAGAAATCTATTGCTTTTATGCCTCTTTGACCTAGTGCTGGACCTGCATAGCGTAAATAGAGATGTTAAATGATTGGATTTCGATATTATAATACGTGATGATTGTATAGATGGACGTGACTTTGCTTAGATGATGTTTGTAAAAAAGGACAAAACATACCGACAGGAGGTGAAGGAGTAGCTTTTCGAGCTGAGACTATTAGACGTATTAGTGATGTTGATGACGTTACTGCAGCTGATGCTTTCTTGGATGCCATCCTTCGTGTCTAGTTCTGCTAAAGTTGATTCGACGTTTGTGGTTTGGACAGAGATTGAACGAGGCACGAGGAAGTGGTCTAGGAATCAGGACGTGGTGGCCTAATTAAAAAGCCATTGATTTCGTGCTTGTCGTCGAGTATGTCGTGTCTGAACACGTCTATATGGTTAATATTGGATGTCATTGCAGCACATCAACATTCGTCGCGGCATCAGAAGCTTGGAGAGGTTTTCATTGACAAACTGGAGCTTTCGAGTGTAAGATACGTGATTTGTGATTTGGTGTAAAACTTACCTTTAATGCCCTACACTTGCTGGAGGAAGGTGTAATTTTGCCAACTTCAACAACTGAATTCACATTTCGTACTTTGTGACAAGATTCTTGGCTATAGACCGTTGATTTTCCTACTTCGTGTCTCTGACTCCAGATTCAAGTCATATCCCATCAGCCTTCCTAGAAAGGTGCCTGAGAAATGAATGATATATGCTTTTGTGAATGAATTTGTCCTTTGTCCTCACTGGCAAAACAAGGATTTTCTTTTACGATCACTTATGTCTGGGCCAAATTCATGATACTGTTGGGTCGCTAGTCTGTGCTCGTGAAGCTGGCATCTTCGTCGCTCAGAGCTCAAGCGCAGAAACGAACACTTTCAACCGCACTTTTTGGATTCCATATACGAGGGCCGAACGTAGATTTTAAGCTTGTATTGATCTTTAATACTGCAGCAAAATGGCACAATTCAACGATGTTTATCAATATACCGATACCGTTCGCCAAATGCCTAAGACATTTGAGTTTCGATGTGATCTTGGAAACACGTGTTTGCAAACACCGAATAGCCTAACGATGCAGAATACAGCGAGCCTGCCCCTCACGCAAGTTCCAATTTGATGTCTTCAACATTGCTGATCGCTGTAGCGTATTCGGCGGAAACAGCCGGATTGCACTCAATCCGAACTTTGTCGATAATCTAGGTAGTTCCAAAGTACATTCTGAATGACAACCCGGTCTGTACTCTGGTGACTGACTTGCTTGATGTTGGCGAGAAGGTGACGAAAACGGAAACAGACGAAGAACGTGGATCACGTTGAATTCATTGAGACTCAACCTATATGTAGCAGTTAGCACTTCAACATAGCGCTCTTACGTCAATCGATCGCTGTGAAACGAAATAATTGGCATGAGCAAATTTTCCAAAGGCTAAGCTATTTGCTCAGCCAATAGAACACCGTGTTTTCAAAACGTGTTAAAGTCCCTATGCTACACCCGCAAACCTTGCCACTTGGCCCTTGGGTTTAAAGCATTTCTCGGTGGCTTTAACGAAATGCATGCTCTGCTCCCTTGAAAGTACCTTGCAAGCACCAAAACGTTTTAGCGCATGCTTTTGTCTTCTTCTTGCAAAAAAAGAATTTTCAACTTGCCCCCTTCCTGTGAGACTCTAAGTTGCTGCTTTCAACAATCATCTACTTACAACACATACATTGCATCCAGTGTTATAAGTAACAAGATGTCTGACGAGAAGAAAGTTGATACCGTCGTCCTCAGCGCCGCTGAAGAGAAAAGGGAGAAAGCCTTGGCCGGTAATTAGTCGCATCGCATATAGAACTTTCAGCTAACACCATGAAACTAAAGTATTTTCTTGTTTACAACAGCTTTGGACAATGCTGGTAATGATCTTGTCTTCTGCATGTGCTCAAGTTTGGTGGTGTTTGCTGGAGCTTTGGTGGAGCACAGCAGGAGTTTGAATGCAATCAGATGCACCAGATGAAACTTTATTACATTCTCACTGCTGCGGCATTCCACAGCAGCATTCTTGTCAACACCTCCTCCTAAAGCAAACCCACTCAACAGGAACACGAAACTAAAGCTTTTTTACTTTTTTACTTTTTTTTTCAGACTTCACATGGTTCCACGTGAAGATGATATTAGTTGCTGGTGCCGGTTTCTTCACCGATGCCTACGATATCTTCGTCATTGGTCAAGCTTTAAACATCTTATACGCTGTGTACTTCAACGTTCCCGGCTCAACATCCGTCAAGCCCGCTACCAACATTGATGCTTTACTCAAGGCTATTACCAACTGGGTAAGTTTCCTGCCTTTGCGGACCGGTTTCGTTTTCCAAAACTGATTGACCTTGAACGATAGGGTAACTTCATTGGTCAACTATCATTCGGATACCTCGGTGACCGTCTCGGCCGTAAGAGAATGTACGGTGTTGAACTCATGATCATCATGTTCTCTTGCTTCGCCTCTGCCTTTTCTGCTTCTGCTGTCCGAGGTTTCGGTGTCCTCTTCGTATTGGGCATGTGGCGATTCTTCTTGGGTATTGGTATTGGTGGTGACTACCCAGTCTCTGCTGTTATCTCATCCGAGTTCTCCAACGTCAAGTTCCGTGGTGCTGTAAGTTTCAACTTCTGTCGCTCGAGCCGAGTGAAGATCGGCTTCTAAACTGTCGTCCCATTAGATGATCGCCGCCGTATTCGCCAACCAAGGTCTCGGCCAATTGACTGGTGGTGTTGTTGCCTTGTGTACTCTCGCTGGTTTCAAGGACTCTATCTACAACGATCAATACATGTTGGATTACGTCTGGCGTATCCTCCTTGGTTTCGGTGTTATCCCCGGAGCCATCGCCGTCTACTACCGTTTGACCATCCCTGAAACTCCTCGTGTAAGTGGTGATTTTTGCCTCCAAACATTTTTTGTGTCCTTCCAAATTGTATCTGTTTTCGAGACTTACTAACGCTTCCCAATTGTCTTCTATCCGTTTAGTTCACTGTCGATGTTTTGGGTGATGCTGGTAAAGCCGAAGCCGATGTCAACAAGGTCTTGTCTCTCAAGGGTGTCAACACTGTATTCACTGAAGACGTAGTCCTCACTGATGAAAAGATTGAAGAACACGTCGTCAGCTTCGGTGAATTCTTCTCGCCCACAAAGAACTTCCGTAACTTCTTGGAATTAGCGTGCTGTGCCTTCTGTTGGTTCGCTTTGGACGTAGCTTACTACGGCTTGACCATCAACTCCTCATCTATCTTGGCCCTCATTGGCTGTAAGTATCAGTTGACGGTAGCATACTAAGCATGTTATGAGAAGTTCTCACTTTCGTATTTTTACTTTCTAGACGGTGCCGTAAAGGGCGACGTCTACATGTCATTCTTCAACGCTGCTCTCGGTAACTTCTTAATTATCATCATGGGTGCCGTTCCCGGATACTTCGTCACTGGTAGGCTATAGCTCTGTAACAAGACCTCAATGCCAGAGTTTCCGTAATTAACAGAATGCTCTAACGCTTTACATGTTCCCCAATAGTCTTCACTTGTGAAATCATTGGACGTAAGCCAATCCAATTGCTCGGATTCGGAATGTTGACCATCATCTTGGCTGTCTTGGCTGGAGGCTTCTACCCCATCTCTGCCATCCCATGGTTGTTCTGTTTGTTGTACGGAATTGCCCAATTCTTCTTCAACTTTGGACCCAACACCACCACCTTCATGTACGTTTGCATCTGTAAATGCTTCGACATCGACTTAGCCTTCCTTTTTTCCTTCCAAATCGTTGACCCCACCCTTTCCAACTTCTAGGTACCCAGCAGAAATCTTCCCAACCCGATACCGTTCTACTGCCCATGGTATCTCTGCTGGTGTCGGTAAACTAGGTGCCATTCTCGGTGTCCAAGTCTTCACTCCATTCAAGGACAACATTGGATTCAACAACGTCCTCTGGTTGTTTACTGCCTTCATGGCTCTTGGGTTCATTGCTACTTTGCCATTACCTGAACCCAAACGTCGTCGTTTGGAAGACATTGCAAAGTCTGTCGAGAAGCCTTCTGCCTAAACTCAAAAAATCGTCGATTCCACTATAGAAAATTAATAGTCTGTAATATTCATCCTATATCATATCCCAAATATCCTAGTAATATCATTATAATTATCAAGTAAAAGTCAGATGGTTGCGAAATGCGAACTTGTGTCTGAAATCACGCGATGAAGCCGAATGACTCTATCCGCTATCGAACAAGCACTGATGCCATGTCGAACAGACGTGGATGATATGAAACTATTCGAATTGACGTTGTCTGTGGCCGATCGCTTAAGAAAATTTTCTGCTACTGTCTGGCTTTTTCTTTATTCTTTCGTTCACTTCCAACACCAACCACCCAAGATATAAACCAGACCACAGCTAGCCAAGATGGTCCAGATATTCGGAATCAACCAAGAAACAGTCGTAATCATGTTTGCTCTAGGCTACATAGGTCTCACATCCCGCATGGCCTTCTTGGCCGACGAAATCGCTCAAGCATCACTCGATCCAATGATTGTTCAACCACTGCAGACATCCGTAGCATTCAGTAGCGAGAAGGGACTTTCCATATTGAACAGTATGGGACCTACCTTAAACCTATACATCACTCAATACATGCCTTATATGGGGTACAGCATTGTGCTTTACGTCGTAGCAGGATACGCACTAATGGACATGATAATGGAGGATCTGACATCTAAAGCCAAGATGCTGAATGTTGTATGGAGGCCTCGAATCACAAATCTAGTGTTTTTGGTCGCTGCAATGGAAATAGTGGAAAATGGAATAATCTATCATGTACTTCATAATCTGGGAGTTAATGGGAGGTGGGATTCTGCAAGTCTGGAGTGGCTTGCTGCTGCTAGTAGGATTGGGGTCATGAGGTTCCTGTCGTTTTATGGATTTTTGATGTTGGCGTTTGCTGGTATGTCTTAGACGTTGAATGTTTGTGGACAGCAGACTAAGGCGTGGTTATCAATAGGAATGTTCTTGAACAGATTCCTTATCAAAGGCATCCAGGACGACGTTAAGCGTGAACATGCTGCTCAAGTTAAAAGAAGTCAACGTAAAATCGATTAAGGTTGGACTGAACTTATAGTGCCCTCCGTTTGCTTGCATTCACTGCCATCATCATTATCGTAACATTATATTAGCCCGATGAACCAAGTACATTGTATTTTTATCCAACCTTCCAATAATGATGAACATGGTACCATTGTAAAACCCGCCCTCTCATTGTGGGTTTTCTGTAGCGGTTGAAACCGTATCGTGCATGGTAAACATGGATCCAAACACGAGTTACTCTCAGAACTCCGCCTCAGTTCCTACTACAATGGTATGCTGTGTGTAGTCATCAGGAATTGGCAAACCAACATTTGACTACGGTAAGGGAATTACCACGGAATGAATTCAGTGTCATCTTTTTGCAACACCACATCTAGCAAATTATTCTTGCTTTCATTTGTCAAAGATCAGAAATGCAACAGGTCCAAGATACATCCCAAGGGTTGCTGTCAGTTCAGAAGAAGGAAGAAAATGGGTCCACGATTTCTGGCTGGGGAATGGCGAGAAAGACAGTTGCTAGTCGGGCATAGAGTTTGCAAGAAGCTTGTAGCGTTGCTTCTCGAGGTGGTCGCCTCATTTCGCCTTTGCTCCAAGAGAGCCAATGCTCCTCGAACACGACAGCCTTCCGTATCAAAGCAGCTTGTACGTTATTGAAGACATGTTGCTTCACATATCACTACCGTCCTGTCGCCTGGACCTGACGGTGAAGTTGTCAACTGCCAACACGCAGAGTAAAATAGTCGACAACTCGAAGAGCGAGAAAAAAGAGATGCTGGGTTCACCATTTTGGTCGCCATTGCTTTCCTCACCTCTGTGAGAGTCTTGCTCTCCATGTGGTCGTCTTCGTGCTGGGCATTGTGGACGATTCGTCGATTATGAGTAACTGGTGATGACAACATTCTTTCTCTGCTGGATATGCTGAACTTCAGCTCAAAGAGAGTTCACGAGGTAGGAAATCGTCAAAGTGGTGTTAGAAGCTTCGCATCAGTCTCCAGTTTGGTTGACCACGCTCCTCCCAACAATTGGATCGTGGGTTTTCCACTACTTTGGAATAAAATGAACGTTTCGCGAGCTGTTATGGTGCGAGACAATGACTTATTAAAGTGGGTAAAAGACGATTCAAATGCGTTGACGAATCCCTTAAAATCACGTCTTGTAGCGCACCTAAGAGTAAATTTCACGGTGAATGCGGATATAAACGCGAAATACAATAGATATATGGTCTTTCGTTCACGCTTTTCTATGATGTTGATCGATCGATGTATACCATCACAACAAAACATCAAACTTTGCCTTTTGCCCAAAAACATTGACCAGTAAATCAGGACAAGAGGTAAGAAAAGGGAAGCTAGCATGATCATCCCCTGGCAATATCAGGCATCAATCCATCCATCTATTTCGCAGTCCTTCCATCTAACTGTCTTGTATTCTATGACACAGAACTAGAACAGAACTAAACAAATGCCTCCCAAACGTAAAAGCAAGAAGGACGAGTCTGATGAAGAAGTATTTGACTCGGACGACTCTGACGTCAAGCAACCACCTACCCGCAAGCCTAAATCATCAAAGAAGGAAGAACCTGATCTCGCATCATTGACTCCATCAAGGAAATCAACAAGAGAGAGAAAAGTAAGATAATATGGTTAAATCGTATTCTATTTTGACCATCATTACGATTATTGACGTGATGATGTGTTTATTGATCTTAAAATCAACCAACATTCCATTTTTACTCTCATTCACAGGTTATCGTTTACGATGATATTGCCAGTACCTCTGAATCGGGCAGTGAAGAAGACGATGAAGTAGAAGGTGGTGATGATGGTGTAGTGGAAGGTGATGCTGCTGCTCCTGAAGGTGGAGAGGAAGGAGAGTCTGCAGTAGAGACTTCAGCTGCTGTTGAAGAACAAGAAGAGCCATCAGGTGCTGTTACTGGTGAAGATGAGGAACCCAAAGAGGGCGATGAAGAGCAACCAAAGAAGGTAATGTATTAGTATTGCACATTTGATCATATTGCATCAAACACTGAAGGGTTTTGTTTGCGATTAGAAGAAGGCAGGCCGTCCACCAGCCAAGAAGCCCAAAGAAGCCGTTCCAGCAAAGAAGAAAAATCAAGCAAAAGCAATCTCCTCACAACATGACCCAGATGAGACCAAGACTCGATACTTTTTACTCAAGGCTGAACCAGAATCTAGAGTTGTTAAAGATATTGATGTCAAATTCAGGTGATTATGACTACACCTTTGTAGACATGCTTTTTGTTCCTGTTGCTAACACTTCCTACTTTGCAGTATTGATGATTTGAAGGAAAAGGGTACTTCGCCTTGGGAGGGTGTTCGCAACTATGGTAGGAACCTTATTTGACCTGGCTTTGAGATCGCATTGATCAAACTGATGTACGTTTACGATGTATAGCTGCCCGAAACATCATGATGGAAATGCGAACCGGAGACATGTGCCTGTTCTATCACTCGAATTGCAAGCCACCAGGTGTCGCTGGTATCTGCAAAGTTGTTAAAGAAGCTTATCCAGGTATGTGTTACAATCACAGCGAAAAAGATTTGATTATGAAGTCATTGACGACCACGATGTTGTCTTTTTTTTGTGTGGCTCCTCTCTGAACGCAATTCGTTCCCAGATTACACTGCATGGGACGAAACACATCCTTACTTTGATCCCAAGACAAACAAAGAAGGTAATTATCCAGCTGTTTGAAATGGTGTCTTGTCAGTTCGGAGACAAACAAGCCTATAAACGACAAATAACGACATGTCCACACACTTCAGATCCCAAATGGCACATGGTAGACGTTGAATTCGTACGCAAATTGGATCGCTTCATACCCTTGAAAAGACTACAACGAGATGATGGTGAAGAGTTGAAGAATATGGCCTTGTTAAAGTATGGCAGATTATCTGTACAACCTGTCTCCAAAGCAGAATTCGATTATGTCTTGCAATTGTCTGAAAAGGCTGATAGTGATGAGGAATGATGAATAATGGACTTGGGGCGGTCTCGCAGATTGTTGATGTGGACATTTTTATATTTGTGTGTGTGTTTTTCGGCTTTTAGAGCCTGTATTTGTTAGAAATCGTTTGATATCGTATACCTTTGTTTTTTCACAACCCAACGCAGCAATAAAGAGACAAGATATGCCATAAACAATCTCTCTCCTTTGTTACTACTTGAACAAGTTTGGTGGTGCGATGTTGCTTGTGAAAGGTGGAATATTGTATTGTGCTGTATTGTGGTGTATTATGTGCTGTATTGTGTAATAAACTAAATAGATGGAAACCCCACAATTTTCCACAATTTACGTGGCTTCTCATAATGAGTCTTGATGCTTATTTGTCTGTAGAGCACGGCCGGAGTCATAATGTATTTGCCGAGTGTGGATTTTCAGAATGTGTTTCGTTTTTCCGTTAAGTGACAAATTGACTAATTATCTAAACTGAAGCAGATGTTGGGTGAGAAATATGGTAAGAGACGATGTCCCATGTGTGGCAGGAATCAGCAAGTTGGGGAAAAGTTCCCAAGTCCGAAAAAAGGAATTGTTCTCTCTTTTTTTCGCCTCTGAAAGTCCCAAACGTTGACGGGCGAATCGTCACCATCCATGAACAACTTTGGACACTATCCTGTTTCTATGTCCCAACTACGTCCAATGGTGAGAAAATAGCCACAGTTTCAGAAACGAAACCCCCCCCCCCCCCCCCCGAATCGGGGAGGTACGTGATTTGATGCACTACCTCTTTTTCTCTCAACACCTTTACATTCGTCCATCATAACTCATCAATATAAATCAGTATTCTCGAATTGACAGGTACAGCACCACCAGGGCAAAATAAGACCCAAAATATACCATAAAAATCTCTACTTTATTATTTGAACAAAAGGTGTGTGCTGTATGTGTGTGTGAAATATGTGTAAAAGGCGGGTGTTGCGTGTCTAGTAACTAGCAAAACCACCAAAAGACTGTCCCTACTGTAACTCTCAATTGCCAGAGTCGTCGACCCAAACTTTGACTGTCTTGTCTGCATCAATAGCTCCTGATGCAATCATGTTGATGGTTGGATGACATGCTACAGACAAGACCGTATCTAAAGGCAGGAAAATATGTTAGTAATTGTGTTGAATGCATTGAACCAGTTTCCGTTTTTATTGGGCATGCGATGCCGTCTATAAAACATCCCTCTCTGTCTCTGTCAAACTCAAATAGCAAAAACCCCGCAACTTTGGATTAAGCCCATCCTCATCAAGGATCCTCTTGCTTTCACCCCATCATGCAAATCCTCCAATTTCACACTGAAAAAGAAGAAAATGAATACGTATACATACCTTTATGCCCAGGAAGCCTCTGCACAATCTCCTTACTCTGCAAATTCCATATATAAATCATCGAGTCTTCACTCCCACTCACAATCCATTTACCACCCGTAACACTAAACGATGAAAAGACACAATATTTGGAATTTGAGTGGCCGATGTAGGTCTTGAGGCATTTGCCTGTAGAGTACGACCATAGTCGTAACGTGTTGTCGAGTGTGGATGCGAGAATGTATTTTCCGTTTGGTGAGAATTTGACGAATGATCTGTATAGGGTGAAATGTTGGGTGAGCTGTCTGGCGGAAAAGATGGCATGATTTGGAGTGGTGGAGACCGCAGAGTCTGGAAAGGATTGGAAACCTTGAAGCTGATCAATTGATTTTTTCGCCTCCCATTGTCATACTTACACCGGCGGATTGTCATCATCAATTAATGTCTTTAGACATTGCCCTGTTGCTGTATCCCAAATACGTCTAATGAAGACAAAATAAGTTGTGTATCAGAAGCAAAAACAACCATAAATGGGAATCGGTCAATAGTGCGACTGCTACTCTGTTACCCTCTTAATAACTTACATCAGTCCATCATAACTTGACGACACAATCAGTGTTCCATCTCGATTGAAACACACAGCAGACACTGGATCTGAATGTGCTGGTAGTACTTTTAGACATTTTCCTATTTAAGAACGTGTTTAAGAAAACAAGACCAAGAACAAAAAAAGGAATAGCCTGACTCGATTCGTTACTAAGCTCAACGATTTGTTCCCTGAACTCAATATATACATACCTTTCCTCACATCCCATATCCTCACAGTCTCATCAAAGGAGCCCGACACGATGAGATTTGATTGTGGGTTGTAGTTGACACAGAAGACGTAATTGGTATGTCCTCTTAATGTTTTGACCGAGTCCTTCTACAAAAATGAGGTATTGGGTGTCAACATACCAAACAAGCGGTCGACAATACATATAGCAACAACCACTGAGCTCACAGCGCCGACATTCCATAGCCTGACTGTCTTGTCGTCAGAGGCCGAGCACATGTGCTGGGAGTCGGAAGACCAGGCTACATCAGATATACCCTGAGTGTGACCTGTCAGAGTTTGCTCCAGCCTTCCGTCCAGAGCATTCCATAGTTTGATTGTCTTGTCGGCAGCTATGTGAGAATACAGCGTTAGTAGATGAGAATACAAAGCGATCAAGCGTGTTGGTTATCAATCTATGGATCTAGTAGGTGTTTTTTTTTTCCTCAAACCCCTAAAGCACTTACAAGCAGTAGCCAACCACTTTCCGTCAGGAGAGAACTTGACACTTGATACAGATTTCTTGTGGCCCTCCAGAGTCCATTTGAGTTTATAATTTGGACGGTTGATCATGGTTACTTGTTGCATCTGTTGAGCATCATCGTCCTGTTGTAAATGTTGCTGTTGTTGTTGTAGAGTGTCGGTATTATTGGTATTATTATTGAGCAGATGGTTTAGTTGGTGGTCTTGCTCATCGTCGTCGTGTTGTTGGTGGTTGTCATCGTCGTCTTCTTCGTCCTGAATCATTCGTGGTCGTTTTGGGACTGGTTGTTGTTGTTGCTGCTGCTGTTGTTGGACCATGTATTGGACCATTTGTATTTGAGCAGCTACGCTCTCGGGAGTGGCCTCCTCCATATCATCGTAGCCTCGCTTATTGCTGTTAAAGTCGCTCATCGTGAATGTGCTTTTTGTTGAGTTGACGAAGAAGAGTGTTAAGCTCATCCAAGACACGGTAGGCCTCCATTGTAAACAGCAATTATAATAAAATCATATATTTCACGCGTATTTATGCCATCAGCTTACGTTCCCCTACTTGACTTTACTCTACTATCACGTCCATCTTCACTCAACCTTCACAGCATAATGGAAAGCCCTAAAGCAGCCTCATCAACGCCATTACCAGGCTCTACTCACGACGATCCCAATGCAAGCCATGCACCGACATCAAAGGACATCCTCTCAAGGGCCAAGAAGATGGGTCTCTTTGATACCATTCGACACGATTTCTTCCAAAAATGGTCGACATCTGCTTCACATGATATCTTTGTCGCAGAGTGCAAGACAACCATCGACAGAATAGCAAATAGTAGCACTAATCACAGAGAAGATAACGTATCTGTTAGAATGCTTACGGCCATTGAAAAGTAGGTCATCGTGTGAATTGTATTTGAGATTTGGAAGCTGCGTGTCTTGACGCTGCGTGTATTGACAAGATGGAGGCTTGATGACACATAGATCTACACTCATATTGCTCTGATCTCATCGTCTTACTTGACTCACATACTCTACTCCTCCCCAACAGCTCATACGCCTACCAAAAGCTCAAACAAGAGATAATATCAACCGAATTCCTAGCCTCGCACGAAACCAAACGACGCATATCAGAAGGTCTACGCGACGCACTCACTCTCCACTTGTCCGATAACCGTGATCCTACTGAAAAGAAACCATCATCGCAACAACACTCACACCAACCTACTACCACACGCATGAATAGATTCGCCACTACCCTCAATAATGCGCTCCATAACGTAAACAAAGATGCTGTCGTCGATGGTGGTAGTAGTGCTAGAAAGAAAAGAGGCGAAAGTGTCGTGTCAACTGCTGATGACATGGAATTGGAAAGTGATGGTGGAGAGGGAAAGATATTGTATTTAAAACCATCTATAGATCAACAGTCTTCCACTACAGTGGCACCTGCTATTGGTGGTGGAATAGAAGACGGGGCCGCAAAGAAGCAGAAAAAGAAGGTCATGCCCAAGAAGCCTACTAGTAGCAATCCAATACCATCTCCTGCTACCGCTAGTGGCAAGAAGCCATCAAAGCCATCAACAGATGACGCAACTAATAATAGCGACCTCTCACTACCACCTATAGTGAACGTATCACGTAGTAAAACAGGTCAATTCCTATCCACCAAACCACGAATCAATATAGAATCTGTAGATGCTTCGGGCTCAAGTACAGCAACAACACCAACAGAACAACAATCTGCTTCTGTGTCTGCTGCTTTGACCGCAGCTGAAAACAAACTTGAACGACCACGACCACAACGTCATACCAAACTACCTAGAAGATTTCGTCTCCAGAGTAGTGAAGATGAACTACCAACTACTCCATCTACTCCTGTACCACTACCACCTGTAGCGTTCCATCCGGTAACCGCTCCAAAAACGAGAGCCGAAAAAGAAGCTGATGAACAACAGGTAGATAGCAGCACGGTGCCTATTCGTGGACCCAAACGAGCTAGACCTGTAGTCAAAGACGCCAAACCAGTTGCCCATCCGTACATGCCAAACATGGCTGGAAGACGGTTACGAAGTCGTGTTATACTTGATGACGAGGAGGAGGAGGGGTCAGTTGCTGCTGCAGTCAAGAAACCAGCAAAGAAGAAACAAAAGACTGCTAGTGGCAGTGATACTAAAAAGAATGATAGTAACAATAACGAGAATATTGGTGAAGAAGATGCGACCTCACAACTCTTCCAGCCTTGGGACGGTATATCGAACTCATCATTGACTGATATTGAAGATAGTGATGTGGAGAGTAGTTCTGGTGATGAGGATGATGATGAACCAGAGGGAGAGAAAGGAGTGAAAGAAGAACAAGACGCTGATAAATCTTTCTCTGAAATCATAAACGTAGACACGCTAAAAGAATTACTTGCTCAACGAAGACGAGAAGCTGCTGGTGAAGGTAGCAGTGGTAATTCGTTAGCATCACCACCTAAAGCATCAAGTAGCGGTGGCAGTAATACGGCAATCACGTCACCAAAAGGTATTCGAACGCTCTTGCCTGAAGGTGGTGAACCAAACTATAATAATAATAGTAATGATAATAACGGTGACGATGATATGGACGTTGACACAACAGACTCGTCAGATCTATCCGAAGTGTCTTCTGATGAGGATGACGAAGGGCCTATAAGAAGAGTCACGAGGTCCTTGGCTGCTGGCAAAGTAGTGCCTCTTGACGCTGTACGTCAGCTGCCACCACTTGATACGAGACGTCCTAGCAGTAGTGGCAGCAATAGTAGAGGTGGATCAGCAAAACGAGGAGGAAGGAATAGTCCAATGTCTGCCACTTCACCGCCGTTGAGAAGGATTCGACAGCTTTTGCCTGAAGGTGAGAAAGAAGAGAAGGAAAAGATGTCTCCATTGCCGCAGCAGCCAGTTCCTGTAAAAAAAGAGGAGAGAGGAGGTGGAGAAGAAGTAGTACAGGCCGTTGGTGGTGGTGGCAATGCTCAACCGGTTGTTGATACTCAAGCTGAAGTTACTGGTGGTAGTGAGCAACCAGTTGCTGATACTCTGGCTATGGATACTCAGACTCAGGGTACCGATGTGGCTCAGGTTACTGATGTGGTTGATACTCAGGCTCGGGCCATAGATGTGGATGTGGCTGATGAAGCGACAGCCCATAGTAAAACCATTAGTCACAACCATGTTGATGAGTCGGATTCGGATTCGTCAAGTGAATCATCGGGTCTTTCTGATGTTGATATGGACGATGAGTGAGACGTAATGAGATACATACACGTCCAGAATACAGGCTGTTTTTTGCTTTTGTTGTAAACCTTTGTAGTTATCGGACTCGTTTGCACACGCATGGTTATATAATACATGTAGATGCTATTATTATGCACATTCTCTATGATATTATTGTACATGTTTTTACAATCTATGTTATTGTATTGTTCTACTGTTGTCCCATATTCAAAACCAACTCTTTAATCCACGCCACACCCTCTTCCACCATCCACGTATCCAAATCACGCACAAGGCTAGCATCAAATACCTGTAGTGTCGATTTTCGATATGATTTTTGAGCTTCTGGTGTTTCAAACCACTGTAGGTAAACACGAGTCGAGTTAGATGACGAGCTGGCGAAAACCCCCTGCTAAAATACAGCTGACAAATACCTTGTACATGATCCGAATCCTCTCCACGTCCTCCTTCGGTATCCCAACCGCCGCCATATCAACCTGCTCATACACGGCCTCCACACCACCGTGCCGTCCAAAACTCTGTACAAACTCCGTCGCTGTTACATGGGCCCCTACAAGCGGGATCTCATAAGCGACCGGCACACGTCCATCACTAGTCTCCTGCTGCCCTTCACGATGCAACGGGACCCTAAACTGTGGTATGTGTTCTTGTCTACCACACCACGTTCTCACCCCATCATTCTCAACCATAACATCCGCACCCACACGTCCAACATCACTCGCCGCCACCATCGGAATCCGCAAACCCGGCGGCAGCATCCCCTTAAACGTATACACGGCACCACGTACACTGACACGTAGCACCCCATCCTTCAGCACCAGATTCTCGTAAAAGAAGGATGTCGTCAGATACACCCTGCATACTACAACAGCAGGTATAACTTGATGTATGTAGTCCTGTATATCGGCTTTAACGTCCAGCATCGGTACTCCCGTTCGCCTGCCAGACGACAGCACGAGGGTTGATGGTGGGTGGAAGGTTAGAGAGCGTGCGAGTGTGAAGCCTATGTTGCGTTCGTCCGGTGTGGAGTATGTGAGTGCGAAGGCAGCGTCGCATGGGGAGAGGATGGCGCGGAATGTGAGGTCGTTGGAGGGGCCTTGGATGAGGTTGATTCCGTGTTTTAAGAGATGGACGGCGGTGAGGGATGTGTTTGAGCGTGATGAGGTGTGGATTCGTGATGGTGGGATGGAGCGGTGGCGTGTGAGGTGGGTTATGAGGGAGGAGCCTTGTCTGCCCTATTGCAATTAAATGGTGTTAGATCTTAATGCAATGTTTGTACAAAATGAAGCGAAACGGGTTGTTGCAAGACGAATTGTGACTTTTAAGGTAATTTTATAGTCTTACAGTCCCTCCAAATACTGCGAAATCAATTCCTGTTGGGGGTTCTGATGTGTGTGATTCGGCTGGGTTTAGTTGCAGCCACGTTCGTGGTATGTATGTGATGAGGATGGCGAGGATTAGGATTGGGAGTGCGTATATGTATGAGGCGTAGGGTGATGGGGGTTGTTTGTGCTTTTTGGGAGGTTTCTTGTCTGGCATTTGGTTGTGTTTTTGTGATGTTCGGTGCAAGGATGAATGTTGTTTTAGATGGAGATCACGATGGGATTTGTAAACGTTTTTATATGTACAAGTGGTTGACGCACTCTCTCCTCCGTGTTTGATAGGAGGTGGACGTGATATTTGGTTGCCTGGGAAGCTTGGACGTCAACGACGACATTCGAGTACATTGAAAAACATTAGGCGGTCGGTATGTAAAGGACGAATATTATTGAATTTCATGTTGATACTATCTTGTGATGCCCTTTTCTTGGTCACTTTTCAAGCCAGTTGCGTCACTTTTGAAGCAAGTCGCCCAAGTCGAACAACGACCAACGACAAGGACGAGAGAAACAGAAATGTTCGTGTTTCTGTTGACTGAACTTCGTAGGTGAAGCTGTGTGAATGATGCGGATCTTCAGACCTAGTAGATTATGTGCTGATCTTCCGAAACCGGGAGGTATTTGACTGCTTTCTTTTCCAGGTTCTTTTGCTCATGTGGGTTGTAATGAGAGTTGATCAATTAGGCTCTTTGCAGTTGGATTTATGTCGTGGATATAAACGGAACTGACTCACATATTGTCATCGAATCCGAAACTTGCTTGTCTGTTAAATTAGTTGGTGGTATGGCACAAGTACAGGTAGGTGACGCTTGTAAAGAGTACTTTATTGGATTTTCACCTGAAGATTGACTTGTGGGTTGTGGTAGTTACTGGTGAATTCATACTTGGTGGATTGTGCGCCAAATCTTAGCAATTATCAGTCTATATGTGTCTTGCCAGATTTGCTCGTTTTCCAAGTTTTCAATTGTCGTTTGCTCCGCCAATTTGATTACTCAAATCGCAATCTACACAATCATAGCGGGGTTGGCTTTATCGGGTCTGTTGTCAAGCAAGGTTGCCCAAGTTCAAACCAGTTCCGAGAATATGGACTCGAACAAGAGATTTTCGTGGTTGATCGAATTTTATTTCGGCATATTCAGTTACACTTACATGACGATGGCTGGAGTGGATGTATTTAGTCTGTGTGGAAAATGCAGAGGTCTTAACTCTTGTAAGCTATTCAATCGGTTCTTCACTGTCTTTTGCTCAATCTGCCTGATATTGATGATGATCTTTTATGTCGCTGGAAATAGATTCCGGATCAAATCCACTCATCGACCGGCATAGAGACTGTCAGCATCTTGCTAAATCTTCAACCCAAAAGGCTTGATGTCTGGACTTGGTTTGAGCATATTTGTGGAACTGCCTGACAAAATGTAGCTTTTGGTTGAGAAGTTTTCTGTTGCAGTTTTCGAAAACTGAGACTCTGGATCTAGTTGGCGGATGATGAAGCTGGAGACAGTATCCAAAATTGCTGATGATGAGAGGAGGAGGGTCGAGGATGTTTCGCTCGAACTTTAGGCGTGGCTATAGCTAAAACAGAACCATGGGCTTCAACCTTTGATGGACGTGCTAATTGCATTGCTCGCAGAGGCCTTGCGAAGGTTCAGCATACAGAACGGTAGAAACAGTTACCTACGCGAGAAATTAAAATGAAAATATATTCACATCTCTAACACGTAAAAATGAGTCATCTTACAGTACATTTGATTGAATCTATCGTTGAATTGGCAAGAACTGTTGTATTTGCGATTACAAGTTGATCAGATCAGTTTGGATCTATCGTCGACAGCATTTGCACTAAATTTGCACCATCATCACGTCCAGCATTGCAGAAACAGGCACAAGCGAGGGGGACCGTCTATCGGACGCTCGTTTTTGTTTTGAGAAAAACAAGGAATGTCTTTTCGCGCCAGGCCTGCTTCATAATTTTCAAACTCCACTTTTTTCCCACCAAACACTTTCTGCAACATTATCACCCCATTACAACCGTGAAGAAGCAAGATCAAGACCAAAGACAAGAACGTACTTGCTGTTCATCCTTACATCATCTCGCATACGTCCTTTTAAATCAAGAAAAGCATGCAGAAACAAGTAGTAATTGCATTTTTCGTCGTGATGGGTTTGACGACCATCGATGCATTGCCTGCCAACTTACGGTACGTGATATATTCGACCCTATGCAGTTGTGAAAGATGGAATTGTGCAAGTACATAAGGTTACCTTTGACAAATTCATACCTTTGTCTCACGCATCACAAGCCAACAACACTTCTGGTCGTGGTTTTAATTTTTTCGCGGGAAGACCGTTTACACTAATATCGCATCATCTTGTACTTAGGCGAGCTTGCCAGCCTAATATTCCCGACGTCAATACAGTCGAGGCTGTCTGTGCCGACTTTTTTACATTGTGTGAATTGGACTTTTGGTGAGTTCTTTTTGCAAGTTACATCTTTTGGGAGGGCTTTACTTGCATTTAAAGGAGTGACTAGCTCTTTGATGCATAGTCAACACAGTAATTCTTATCTTTTGCTAATGCCGCCTCTCTTTTACTCTAGTTTTGTGAATGGGTTTCAAAACCAAGATGCCTTATCGGTGAGTTGGATAGATCTGCGTAGTTCTGACATTCGAAAGGATTCAATGATACGTTCATTGTTTGACAGTAAAGCTCAACTTTTTGTTCTTGTCCTGTTGGTTATGATTTACTCACTTCATGTGCTCACCTCTCCCTTACTCATTCCTCGCAGTGTGTACAAGACACAGCAACGACCCTCGGAATCGCAGCTTCATGCATATGCGACAACTCCACAGACACAGTAACTGGCGTCATCATGGACTATACCGTACAAGCAATGAACAATGCCATAACCGATCAAGGCATCACACTATGTGCACCCGTTGCCCAAGTCGTCGCACCGCAACCGACACCCACTCAAGTAGTAGCCACTCCAACGGGAATGCCAACAGATATGGTTGCCACTCCACCGGTTGTCACTCCAACAGCTATGGGAACGACAGTTGCACCTGATTTGCAGCCTACAAGTCCAGCGGTCTCAAGTCCAGCTGCTTCGGTTGCCATGGTATCACCTACCCCGCTGCCATCTCCGCTGTCACCGTCTAGTGGTCCGTCTGTATTCGAATCTAGTCTGCCATCATCAACAGCATCACCATCGTTGGCTTCATCAACCGTCTTGCCAATGTCTCCAGTACCATCTGCTACTAGTACAAGTGAAACGACAGCAGCTTTATTATCATCCGTAGCAAGACAGTTCACAACTCCATTAACATTCTTTACGCCAACTCCGATTTGGAACCCATGGACTGAACACCCCTGGACTGCTACCCCAACACCATTTGCTTCTCCGTCTGTTTTCCAATCATCTTTGGCTGTTACTACAAGCAAGGTCAATACCGTCAACACAATCACAACAACTACTGCTAGTGTTATTGCTAGCGCATCAAGTGTCAGTCATAGTACTATCTCAAGTGTCGGTCCAAGTGCTATCAGTACCATGGCTAGTGGATCAAGTATTGTCGGAAGCACAACTACTCCAAGTGCTAGTGGAACAGCAGCAAGTGTCGCTACCACGGCTAGTGTATCAAGAATCACGAGTAGTGCGTCTACTCCAAGTGCCAGTGGAACAGGAACAGTCACCAGTCGAGCCACTACTACTACAAGCCATACCATAACCCCAACATTTACACCAACAATGACGTTTACACCGACCATGACATATGTGCCTACGCCCACGTATGTGCCAACCGGCACCATATCTATAGGAGCCGCTAATGCAGCAATCACCGTTATTTTGGCGCTTCCTCCTCAAGTTGTGGTATAGATAGAAGGATTCGGTATCAAGGACTCGATTTAGATTATATTTAAGGATGGCTAATGGTTGTGGTGACTGGGTAATACGGGTCTATCGTAATAGTAATGTCTTCTTCTTGGTGGTGATGGGTGGTGGTGGTTCAGTATGAGTATGAGGGTTGAGTAGCAGGTTAGACAAGGTCGTCAAGGTCAAACACACAAATGTTCTTTTTCCAATAACCAAAACAGTATCAGTTTTTTCCTTCAAATCATGTAAAAACTTTGCCAGTCCTTTTAAAACAACAACAACAGAGTAGACCAGTATTTCAAACATAACAATACACAGTACATATCGAGTTTAAATCACTGCTTTTCTTTGTCTTTGGTTGTGTTGAAACCTGCTTTTGACTTGTCTAGCATCGGAAGCGTTGAAACTCTTAACTTGCTCAAGCCAAGAGACTTGTTAACGAATTTCGGAGAGCTGCAACCTTTCACGATAGTAGAGATACTCGGAATTATGCTTGGTCGTATGCATTAAAATATAATGAGTTCACCTTCCCCAGTAAGACGTCAAGTCATGACCCAACATTGACTAAATCGTTTAAATTACGCAAACTCAACCAGCTCCAAAGAAAACGGTTCAATTAAGCATCTCTGTAATCCAAGACGAGTCTTAAGGTCTTTGAAAGTGAGGTAGTATGCATCCACTGAGGCCACAGTATTGTGACTGCCGCAGGCAACTAAAGCTTGCAGCACAACAGCAGGCTCAACATCTGTTATAAACACAAGACACTTCGATTAAACGTGATTGATAAATATATTTTTACTGCAATGGTTTTGTGTAGTGTGATAAACTTTCCTCTAACAGCTTTTGTAACATGATTTGAAAACACTTTAGAATATATACGACTTTTTACACTGAGAAAACACCCAATAACCCTCATACTATACAACAAAAACGTTCTTTTACAGACTTGGCGATAAGTTTAGCATCTTATGGCAAGGACACCATGCTTGACTTGGAGCAAGGACCGTTGGTGTCACAGACGAATGCTCCTGATGTGTCGAGTATACGGCACGTAGACCCTGCTGCACACATTTGGGTAGACCATGCGTATTGAATAGTGCCATCAGCCAGTGTTCCAACTTTAATGAAGATGTTAGCCTCGCTTTTTTTGCACCAAAGTCGACCCAAAAAAGGCGCACTTCAACAAGTCTTACCTTGAGTACATGTCACAAAATTAGCACCCGAGCACGTCGAAGCCAGAATCGCAGGATCACATGGACTTCCATCCAGAATATTCGGTGCACATCCAAACGTACTATTAGTAACAGCAGCACCACAACTTGCGAGCCCCAGACCAGAGATCAGGAAATCGGTCTTGACTTGTGGGTTGAATCTTGTAATAATAATTCCTCTTGCACGAGATAGCAGACTTGACTTGCTTTTTGGTATTATTTTGTGGATGGGGATGTTGACTGTCACTGAGCCGGTGGACGAGTTTGAGGTCGAGTATTTGGCAGCTGCTACGGTGACTGTTTCGTTTGGTGATTGTGATGAGCAGGTGGTGTCGTTGGCGTTGAAGGTGAGACCAATACGGAAGGGCCAGGGTTTGTTGGCTGTGGTCTTGTATGTGAATGTGATGTAGGTGTCTAAAACGACGAGTCGATGATGGAGGTGTGAGTATTCATAGTGACTAGCAACAATGGAACAAAAAAAGAAATGCTCACAATTGCTGAGATCAGCACACAATCCACCAGCCTTGAATTCACTAGTCCAGTAGCTACCACCATTTACACGTTTGACATCAGGGTGAATATCCAGCAAGGTACTGTTTACAAGCGTGACGGTTCCTGTTCCATTCATGCCTTCTATACCACCGAGTAAATTAACAGTCAACGAAGTAGGGTTTGGATCCATAGGTAATATACCGCAACCACTTAGGATGTCAACTGGCGATGTTTGAGGGCTTGGAGCCGGCATTTGGCTATTTCCACTTGTAGGTGTAACTGCCGTTGGTAGCGCAGCACCAGCGTTTTCCGTTGGGGTGGCGGTTGTTGAGTCGATAGTAGGAGAGAGTACCGGGATTGTAGTCATTGCTGGAGTGGGAGAAGCCAGTCCATCAGTATTTGGAGATTCTTGAATTCCTGATTCTTGCGCTGGTGCAGCAGATGACAGCATGTCAGAGGAGGGCGTGGAGCTTGGTACTTGTTCAAGAGACGTCATCACCGCTGATTGCGAGACGCAATTAGCACTCCACGAGGATGAAGACGCCTCACTGCAAAAATCCGTTGTTGTGGCTGCTGGACTTGATGCTGTCTGGGCGGGTGGCATTACAGTCATTGATGGTACCATGTCGATTGCTGAACTTGTTGGGACAATGTCCATTGCTGGACTTGTTGGTGCAGCGGGTGATGACATTACTACATTGTCTGCAGATGCGACTACAGTAGGGCTACTTGCGGCTTCAGCCATAGATTCGGTAGTTGCAGTCATTTGGGGACTTGAGACGGGGGTCATTGAAAATGCAACTGTTGCAGATGGTTCGACTGTTGCTGCCATCGTGGTTGCACTAGGATCAGCAGATGGGGCTGGGCTCATCATCACACTGTATACGGCAGTTGCAGTAGGTGTTGCTGTTGGGGTTGCTGTTGGAGTACCTAAAAGACTTTCAGGAATATAGACTAGAGAGGGATGGAAATTGTGTCAATGCAAAGTTTTCAGACAAATGTTTGCTAGGTTGTATGGCGAATAGCGAAAAACATCTCAAACTAAGGTCAGCCAATAGAATCACTTGCCTGGAGTTGGTACAAACGAAGCTTCTATACTGATTGTTGTTGTGTAGGTAGTGATTGGCACACAAATTGGAGTAGCTGTTGGGGTTGGCATACATTCCCACATAGTAGAAGGAGAAGGCATGACTTCTGAAGACGGGACCGGTGTTGCGGTTACAACAGGTGATATCATGATTACGACAGGAGATGTAACAGCGGGCATGATTGAAGTCATTGATGGGCCGCTAGAAGCTAGGACAGCAACGGTGGGCGAGACGGTCACTACAGCTGCAGATTCCATGGGAGATGGTGAGACCAAGATGCCAGCCGAGGCCATGATTGTGGGTGAGACCATGATTGTTGGAGAAATCATGATTGTTGGCGAGACCATTACGTCTGGAGAGGCGGCCACACTTGGATCCGGACTGATGGCAGCTGGGGATGGTGTACCAGCGGCACATATAGTAATACCGTTGGCTGTCAATGCGCTTTGCAGAGCAGCATCAGTGACGTTCTGGTTGTTACAAACACAGGCAATGTCGACTCCTAGAGCAGCATTGGGGTCTGCAGCACACTAGTTGAGAGAGTAGAGTAATGTTAGTTTACATTTTGTAAGTCTTCAGTTATGCATATGAAACTCTCAAAAAAAACCCGCGCCCATTTGTCTTGTACAATCAACTTACATTGTTGCTTTCAACGACAAAGGACCCGGCGGTAAAGCATACAGTGAACTGACAAGCCAGCTGGAAGTTTGCACAAAAAGTATCAATGGCGCCAGTTCCCGTGAGGGTGTTGACACAAGTAGTTTGCCGTTTTCTAGAAATGAATGAAGAATGAGAAAAGCAAGATAGTACAGTTATGCGATCGCCGTTCAAGAGTACATTAGAGTCATGTAAGCAGAATTAAATGAATGGAGAATGTAACTCACTTTATACGGGGAGATCTTGCATCAGTGGAGACAATAGCGGCAGTGGCAATCACCAACAGTGTTAATTTGAATAGATCCCTCATCGTTCCGTTGATACAGGCGGTAGTACAGCTGCTTGATGTAGGTAGTCTTCAAGAGCAACTAGTAGTACTACTATGTAACCTGTGTGTGTATGGTGTGTAAGGGGATGTGGATTGATTAATGAAAACACACCTTGGCAGGTGTATGAAAAAAGGTGACGCGCGCCATGTTTGTTTTGATATTCATACTTGCTGCGCACAACATCGATGGGCGAATCATATTCTAATCTGCATGTAGGCACATGTACTGTGTTGTAGGATCAGCTCTCTATTCTTCCTGGTCTTTGTTACAACTTGTGTGCATGTTTTTGCAAATGTCCCAACAATGACGAGCGCCGTACTTGGAGCAACGGTCAACCAGTATCTGAACATACTCTCCAAGAGCTCACTATCAAAGTCAGACTGGCTGCAATCCCTCTGCAATCTCTGGCACAAGGAGTAATAAAGCTGGAATCGTTGTACAAGTTCTCAACTTTAATAACGTGTTTGGCCATATAGTGAGGATAGGACTGCTATATTGGATGTATGCTATATTAAATCATCTACTGGGACATGGCCCCCGTTTACTCGGTGTGATAACATCTTGATTGCAGGTTGTTGGAAGCATCAAATGGAAGGAAACAGACGTGATTTCAACTGATCTGCCCAAAGTATTGAAATTCGTCGTCCAAGTCTTGCATTCAAACGATCATATTGCAAGGGCACAGAGCTTCAGGTGCATACAAGCTTTCCTTTGATTTTTTTGTGGGAGAGTGGTGCTTTACAATACTTCACACGTTTTGATAGATTGCTATCCTACATAGCTCCATTACTCAAAGAACGTTTGGAAATCCATCATCTGTAAGCATCTGAAATGAATTGATTCATCTCATCTTCCGATTCTCGTAATCCTCTTCTTTCAGCATTCGACAAGGACTGGATTCTCCCAATGAATTGGAAAAGGATGCTGCCATTGGAGCTACCATTGCTGTCGCTTCAGAATCACGTCAATTCGCGTTACGACTATGCGATAAGGTGTATGCTTTGATTGCTGGTAGGTGAACAGTTGTACCATCATACACCATGAACGCTCGACCATTCACGGCCTTTTTTTTTTCACCATGTCAGCTTCACCAGGTACACCTACCAGCCAAAAGCTATTACAATTTTTTGCCAATATTCAGTTGGATTTCGAGACTGAGCAAAAGGCATTACAATGCGGAACTTTTATCTTGTCTTGACTTGAAACCAACACGTTCAAATCATAGGCTCAAGCCCTTTGTCAAGATTTACTGAAACGAAATGCCGGTACTGCAGACAGCATTATTGTCTCTCGAACATTGACATCAATGGCTTTACGATTTCCAATGTCGGCTAGTCAACACGTAAGAAGTGCAAAAGTTACTAAAGTCGTTGCAATTATTGATAGCTTGGGAATAGGTCGATTTTTTGCTCACGAGAGCAGCATCTACCATGGATCCCAGCATCAAAATATCTTCACTTTATGACTTGAAATTGATGTCTCGTGATTATACGAGTTTTACAAACTTGCAGATTGTGGTATGTTTGCAAATTTTGGTATGAGTTGCTTACAAGCAAAGAAACCATCTTCATACTTACATTGATGCTAGTTTCTTCTAAACCTCTCAACACACGAACAAGATGATCGAATCAAGTACATGATCTTGACGATTCTATACAAAATCCTGTCCTGGAACTCAACCCTGCTGATGTTTGTCGTCCAACAATCCCTGCATAGCCATTTCAGGGCTGATGATTATGCTATGCGTGGATATAAAGCTTGTTTGCCTGCTTGCGGACTGGTGTCTTTACTTGTCAGATGGGTTGGTCAACATGCCATGCAACAGTATCTGGTTTATTATGGTATGAAAATAATTGTTTCGATATCTGAGTGTCTTCGTTTTCGCTCACCCCGTTTAACCTCTAGTTCAAACAGTTAATGCTGTGCTAATTGCATTGCCAGTTGCCAAGACGTCCACTCAGGTACTTCCATCCGCCTTGTTTTAGACGTCGTTTTTTTCACCCTCTAAACTTGTTCAAACATTTTTACCAGAGTTGGACTTTCCTCAACAGTTTAAAAATGCTGTTGAATGTACCATCATGTTATTCATACTCGGTTACGCAACCTTTGCTAGAAACAGCTTTGGTACTCGATGGTAAAAGCAGTTTGGTCAGATCAGTATATACAACTCGATGTATTTACAGCTCAGTATATACAACTCGATGTATTTACAGCCCTTATTTAGAGCACATCAGCACCAAAACCCAACGCCTTCTATGGAAGACCATATTACCAACACTAATGAGCCTCTCAACACAAATCACATTCAACGATGTCTTGTCAACAATCCCACAATCGCAATTCTCAACACTATCGTCATCAGCACTACAATCACTCGTGCTGATATTCCCAGATGCTGAATCATCACGAAACCCACTCTATGCTTCCTTCATTCAGTCGATTGGTAAAAGTCCACATGGCGCGTGGGTTTTATATGGGCTTGCTGTGGAGCTTGTTAGACATGGCTGGTATCAGGTTGCTCTGGATTTACTGACGCGAGTGAAGGCATCGCATGTGTCGAGTACTACGTACATGTGGCTGGAATGTCTGTGCTGTCTGTGTCGGTGTGGGATAAAGAGGGAGATGATGACTGTTGCAAATGTGTATGACAGTGTGAATGAATTGGCGGACTCATTGTTGTATCTTGATGTAAGTGATGTTCAGCAAATTTAGAGTTTGCTTTGTTCTCATCGGTCGTGTTTCTTTGTCGTGTAGGCTCTCCCATCAAACAAATTCCAAACATCGATACTCAAACAAATCATGAAATTGGACGAGTTACTCATATCAATACTGAGCTGGAATGGTCCTACTTCAACTCTTCCGCAACTCGAAGAAGCATCATTTGGAAGTCAAGTATCGCTCATGTCTAGTCAACTGGGCCATGGGTTTCTAAATTTGCTATCAAATACGACAATGGATGATACGAGTCGTGATGTGGTAACTAAATACGCTAGAGTATCGTATCTGGTATCTGCTGTGTTTGCAAAGTTGGGACATCAACCTATAGGGTATTCGCTTCAAGTTTTTTTCTCTCGCACATCTCAAGCAGCCTGACATGTTTTCTCTAGCGCACAACTCCAATCAATGATTTATACATCGCCGTCCGTAGCACCTGGTCTCGCATCCTTTATCGAATCTCAAGCCCCTGACACTAATCAACAACTAGTCATTAGCGAACTGATGACGTTGGTCTTGCTTACATTCAAAACTCTGCCGATACGCTTCTTTAAGCTTGTATGATGCATCTTGTACAGCCTCTTGTTATATAGACACATCTTTGCGTGGGATTCAGGTGGTTTCAAGTAACCTTGTACCGATTCAAGTGAGGTATTGTTTGTTTGTTTGAAGACAGGCCTCATTTGGCAATTTGAGTAAGTACTCGCAGATGGGCCATGAAGGGTTGGCTATTATTCCACGGAGTCACATTTTTTTGCCCCTCAGATCTGTGATTTTGCTGAAGTCTTTTCTTTTGGGAGATAACGATATTCTCTCTAAGTCACTATTTTATTGAACGTGGCTGAAAGTTTCTCAGGCCTTTTCAGGTGTTTATGAAAACACTTTGAAGATGTTCCTCATCCACTACCCGGCCTCGCACCAATGGCACACACCCTTCATGGACGCATCTTTCATCAATTCAGCCAAACCCTGTGCTGGACACCAAGTACAATCCATCACGCCCAGTCGTGCACCGTTTATCGAATCTCAATCACACCCCAGTCATCAATCAACCAACAACTGGTCATTAGTGATTTGGTTGCATTGAAATTGCTGTTTGCATTCGCAACTCTGTCGATGCCGTTTTTTTCAGCTTGTACGATGCATTATCTAACTTTTCTGTGATAAACACACTCATCTCGCACTGTTGAGTTTTGGAAGTCAATCGAGCTTGGAGTACAGAAAAGAGGGCTCCAGCTTTCACTTTTGTCATGTGAGAGGTCAGGGATTTAGTTACGAAATGTGTTCCTATTGGAGTATGTGGTGTTGGGTGCGAGATACAGACGTCATTCCAGCCAATCTTGCAGTCGCGTTTTCTTGCTCGCAACCATCAGAGTTTAATATTGCTGGAGAATCTCTGGGCCATTCATTGATGCGTGTCACGCTTTAGAATCGAGGACAATTCGGGAAAGGTGTGTCGGCACAGCTGTTTTCAGGTGTGCATTAAGAGCTTTCCACACGACAAAAAAAGCTTACTTCAACACGTAGGATCATTAGAAACTATGCTCGCATCCACCTTCTTAGCAGCCATCCTGCTAGCTTCCTCCCAATATGCAAACGCAGCTCCTCCACTCCCACCATGGGCAAACGGCAGCAAACTCTCATGTGTCTCCTTCACTTCCCCAGCCAAACTCTGTGCTGGCGACCAAGTACTGCTCGCCTCAAGTGGACAGTTCGGAGCTATTGCCGCCGTCATTTCTAACACGAGTACGTACAAACCACCCTGCATTTCACCATTGCGCGGCACATTGTGCAAAAGCAGGCCTTACGCACACCTGCAATATAGATGGGTTTCAAGGAGTATACGCATCACCACCACCAGATCCAGGTAGTCCATTTACTATCTATCCATGGAACACGACACGATATGATGTCACGACTGCGCCGTGGAATGCGCTTCCTGCCTCGGTGTTGGATGCAATGAAGGCAAACACGTACTTTTCGTTTAATTTGATGTCGAATTCGTCGCTTTGGGTGTATGCTGGTCAGGATGTTGGTGTAAGTTTGCATGACGCCATGTCACTATCGTACTTTTGGGCTGACTCTTTGTTGTCGCGTATAGCTTGACAAAAAGAAGCATACATACACTAGCCCTCAAATTAATGGCAACCAGGGAGCAAATGACCCTCCACCAGCATCTGGTACTTTTGTATGGGTTCCGAGCGGAACGACAACTGGAGGTGGATTTATAGTCACAGAGCAGACCAGACTTGTGTTGTGGAATTGGGGACCAAGCACCAAGCAGAATGACTGGTATGAAGCACTTAGAATGAAGCGATTTTTTGTTGATGACTGATAAACTTACCAACGTTTTTGTTAGGTTGATTTTCGATGACGCCAAATCACCATCATATTCATCAATGACGCAAGCAACGAGTACGTGGACTCTGACTGTGTCTCAGCCACCTACGGATACGTATATGAATCATACAGTCGAGTAAGAATATTATGAAAAAAAAGCAACGATTGCTGTAAATTATCTGACGCGCTTTCTTAGCACGCAAGCTGCACTACAATCAGCAGTAGGGACGGACGTTGCGTTGAATATGGGATGGTTTGAGAACCAATCGCCAACGACGGATTATATCTTGTCTGAAGTGAGTGTGTGGTCAATGAAAGTTTGTGGAAGGCACATGGCCTTTTCTCATTTTCAAATCAAAGATTTCTGGAACCTTCACAAATACATTCACTGCCAGTATATCAAGTGATATGCAATTCTCACAGACACTTACAACGTAAGCGATTGTCACTCAGTCCGCTTGTGTTTTGTTCTATCGTCTAGTCACGGCATCAACACCAAAACGTTCATCCCATACTTCACCACATATTCTTTAGCTGGTTTGTAATCCCGATCCTCGCATTCGAAGGCTTCTCCATCACAACAACCACAACTGAAGGATTTACAGGAACTACAAACAAGGACGTGACAAACTCTACAACAATCAGTTTCAGCACGTATTTGGCTATACCGTAAGTTCAACTCTTGTTCATGTTAATGAAATTCGGTATCTGACTATTTGCCTTTGTGTTTTTTTTGCAGCGGAAATTCAGGTCTGAATCTCTCACTAATGGTAAAGCAAATCAAGGCATCGTTTCCGGTCACATATCACATCAAGCGCCGACTGCCGTTTGGGCTGAGTCAGATATTTGATTTGAAGGGGAATATCAAGACTTTGACGTGAGTTATCAAGCATGCGAGACCTCGTTTTTATCTTTGACTCCTTACGAAAACTGGTTCTCCTCTTACTTTAGAGGCGCTAACTCTCATGCTTGTTTCGGAGCTGCGGTACCTTTGACAGACAAGGCAGCTTCGATACCAAGCTGTAATAGTACTCTTGTGAGATGACGAATTTGGGACTTTTGTTTCTCCTTTTTTTGGTTGCAGTTGTTGGTCCCAACCGACGTATTTAATTGGAAGGAAAATAAAATTGCATTTGCATCAAAGAACAAAGAATCGTCGTGTGCTCGCTCGATTCTCCGAAAACAATGTTGACAAGACGACGCAAAAAGCATCAGCTCCACATTAAACATTGGTGTTGCCTCTCATCACCTGAAAAATACCCTTTGCATCATAACTTCTCCACAGGTAGAAAAAAAACGATAATGGGCGGTATTTGAATGATCCGAAGCAACGAGACAAGCAACGCCGCACTCGAACCTAGCTGAATGTAAACCGAATCTGCTGACAACAGCCAGCGAAGAGTCTTTTTGTTGTCCCTTGTCCCATGTGTCATAGCGAATGTTCTGCCTATAAAGCGGCATAGATTATTCCCTGGCCCTGAAGCATTTTTCGTTCGCAGCTGAAACATGTCCGATTAGCCAAGACATGGCCATTAAGTCTTAGCACACACAGTGTCTTGTAATTTTCATTGAAGCCAACCTGATCCCAAAGAAGAGTTCTAGTTTGGTATGGTCAACCGCAGGATTTGAGCAGAAAAAAGAGGAATAAGAGGACACGGACCATTGGGCAAATCAATCCCAAGTTACGTGATCTCCTTCATCACAGAGAATTCATTTGTACCAAAACATTGGTCCAATAGTTTCAACGTAGTGTCTTGTCCTTTTGCATCGTCCCAAAAAAAGGCGATCTAGTACCGCCTCAAGAAACACATTCCAATCTTCTCTCACCCACTCGACATTCAAACCACTAGACATTCACTCTTGCAATGAAGCTCATAGTCCAATAGTCCAAAGTGGTGTTTGGCATAACACTTCCGACAACACTTGTCGTGACGAGCACTAGCTGGGTGAAATCACTTGGAAGATTCGAGACAGCCCCATTGGTAAACACAACAAGAAATCCATCCTCTGGTTGCAACGGGAACGTGTTTCCAGCTTGCTGCTCATATCGTCCTTGGCGAAAAAGAGCAACCACATTCGTTCGATGATCACATCAAGTCACCATGTGTGGCAAGACGCTTTTCCTCCCAGTTGAATCGTTCAACTTTGATAAAATCCCCACAGAACAAGTTGAATGTTGTTTACTTGTCTCTGGTCTGGATATGTTTCCCAACCTCACGAAACAAGGTATGAGGGTAAAGGCCGAAAAAGGACAATAAATTTGGATCTATGTTCTTACCTGGACAGCAAGTCACATCAACACACCACTATCAGACAGTCCTCACCAAAACAACAACAGCACATGCAAACCCCAAGTTTTCGAGGGCGAAACTACAAGCATGTATATTGTACAGAAAATAATCTTATGAGCAGTTGTTGAACTTTTGTACATTTCGAATCACCCTTAAAATAGACGTAAAATACTAAACGTTTTGCTGTTGCTGTTGCTATTGCTCCCTTCATATTGTGCTGTTGTTGTTTGGCTATCTCAGACGTCCTAGTCATCCAGTTGGTTTATTCACAAGCCAACTTAGCATCAAAGCTTGTTATAGCAATACCAAATGCTTGAATTGCTGATAACGGGTACTGGAAGTCCATTGTAAATTCATTTTCACTGATTCGGCCAAATTGAAGAATCACATAATCCACTATGGACAGACAGAATGATGAGAGAAACCGTTAGTGAATCATTCATGCTCGAAGGCATTCTCAACACATAACAAAAAAAGGAAGGCATTATGGAAACACAACTTACAGTCATTATCATGAACAATCTGAAAGTTCTTGACGGAGGCCAATGTGACACGACCATTAAAGTTCAAGACATAGGATTGTGTTTCTTCATTCCATTGTGGTGACTTGTTGTGTAGTACCAACATTTCACGTTCGTTTTTGCTCTTGTATTGCTCCAACAGTGTATCTTTGGACTAATTGGTGAATGGTAATCGTAATGGTGTTAGTTGATGTTGACGCATCAGTTAAGAAAAGAAAAGCAAAAAAAAGGGATGTCTCCTTTAGAATCTCAAGGTTTACCTGAGTTGGTCGCAATGGTATACGGTTTCCATTTCGAGTCATTCCAGGTAAGAGGACAGTCATCTTACGTGGACCTTTGAAACCAAGTATGTTTGGGTCCTAAATAAGTGGAGTGTGTGAGCATGTAGGCTAGCCCTCAATCGACAGGAAACGCAAAACGTCTTAATAAACAAGCAAAAATGGCATCACTCACATAAATGACGGAACCCAACTCTTCCCTCAACATCTTTTGCCTCTGAATAGGCCCCACCGCATTACCAGCCAAACCATTCGGCATCGGATTCCTTCCATTATCATATATCGCGAAAGCGGTACCCAAGAAATTGGATCTAACCTTCCCAATAACATCCCGCTTGTAATCCTTGGCATCCTTTTCCTTCTTGTTACCAACAGGCAATCTCGTGCTAGTTATAATATAATTCGATGTTCGAGACTTCTTGCGTTTGCGAGCAGCCATCAGGAATGTCTTTGATGTGTCTGCTGGGTCTTCGATGAATACTTCATAGGAAGGGTATAGTTTCTCGACTCCTTCCTTGTGGCGAATGATTTTACACAACAGTTTTTGGCCTTGTGGGAGTGGTTTTGTGAGAATGTCGATTATGGCTGTGGTTGAGAGGGATGGATGCGTGCGGAGAAAGTGTGTTAGTGGATGGACTACGTCGATTAGGTTTGGTGGTAGTGTTGGGCGATGGTTGTAGTTGTGATGATGTGTAGGCGGTGGAGGAGTATTGTTGTGGTTGATGTTGTTTCCATTTATGGCTACGCCCATATCTACTATGTCGTCCATGTTATCAGCAGCAGCATGGTGCATTCCATCTACAGGAGTTGGAGCGGGGGTTCGTGGTTCCATCTGCCTTGTACGCAGGAGACTGTGTGGATATGGACTGGAATTACGGTCGTTGAGCCAGTCATTGTTGTAAGTTGATGCGGCGTCATGGTATGGTCCGGTACCAGGAGTGAGCAAGTATTCCTCATCAGACGAGTCGAGTGAATCACCACCATCGGAACCTATTCCCGATAGCTTGTGGTTGAGCGTATGCATTGAGTGATCATTCAGCGTAGTACTGGAGCTGCCTATATGGGATAAGATATGTGGAGTTAGTCTTAACCTAGACTCGTTGTGTTTGGTAGTTTAGCTAAGTCCCTTTCAAATTCTCAAACAAGATGTCGAGCTCTTTCAATGGATTGGCCTCGAGTAGAGAGACAAGGAGACGGTAGATGGGAGTGTTGTTATGATTACATACCTGGATCGTCGCCAAAGTCCCAGAAGGTATCATCTTGTGTTGGACTTTGCCACATTTGGATAGCGTTTCTTCTCGTCAACGGCTTGCTAATATGACTACTGCCCTCCATGCCAAGCAAGTGTCCAGCACTGCGTTTTAGCCTCTAAATTATACGTGGATCTTGCTCTCTCCACTTGCGTTTTTACTCTGTCTCATCAGATCTCAACAGACAGCTTTCCGCTTCTCCTCTCCTGCTCAGAATCAAGGAGCACGATGATTGGTCAATTTTAAAACAACCTGTGATTCAACGCCACCATCCTCCCGAATTATCAGCAGGGCTAGGGCTAAACGCGTACAGGATCTCCTCTTTGTCTCGCAATCTTATTTCTCTCCACACCACACACACTCCAACACACCCACACTAATCCCAACCAAAAAACCCAAATCTTAATATATAAACCATGGTCGAACTCGCCGCCGACATTGCTGCTGCTTACGATGATGTCCGTGATGACAAGACTGCAACCAACTGGTGAGTTTACTCTTACTGAATATGTTTTGCGACAATTGCTGGGTGGTGGGGTCGAGCAAGAGGCTTCAACCTATATTGCCTTACGCTGCTCAACTGCTATTAATTTCCACACTATGGAATACAATACTTTGGCTTTATTCATCACGCCTACCGCGTTTCTTGAACGCCAACAGCACCACGCAATCAAAACAACCACAATCTTCACAAACGACACACACGAGCCCTGATGCTAACCAAAACAACTCTTGACCTAGGATCTGCGTCCAATACAAGGACGACAAGTCCGATTCTCTCATCCTTGCCGGCCAAGGTAACGTATTGAGAACAAAGATGCGAGGATTAGGGTTCGGAGTGCCAATGATTTGCACACACACAGCACAAGACACAACCACACATACTACACGCACTTGGTGCTCACTGCATGTATTGAATTGATATATAGGTACTGGTGGTCTAGAAGAATTCACTGCCCAACTAAAAGAAGACCAAGCTGCCTTTGGTTACCTGAGGATTGTCGTTGGTAACGACCCATTGGTACGTGTTGTATCATCGCATTGAATCTCGTATGGACTGCTCGTGGTGTCTCTTCTTTGCTGTGTTAGCATGGCCACTTCACACAAATTGTTTATGTTATTCCTTCAGCACCATCACGCCCAACTATTCCACTAACACCACAACCATCACAATAGTCGCAACGTGCCAAATTCCTATTGGTCTCATGGTGCGGTCCCAAAGTCAAGGTCATGAGAAAGGCCAAACTCTCAGTCCACATCGCTGATGTAAAGACTGTCTTCAAGTCATTCGCTGTTGAAATCTCGGCTTCTGGTCTTGAAGTATGTTTTCTCTTGTTGTTTGTTGGTTGAGACATCGTATTTGGACAACGCATGTTGGAGTGATGGCCACGTGCTAACTCAATTATTTCCATACAATAGGACTTGCGCGAAAAAGATGTCCAGTTGCTCCTAAAGAAGGCAATGGTAAATCACGCAAGAAGTTGATGTTTTCACAATGAAGTACTAAGTGCTTGGTTAATTTAGGGTGCCAACTACGATCGCCAGAGCTCTGCATATTAGAAACGCCCCCAAAGAGTAGTAGATTCAAGCACAATATATCCGTTTTTAAGTTGTTTTAAATCGTCCTTGTTGGATAAGTCGTGTAAATTGTGTATTTTCCCAAATGGGCCTTTCAAACTTCCAAGACTGCAAACGAAACACAACGGAAGATGCTAAGGAACTATACAAGCCTGCCTATTCAGCAGATTAGTCCTTTGAACCCTGTATAAAGCTCGTGTTTGACGCGTCACGGTGGCCAGCAGATGTGTGATTTTTCAACACCGTTCGACGATACAAGAGAATAGACAGTCACGACAGTAGGCCCAATATTATTGATAGCCTTCATAAGGGGCAAGCGCAAAAACGTTTAAATGCCCGTGGCCGAGTCTCATACTCCCATTATTTCTCCCAAACCCAACACGCAGGAAAACTAACAGATGGCAGACGCCCGCAAACTCCTCGCCCTCGCCAAAGCATCCCGCAAAACATCCACAGACGCACCTCAAAACCCACTCATCCACACCGACTCGAAAGGAAACCTATCCTGCCTCATCTGCAAAACCGCACTCAAAACACATGCCCTCTGGAATACACATGCTGCATCGCCACAGCATAAATCAGCGGTACTGAATGTTAGAAGACAGGTGCTGGCTGCTCCTTCCACGGTGTCTAGTGGTGGTGGTGTGAAGAGGACATCAAATCACGATGATGATGTTGTAGAGACTACTAGTAGCAAGAAGAAGCAAAAGAAGGGAGATGGTGGAGATGTGGATGTGTTGCCTGCTGGGTTTTTCGATTCGAAAAAGGTCGCTGCTGGTAGTGCTAATATGGGGGATGATAAAACAGCTGCTCAACAACAACTACCGAAACAATCATCTACAATAGCACAGCCGAAAGATGATATAGATCTAGAAGTATTGAACTTTAAAGCTGAGCTAGAACAGCAGCAGCAGGCGTCTGATCAGCAACCAACGAATGCAACGGAAGGAGCTGCTGGCGAAGACGAAGAAGATATAATACAACCAACAAACGAAGAAGAAGAAACGAACGACTGGCTGACTAGACTTAAAGCACTTCAAGAAAAGAAGAAGCTTGTAAGTGCGTCACGACCAGCTAAACCAACTGTCGCTGCTGCTGTAGATCAAAAGCCAGAAGAATTAGACGCTGGGGATGAAGACGATGATGATGAGGATGAGTTCGCATGGCGTCGTAGATAAAATGTCTATATTTGTTTCAATAATCAAGCATTGTACACACAACCCCATAATTTAGTATATATAAACAGTCTCTCGGATATCACCATCGTCTTGTGCTATTGCTTTTGTTCCTGGTTTGGTAGTGGATGCTCATAACGTTCGCTCCCCCTTTGAGCAGGCAATGACACAAAGGGTGTGATGCTTGATCGTGTGTTACTAGCAATCTAGAGACACTGGGGCATGAAAAATATACCACCACCATTGTCATTAGTGATTCCAGTGGAAGTCAACGAATCGGATTCCGCCAACATTTTAGCTTCACCACCAGCTCGGAATACTCATTGTAATTGATTGATTGATAGTAGATTGTTGGTCGGTGCTGCTATTGTTGTGAGTGTTTGAGCCATCAAGGTAAGTAAGAACGCCCGATTGAGGTTGAATTGGAAAACGTCTTTGGCCCGCATTATCTGGTTGTTTTTTGTTCATTCCAGGACCTGCAGCTATTTGGCATAGCAGACAAGACACGACGAGTCTAAAGGCTCGAGTTTCCGCATTAAACTCTTCACTGCCCCGGGAGAGTATCCGAAGATATCAGCCAAGAAAACAAACCAGAAAAAGTCATGACTTCCTATAGAATTGCCTGAAGATTGACTCTCGCCACTCCCAAAGTCACTACAGCATCTGTATACGCTCCAGGTTCGGAATCCAACTATTCACGTCGTATTTCTTCCATTGTCGGGCGATATCGATTTGTGTGGACTCCAAGAAGCTAAGGAAGCAATGTCGATGAACATTATCCAGTTTAACCATTTTTTTTCACCAACCAGTATTGAAGATCATTCTCGTCCATTCCAATATCAGGAGCAGGAGACAGATTTAACAATCAGCCCTTGCTTCTGCATTACTTGCTGCCATAGATCTAATCGACGCGAAAAAAATATGAATGTCTGGTTGCTGATTAACCAGCAACGGTCTCACACGCTTACCTAACTGCTTTATGAGCCCATTCAATTCCTTCATGGTTTGCTACAGTGACTGGTGCAACTGCTTCTAGAACTACAACAGCTTCAAAGGTACAACCACAACAATTCCAGTCATGTCTCATAGACTATTTGAGATTCTTTGCACTCTTCTACTCGTGGTGTATACAAACAGCCATCCCTTCAGTTGGATTATGGAAACATTGTGGTAGGGATTGCTGAGTGGCTGTCGAGAAATGTGTTGAGAGGCCTTGGGAGTGTTTCTCACCAATTGGGCACTGGTCGTCTTATGATTTTAGACTTGTAAACAGATGCAGGTCTTAGCAGAGTGCTCTGCAAACGAGAGTAATTTCAAACTGCGGCGAAATGGTAAAGTGTTTGATGTCATCGAAAAACAATTCCAACGACCATCAGAGAGCAGAGAGGAGCCATCCTGAAGCTGGTTGTCTTAATGTCTTGATACAGAAGCGGATGCTGTATCTAGGACACAGTAGAAACTTAGTTAGCATGCCGTTTTTCACAAAACATGAGATAACAAACAGAAAATGGAGATTCCTTCCAGCTTTGATAACAGGAAGCTGTTGAAGCAGATAAGAGAGCAGACCATAGCAGAAGATGCCTCCAGAGTCATTGAAGCCTCCGACTTGGGTTTTTCTGTTGGATGGAGTTGGTAACGACAACGAGTAGGTGCCGTGATGTTGGGAGAAGACGCTTTTGCAACGAACAGAGCTTGGGAGGCTTTTTGGGACTCGTAGCATGAAGACGAATTTATGTGGATATTGGGTAACCACTGCTTCAGGCCACAGTGTAGCTTTGCATCTGACTTTGCTCTCGACGCAATTCAACAGAGACCAAACAGCTCGAAAGACGAGGACTTCAAACACCAATATGCTGCTTTAATATTTATTATGATTCAGTCACTAGTGAGGCAGTATTCATTCAATCGTTCATATTAACGAATTCATTTCAAAAACACTAACTAACTGAAATAACTGTTGAAGTTGTATCAGAGAAAATACTATGGCAACGGATGACTCCAGAGTCGCTGAAGCCCTCGAGTTGGTTTCTGTTGTGAGAGTTTGTTGTGATCGATGTTAGGAGGAGAACAGGCCACCTTTGTCCATTACAGAACCTTAGGAGACAGGCTTGTCAGTACTTCAAGACTAGTTACAGCCGTTGCTGCTGTAAGTCAAACCCAGCGGAATTGAAAGATGAAGAAAATGAAGATGAAGTTACATTTGCATGGGTCGTAGATAACATCTATATTATTTCAATAGCCAACCTTTGTACACAAACCCACAACAGACCATAATTTAGTATGTACACAACACAATCCTCTCACTCTGATATCACCACCTTCTTGTGTTGTTCCATCTTCTTGTGTTGTTGATTCTGTTGCTGCTGTTGTAGCGGATGTTCACTCATCTTTTGAGAAGGCAATGATACAACTCGTTTGAGTACTGATTTGATACTTGATGGTGTGGTACTGGCAATGGTAGAGACACTGGGGCTGAAATATATACCACCACCATTGCCACTAGTGATTCCAGTGGGAGTCAAGGAATCGGATTCGGCCAATATTTCAGATTCGCCACTAGCCCGGAATGCTCGTTGTGGTCGATTGAAGGGTGTTGCTTGGTGTTGCTGTTGCTGTGTGAGCCATCTGTGATATAAGCGAGGTTGATTTAGAAGACATGAATGTCGATACTTGATAGGTCCTTTTTTTGTTCGACCGCATACCCTGGAGTTGGTGGCATAGTAGACAGGACACGGCGAGTCTCAAAGGCCCGAATTTCCTCCTCAAACTCTTCTCTGTCTCTCTGCAAAAAGGCAAATATCAGCAAAAACATATAGCAATAATTCTCGTGATATAGAAGTACCTGAAGATTCACTCTCTCGACTCCCAGCTTCACTGCAGCATCTGTAAACCGTCTACGCTCAGACTCCAACTGTTCACGTTGTCGACGTATCTCTTCCATTTGTTTATTGACATCGTCTTGTGTAGACTCCAAGAAGCTAAGAATTCATGTCAGAGTCAATAGGAATACTTGCGCGTTCCAATTTTTGCTGCACAGCGACCCACCGATATTCTGGATCATTATCATCCATGCCATTTTCAGGGGCAAGAGACAGATTCAACAATCTGTTTTGCTCGTCTATTATTTGCTGACACACACCTACACGACAACAAAAAAAGGATCAATTCTACCTTAACAATGATGTACAGCACCAGACGCCAAACTGACCCAACTGCTTCTTGAGCACATCCAATTCTTCATGATTCACGACAACCACTGGAGCAACTGCTTCTGGAACTACAGCACCAGAAGCTTCCGCAGCACGACCAGACAATTCCAAATACTTGTCATAAACTATTTGAAATTCTTGTCGTAGACTCTCCATAGCATCTAGTATCAACTGAGCTAGTGCTTGTCGTGCTATGTTGAGCGGAAGTCGGAATTGTGCTGATCGATCCTATTAAGAAAGCGGAAAGATGAAGGTTAATACAGGACAATAATCTACTTGCTTAGTTCGGAGGTTTTCCTCCATTCCCACCCAAGCGAAACAGACTGCTCAATCATTTGGCTATACCTTGAGCTCAGAAACAGTATCATCACCATGCATTCTAGCACATTCAGCATGCCGTTCCCTCAACATGCAATAAATACGATGCAAAGTCTCTCTCAAATCCTCATTCTCTACCAACACCTCCTTTTCACGGTCTTCATATGTCTTGATGACCAACCCATAGATTTCGTCCTCCTTCTTAACTCGTGGTGTTATCGTTGGCCGTAATGGGTTGATTATTCGTATCTTTTGTTGTTCCAGTTGTTGTCCTTGCTTTCCAGGTGGTCCAGATGGTTTGGAATCGGGACGAGCAAGATGTCGTTCCTTCCATTTTTCTTGATCACGTTCCTTTTTACGGACTTCGTGTAGGAATTGTGCTTTTGCTTGTTGGAGAGTAAATTTGGTGACTCGTAGTTCTTCTTTGGTTGATGACAACGTCGTGTTCACGTCTTTTAATGACTTTTCTGTAGCTCTGTTATGGGAGTGATGTGTGGTAGGACAGGCTTATGGGACAAGTGGTAGTGTATGATATACGTACTCGATCTTCATTGATAGGAAATCATTGTCTCGTTCAGCAGCTTCCACTTTAGCTTTCGTCTTGGCCTATAATAAACCACATATCAGGTTTTTTGGTTGGGCGCAGCAGTCCCGAACCAAGAAACCACACATGCACGTACCAAAGCAGCATTAACCATTTCATACTCATTCGTTGTCCGTCGTAACCGGTCAGTCAATTCTTCTCGCACATCTGCATCTTTCTGTCAACAAAATCTCAAGAGTGTGAAATGTTTGATCGCGAGTAGTTCTTCAAGTGGCTGATATACCTGACGTTGTTGCAAGAGTAAGAATAAAGTATTGACGATGAATGGAGGCACCTGTTCACGCTCTTCCTTTTCTAGTTCTGCGCTTAGGAAGCCCGCTGCGACCAATTCTCGAGTAATGTAATCGACGACGGTCCTGTTTACAAGCGATTTAATTAGATATAGATGTGAAGAAACGACACTGCTTCAGACTCACTTGTCACTAGTGGACTCTGCTTCTGCTGACAGCATCTTCAGCTCCTTTGACTTTGTTGGTGAGCGAAGTGGTGATGAACGAATGGTGAATGGTGAGCGTGTTTTCTGGGAAAACACGAAGAAGCTGTAGAGGAAACAAGCAATCAGAAACAAGTGTATCGTGATTGTGAATTGACAATCATAATCGTGTGAACGAAAAACTTATAGAATACACATGGCAAGTGAAGACGCTACAGAACACAAATGATGGCTTTTGCAATTCATGTCTATGAATATGGTTGAATCCGAAATTGTCTTTTTATTCTTGTTATTTGTTTATAGGATAGTTGCTATTACAGGGTGCCATACAAGTAACTAGAGGCATTACTGGAGGAGGAGTTGAAAGTGTTCTTATTGAAATGATGTGTCCTAAAGACGACGGCTTTGCGATTTAGAAGAGCTAATGCTGGACTGACGCTTGGATATTGCCACAAGAACTAACCAGGGTACATGCAAACGATGATGTATTATATGTACTTTACAAAAGGCGAACACCTTCAGCCAACAAGTCAAATATCCATTGACGTGCACGGAGCCTTTACCCTCGCCCACTTGATACGGGCGAATGAGTCCTCACCACCATTCCACTCCTTCAAGACTTTAACGTTGTCGGCATCCCGAAGATCCGGTATTTCTGTAAATGAGTTTGCTTTAGCGCGGTAAATTGGTGTCGTAGTCAAATAGCTGGTGGAGCATTACCCAAAATGCCTTGCAAATATTCCTTTTCCTCTTGTTCTTTTAACGAATAAAGTATAGGCAGATTTTTTGATCGTGGCCTGTTTGGTCTTGTTTCAGCTTCTAGACGTGCTATTTCTTTATCATTCCTTTGCATATACCTGAGAGTAGAGCGAGAGATGGTGAGCAATAGATCATTCAAGCTTCCGCAGCCTAAACGTACATCGTAACGGCATCATGGACTTGATCAGCAGAAGCGACTGAATCATCATCGGATATAGCAAACTTGAAGAAGGCGGCCTTGTCCACTAAGCTCGGAAAACATGTGTGAGGTTTGTGATGTTGGAAGAAAAGGGTTGATCACGACCAATACTGTAACGATCACAAGCAAAATATCAAAAGACTTGACACCTGCAGTTAAGAAAACAAGTGGCAAAGTGCCTGCTGTGTTGTAACTTACATATCTTTTGTCGACTAGCCCATCTTACTTCCTTCCCAGTTTTGAGCTTGTCTTCTCGTAGATGAGACCTTTCTAACTGTCTAGCCTTTCTCGAATAAGGGTGTGCACTCCCTTTGACGTCTTTTACGGACAGCTTCTTGGGCATCTTAATCTGAAACTTTTTTTCTGAAGGAGGCGATGAGCGATGCTGACAACGGAGATCTAAGTGATGCGTAAGTTCAGACGTGATTTCAGCTTCAATTCTTGACACATCACGTTTATTTGGCTCAAATTTCACTTCAAACTACTCTCTAGAGTTCAAAAATGGGCAACATTGCAGCAAGATTTGGTTGAAGCGTTGAGGTCGTTGGAGCACGATGGTAACGCGCTCTTGTGAAGAAATCATGATGAATCACACACTTTCGAATCTGATCTGACGCTGGTTATGTATCGTTTATAGCGTCAAGGCGAGGCTTCGGTATTCTTCGAGACTCGCTCACCGAATGTAGGCTTCACTTTGCCTGAGGTGGTAGAACAGATCTCTCAAACTGTCGTACTTTTATAGTTGAATCAGTCATGCAACAGCTTCATAGTATTCGACGGCAAGGAGCTGCTCAAATGGAGGATAGCGTCATGGTATGAAGGTTCTTTTTTTAGCTTCATCCCTTCAAGCAATTTACTGACTGAATTCTCGATAGGTGCCTCCATCTGAAGATACTCTAGATCTCATGAAGAGATTCATTGAAATGTATGAAGAAGAGCTATGCGTCAAGGTAAACCACAACGCGTACAGAAACCAAACCGGATTTGAACATTCTAAAAGACAATTCGGTTATAGAAAGCAATCATTGGAGATGTGCTTGAACTGGCATCTACTATGACACATGCACAATGGTGTATCGCTATATCCGTCTTGGAAAGCGAACCATTTCTGGACGACGCATTGGAACTCAAAGTTTTGAACCAGTGGGTCCATAGTGAGACAGAAACTGTCAAGCAGTAATCCATGTTATGCATCGCTAGTACTGGAATGAGTCATGACCAGATGTTGGCTGAGTGCATGTCTTGGCCTCTTTGGAGATTATTGCAAGGTCAAATGTCGCACTTTCGATGGATAGATTCGGATGGCATCCTTTGTAACATCTCGATCTGGACTTACATATATTCTCATTTCCACGTACAAATGGCTCACGGAAGAAGAGTTTGTTGCTTATGTGAGACTATCAAATGTCGACCATCTTCGCGACGAACCAACCCTGGGGAAGTCGCTATAAGACATAGAAGAAAGTATCGCTTACCATCTGGTCTGCTACTTTTATTAGAGTAGTCTGCATTCAGGTATGTATAGACATGTTCATGGTAGTGCTTAGGGACATCGACGGAAACCCATCCATGTGGTTATTGGGGATGTAGACAGCTATAATGTACTCCACTCACTCGCCATTGCATCAATCATCAACTATCTACATCAGATATAACATTCCCATCTCTCTTTGCTCTACTCTTGTTGCGCTTGTAATGTCACGAGTCTGTATTGGTCAAGATAGTAGTCTGCTTGAATCCAACAGAGATCAGGCGCAGTCCCGTCATCTGCATCACCTGATTTCTGCCCTCTTGCTCACTCTGGATGATGGACTACGTCTTGTTCTGAACAAGAAGCCACCGTCACTGTCAGTGAGAGGGATTGCTGGCCATACATCAGCACGTCACCAAGCTCCACGAAAGTTTATATTACACCTGCTGGCTGTGATATCAAACTACCATTGCCAACATCTATTGAAGATGCGGAGAATGCCATCAAGTTGGCCATGGAACAACTCTCTGGAGAACATAAAGTGTCCGACAAGATCTTGAATATTGATATCTGGCGTCCTAATTATCCTCGTTTGAAAGTAGTAGATCTACCAGGATATGTCCAAGCTGCTGTAGAGGGCCAATCGAAATCCATTGTGGAAGAAATCGCTGCTATTGTCGACGATCACGTATTGGGCCCACGTACAATCATTCTAGCAGTATTTTCTGCCAGCCATGATGTCGCTACCAATGTAGTCGTGCAAAAGGTTCAAGACTTGGGAAATGGTGGTGCACGAGCGTCGGGTGTCTTTACTAAGTGTGACTTGATCGACAAGGGCGCAGAATCTCGTGTCGTTGATATCAGCGAAGGTTAAGGTCACAGTATTTGCGAACACATTGAGACTTTCATTAGGACCAGTACGGACCATGCGAATTTCATCCATGGAAGGAAATTACTGAAAAGCATGTTGAAGCCATCACAAATGCTATGAGGAAGACTCTAGCTTACTTGGAACGTCAACGTGTACATCCATTACTCTCTCGCTTGTTTCAGAATTTTATTGAAGCACACATCTCTGAGGTCGAGACGGCAATCATGAAGGAAGTTGGCAAGTCCACGACGATGAACATCTTGCAATGGCATACAAATCACTATTTTACGGAACAACTTGAAGACAATCGAAATGAAGCTAGAATAGGATCGCTCAAGCCATACATGTCCTTCAACGGCCACAGCTACGCAATATACGAATCAACATGTCGTCGGCAAATTACTTGTTCAAACAAAGAGTTTGAAGTCAAGGATATGATTACCATGGTGAAAGCCTACTGTGAAACAGCAGCCAAATGACATACTGGTGCCATCTGTCTCTAAGTCGTTGAAAGTAAGATGTTCCGTCTTGGTATCAGCAAGCTCTACAATCAACTGTTGCACTCGACCCATCCGATGTCCACGAAAATGCCTCGACTGTTGCACTTCGTGAACGTCTTGATGATGTTATTACAACGTTGAGGGCTCTCTGGTCAGTGTCCATAATCCACGACGCAAGGTTGTTTGTGCCACTAACGACACTGTGTTTTGGAGATCCCGTCGTTTTGGTATCAACGTATAGTGAAAGAAGCTTTGTATCCTAGCTCAAGTATTTGTATGTGCTAAAAGCCAGTAGTATTCGCTAAATTGAATTGAATCCCTTCTTTTGTCGCAAAGTCATGAGTCTAGTTCGAACAGGTCTGGAGTGGTCCTGGCGCATTTGTTGATAGCATCCGACTCATTTCACCAGCTGAATCATTCGCCCCGAAATCCGAATGCGATGTAGAACAGGCAAGACAAAACCTTTCGTGAAGGGGATGAATCCATATGAAGTATACGAGAAAAATAGACTTTGCCCAGAGGCCCTGTCCAATAGAGGAAAAATGTAAGAAAAAAAGGAGCTGAACCACAACTGCAATGACATTGAGACAAGTTATATAGAATCAAAGCTTACGCTGTAAGCGTCTAAGCTCTTGAAGGTGAGCATAGATCGGTTTTGAACGGTGCTTTGGTATAAAGCTTCATCAGCTTACCATGTCGAAGCACGGGTCATTCATTCAGCTGGAACACGAATGACAGCAGTGAGACTTTGGAGATTGGGACTTGGACAGGTCACATACTTGGCCTTGGCGAGTCCATTATGCCGATGAGATCCTAGAGCCAACAAAAAAAAATACTTCACATCTCGCCGAATGGCCTATACATAGCAACCACATTCAATGCTGAAGACACCATTTGCACCCTAGTAGTGCTCTCGTCTCCAATCAAGGGCCACCAAAAAGAGTGACATGATCACAATCTGGTCCTTCATGCGCAGATGAGTGAAGAGACAAGGACAAGACACCAGCTTTTAGCTAGGCAGCAAAAGCTGTGTAGCTGTGAAGATACTATGGGCATAATAAAGCTTGCAATGAGTCCATATGCTGCGGCTTGAACTTTATTGAGCGTTGTTCAAAAAACTCCACCCTGCGTTTCAGTGGCAAATTGAGTACCGAGGATGACCATTTCTCATCGCTCACAGTTGATGGCAACGGGTGCAATGCACTGGCAGGAGTTCACATACAGATTGAAAAATGTTGAAATGATCAACACTTCCATTAGCAAAACAATTTCATGGGACCAGAAGATTCATCCGTTTCGCGTCGACGGAAGCAATTCGCTGCTCAAATCACCAGGAGTCACGCCCAGATTCCTTAGCGTCTACCAAGTTCCTATGTGGAAAGTCACATAGACACCACAGCATAGTGTTGGGCTACAGACCAGGAGATCTAATTCGAGGAGAAAAATTGGTCAGGGTCAACATTCACATTCATTTAATCCTTTATCGTCGAATCAACAAAGGAAACTCAGGAAGGCTGTGAAGAGGATGAACATTTATTGAGCACATGAGATAAAAGAAGTACACAGCTCTACGATAGAGATAGAGACAGCAATCAGAGGTTTTACAATTGAACACCAGCAGCAATGACTTCGGCAGAGGCCTTGTCCTATTGGAGGGAGAACAATCAGTAACAAAACAGATTCGGAATTCAAAGTAGCACAACGTCGAAGCAAGTTCTACAACAACCAGGCATACCTTATAGGCATCAAAGTTCTTGGAGAAGAGCATAGCAAGTTTTCGGACAGTGGTTTGGTATGAAGCTTCGTCACCCAACCATGTTCGTGCAGGGTTCAGGACATCAGCAGGGACACCAGTGATAGCAGTGGGGATTTGGAGGTTGAATATAGGGTAGTTTACGTATTTTGCCTTGGCGAGTTCACCTAATGACAATACGATTTTTAAGTTGAAGTGTATTTTTTTATCTCCAATTTGCGATATTTACCAGAGTGAATGGCATCAAGGATGGCACGAGAGTATTTCAGGCTGATTCGCTTTCCGACTCCGTATGCTCCTCCGTTCCAGCCAGTGTTGACCAACCTAGTGATTGAGGAAAACGAGTGAGAAAAATAACTCAGTTGCGTTTGGAACAATGGACAAGGCAATTTACCAAGCATCAGCCTTGTGATGATCCATTTGCTTGGCCAACATAGAAGCGTAATGTGTTGGGTGCCATACAATAAATGGTGATCCAAAGCATGTGGAGAAGGTTGCTTGAGGTTCAGTGATTCCATCTTCGGTACCAGCAACCTTAGCAGTATATCCACTCAAGAAGTGGTACATAGCTTGTGCTGAAGAGAGTTTTGATACTGGTGGCAATACACCAAAGGCGTCACAAGTGAGCATGATGATGTTCTTGGGGTGACCACCGACGCAAGGTATTTTGGCGTTTGGAATGTAGTCGATTCTAACAAGAATGTTCAAGATGAAAGGTTGGAAAGCTGTAATGGCAGATCTGCCTTATTTTTATTGGCTTGAACACTTACGGGTAGCAAGCACGAGTATTTTCCGTCAATTCAGAAGATGCATAGTTGACGACACGGGTGTTTTCATCGTATACGACGTTCTCGAGCACACTTCCAAAGCGGATGGCACCCTTTGAGCAGCAAAAGAGATCCTTTAGTCGAGTCGTATAGTGGTGGTACTTGCAACAAATACTCACATAGATTTCAGGTTCCTTTTCAGCTGAAAGGTCGATAGCCTTTGCATAGCAACCACCTTCAATGTTGAAGACACCATTTTCACTCCAGCAATGTTCATCGTCTCCAATCAAGGCACGACGAGGATCAGCAGATAAGGTGGTCTTTCCGGTACCAGATAGACCAAAGAAGAGTGACACGTCACCATCTGGTCCTTCGTTGGCAGATGAGTGAAGCGACAAGACACCAGCTTTAGGCATCAAGTAGTGCATGACTGTGAAGATACTGCGTAGATGGTAAGGTTTGAGTATAGTGCCCAAGCAAGAAGGCTTGACATTGTTTTTGCTCTGTATGATGAACTTACCCCTTCTTCATTTCGCCGGCATATTGAGTACCGAGGATGACCAATTCTCGTCGCTTAAAGTTAAGAGCAACAGAAGTGGTGGAAGTCATTCCCGAGGTGTATCGATTGGCAGGGAATTCACCTGAAGATGAAAAATGTTGAAGTTAGAAATCGTTCACAAGGAGCAGATAAAGCTGGAAAGAAATTTGCATCACACATTCTTTCAAGACACGTCATAATCACTCAATGTTAGCATTAACACTCACCAGCATTGTAAATAGTAAAATCAGGTGTGCCAAAATGCTTCAGCTCTTCCCTTGTAGGTCGAATCAACATATTGTTCATGAAGAGAGCATGGTATGCACGAGCACAGACAACACGGACTTTGATACGGTATCGTGGATCCCAGCCGGCATAACCATCAAATACATACAATCGAGAACGAGTGTTGAGATAATCGATTGCTCGTTCACGGTTGATCATGAAGGCATCGTCAGAGAGTTTCATGTTGACTGGACCCCACCAGATATCGTTGGTTGAAGTTGGTTCATCGACGATACGCTTGTCCTTAGGTGAGCGACCTTTTTTGGCTCCAGAGTCGGTGACGAGGGCTCCTGATGAGGTGATTGCGGTTCCGTGTTCATATTTGAGTGCTTCTTCGTACCTGTTTGGGGGACGAGCAGAAGAGTATGAGTAACCATGTGGTGTGGATTCGAGAAAATCCAGACGAAGAACAAGTCGGATATTGACACATACAAGACGGCAGCAGAAGCGTTGTGGATGATGGGTTTGCTCGAGTCGATGCGAGCTTCTCGGAAGAGATCCTCAGAGACTGTGTCGTGCCACTGTTAAATTTTGTGTAAGTATGTGTGAGTCAGCTCGACTGGCAATGCCACACATCATCAATAACTGGAGGAGAACAGCAACATACCTCAACACCAGCATTGATATTACCATTCATATTGGCTTGTTGACTATTTATAAAGAATACAAAAATTTGATTAGACCTTGACGAGCTTGAAAACCTTGCAATGTTTGGTCAGGTGCAAGCACCCACGAGTCAAGCTTGAAAGCTCGACATCAAGAAGAGCACATAATATGCTAGATTATACGATATAATAAAGCAAAAATTCATCAAATCATCAAAGAGATTCAACAGTTCTCCAACTCAATTGACAGGTCAAAACACAAAACATCACGCTCTTCAACATTACCTGACAGAGCTGCGACGAGCTAGTGGAGATGTTGTTTGGGTCATCTCGATTGTGCTTTTGGATCTGATTTATCTGCGAGATTGTTTTTGCAAGTTTCAAGAACTCACGAGCTATCGTCGGCGGTTGTTTCCGAAAGAGACCAAATTGAGTCACAAACAAGTCACAAAAAAAAAACTCGAATCCAAATTTATCCAGTTCACGTAAAGAACTCGTATCTCGTATCTTCAAGGAAATTATCAGATCAATTATTCAACGAGTCCAATATCCAATATACACTTTGTTACAATGTTACAATACAGGAGATCGAAAATACACAATGATCAATCATGACTTTTGGCTACATTGTTTCTTGGCAGGCGCGCCGACGGCGCCGACGAATCTCCACGATCTTATAAAACCAGAAATAAAAAAAGTTGAGACGTGTCAAGAACACGTTAAGCCGCTCCATAGAAACGAGCGAATGAGGAGCAAGGTTATTTGTTGGAGATATGATGGTTGCCAGAAAAAGTTGATACATTAGTTGTAGATGAGGTACGACCACATCTATCTCTTTGATGTGTCGATCACAACAGAGTACCAAGTCCTCACATTACGAAATCATCAAATTTACACGCAACTTACCCAAACAGTCATTGGCACTGTAAGATCCGTACACAGCACGGACACCAAAGAACGAGATCACCAATAAGTCACCATTCACCATTCACCAGTTGTAGTGGGGATCCCGTTATGTCCATCTTGTCACATCGTTTGCTGTTTGCTGCATTCGAGACACGATTTTTGACTGCACGTGCCTGAGAGAACTTCGAAGAACTAGTAGAGTTGGATTAGACCAGATTTAGATCTAAGTTAGATGCTAGCATGTGTTCGAGTCTCACATGACAAGGGAGCCCGGCATCCATCTAACTAAAATTCAATCAATTTCTCGAAAACCACCCCCTCATCTCAAAAAGTTCATATCAATTCTTTAAAGAATCCAATTTAACTAGTATGTTACAATCTATAGCGCAAAACACCAACACAAATCATTTTACTCTTCCTTCCTGACTTTTGACTTTTTACTTGCATCCTTCTTTGCAGGCGCACCGACAAACCTCCGCCTTACAGCATCTACAATCTTGTAAAACCAGAAAAAGTTGAGAGTGGTTAAAGATATGTTGGCCACTCCATAGATTGCAATTAAGTGAGGAGCAATGTTGTCCCGTTGAGATATCACGGTTGCTAAAGAACAAGAGAGAAGAGGTGTTGGTACAATTGACCAAAGATGATTCGGCGTGCACTTCCATCATGCACTGTCATCTGCTGGATGTGTTGAGCAACAACCGTGTGCCAAATCATGGCAAAAAAACAACAAGGAACTTACAGAAAAAGTCGTATGCATTGTAGGATCCGTATACAACACGGACACCAAAGAAGGAGGCCATCAATATAATTCCATTCACCAGCTGTAGTGGGGATCCCGTTATGTTCATCTTGTCACAAAACCAATTGATGTTTAAGAACGGTGTCGATAGCTCAAACAGTAGGAATGGAGCTCCAAAATACATTAAGAATGGCCTCTACAATACAGATTCGAGTTTGAGTACAGAGTTGCGCGACAGGAAAGTTGGGAGTTTGGGCTGGATCCAAACTCAGGGACCATACATACCATGGAGAAGGTGAATACCATCAAGCATAGTACGCCATGAAACAGGAATGACGGGCCATATAGATTGAACAAGTATAACGAGACGCCAACATCCCACAAAAAGTAACTAGTGATACCCAAAAGTTAATATACCGCTCCTTGACCAACCGCATGCAACTATGAGAGTACTTGCCCACAAGCTATAGCCACCACCTGTATAGAGTACTCTGTAAATCCATACACTTTATCCCTCTTCAGTTCATCTATGCCTAGCATCTGGAAAGCCAGGTAGCAGATTAAGACTGCGTGAAATGTCGAGGTAACTCTAGTACACCAGTCCGCTTGTTTAGCAGCGTCCAATTTACGATAGGAAGAAGAGTATGCTCGACTTATAGGGAAGCTTGCGAGGAAAATCTATGTAGAGGAAGTTCGTTTTATTGCAATGATCTCGCAATCTCTGCTGAAAAGAACAACCTAATTGCCCAAAACTCAAAATGCAAACTCACTGCCGTCCAGGTTGCAGCAGATAGTAGGATTGTTGGATAGGCAGTGTTGAGTAATGGAAGCCCCACATCGTCAGCGAAAGTCATGGCTACTTAGGCTAAGCTGGTTGTTCTATTGCAAAACTCGAAAAACTTGAAATGAAAAGTGATTGGGTGCTTGAAATTGAGACGGGCGGTGGTGATAAAGGAAGGAAGACGGGAGAAAAAAAGGTTATCTCCTTATACTCACGAGATCAGCCGTCACGAATTTGAACGTCTGGGTTTCACGTTGGAATAACCTAACATCACGGGCATATCGCAAGTAGAGGACCTGGCAACTTCAATTGTTATTCTTGGCATCGAGTTCAATTTCGAATTGTGATTATGCCAGCTCATGCTCTTTTATGGCTCGACCTGTTCGAAGAAAACTCTGAGCACCATCTGAACTTCCAGCTGTTTCTGGCTGCTGGAGTGTGTGCGTTCGTAAGGGCACCAGCCTTCAGATTCTTAGTCTTCCTGACGCTCTTCAAAGTATCAAATATCAAACTACACAAACAGACTCTACTCTTGGGCTGGAACTCACTAAATCGAGAGCGATGTTTTGGATTTTGAAACCAAGTTGGCTGCAAAAGTCATATGCCATTTCGAAGCGCGATTTACATTCCTTCATAACTCCAATATGCGATCACCCTCTTCCCTCTGCCGCTGGACTAAACCAATTCGTCAATTTTTGGTTCTGCGTACTGAAAGTCTGTCAATGACATAAAACAATGCAGTTCTGGCGAGGTAGAACCGACCCATATGTGAATACGGCGCACACGCTTTAATATTCGAAATTCATATGATTTTTCAGCCCAGAATATGAGCGACCGGTATGAGAATTGGTCTTGAAAATGAGATTCAACAAGGAAGCGTTGTTTGCGTTTTCAAAATCAGACATAAGCGGACCTGACTACGCTTTTATAGCATAAACCCTGTTTGGGAGGATTCTTTCCGCCTATACTTGGCCGTAACTCTAATTTGCCTGAACTCCAGTGCAAAAGCTACAACGTAAAAACTACCGACGTTGAAGCAAATAACTCGCAATCCCCAAAATCAAAACATAGGCAATGATCACTATGGAAACTCTAAGGAAAATTTGGATCCCCCTTCTCGCGCTATCTGTACTCTACATCGGTCAACGAGGAATCAAAGCTCAATTGCAAGGTTTGCACACAACTTGGAATCACACGTGCTCTCACAGATCCTGACACCTTTCATTGAATTTAGCAAGAAAAATGTGTTCCAGTGTTTTGTTACTTGGTTTAGAACATCATGGACGAGACGTTACGTCTCTACCCACCAGTAACGTCAATTCATAAGAAAGCCATCGTAGACCAAGAAATTATTACCCCCAAGCACCGTCTTATTGTGCCTGCTGGAACACTCGTCAGTTTGCAGGCGTGTGTTGCCCACTACGATGCTGAAGTATGGGCGCCGATGTGAATGAGTTCAAGCCCTCTCGATAGAATACTGAACGTGCCAAGAAGGCCAAAGAATCTGGAGCATTCATTCTTTTTTCTGAAGGTAGGAGACATCTTGATGCTTGAAGCTTCAAGCGAGGTTCTTTTCAGGTGGTGCGAAAGCTCACACACAAACACCCTCTATCTTTAGGTGCAAGGGTCTGCCTTGGTCGAAAGTTCTCTCAAGTGGAATTCAATGCTGCCTTGACGTCTTTGAGCTGGAATTGGACTTGGAGAACCCACGGCACTGCTGGCACAGAGATTCTTGACTCGGTGAACCAGGCCATCACCATCACTCCAAAGAAGGAGTTGAAGCTGGTTTTCACTCCTCGTAAATAGAGTTTTCTCCTTCGTGACTTGGTGGACGTTTGAATTAGCTTCGTGTACTGGGTGGTCATTTTTGGTGTAGATTTGTCTTTATAGTTCAAATTAGTGTGAAGTTAACAATAAGAATCAACGTATATACTTCATTGCCGTCCATGTCATTGGTATTGCAGCGGTTGGCACTCTCTTAGCAAATGGATCTACCACACATCTATACTAAACTCAAAACATCCAAGAGAATGTTGGGAGGCGAGCCTGAGAATCCACGAGAAGGAGCTCGTCAAGTATATCCCGAACGTGCTGCTCAAATAGATAGATTAGAATCCTTACTATTTGCAAGTATCGTCTGCTTTTGTCAAAGTGCCACACAAAATCACTTAAACGACATGTTTCTCACTCTGTACAGTCTGAAGGAGCATTCACACCAACTGGAATATTCTGTTATGGCCCACCAGCAACAGGCAAAACAGCCGTCATCAAGCATCTCCTCTCTGAAGATGGGAACGCCGTGATCATCAATTGCATCGAAACACATACTCCTCGATTAACATTCTCTCGAATACTGGACTCGTTGGCCCATATACGTACATTATATGCTACTGGATTTACGGGATCGTGTGCATGTGACTCGTTGGAAGAGTTTACCATGATCTTGCATGAGTTGTGCGCAGCGTCTGATGAGAGACGATATGTGGTATGTGATCAGGGTGACTTTTATGAAGTTTTATTGATTTAACTGGGATGTTCTACAGGTATTGGATCATATTGAGAAGCTACGTGATGGTTTTGCTAGTACCTTGTTACCTGCCATGATGAAAGTCTCTGAAGTCGTAAGTCTTATACCTCCAGACAGTATTCTACCTTTTTTTCGCTGATCAATCAAGAATCGATAGACACAAAACAAACTGGTCTTGATTATGATTTCCAATCAAGTCTGGGATCACTTTACTGCAAAAGCTGGCAATCAACCACCCATCGAGATTCGATTTGGATCGTATAATCAGAAACAGATGCTCGATGTCTTGTCTCGAGATTGTCCTGCAGATTGTGAAGCTGGTCTGTTTCGAGCACTGTCTGAGCTGGTGTATGGAGCCTTTTCAAAACCTTGTCGTGATTTGGCTGAATTGAGGAATGTTATACGGCTCTTGTTGCCAAGGTATCTAGAACCGATCACTCAAGGGCGCGGTAAGTATCTGGATTCGCTATATTGACTGTCTTGCTTCACTTTTATTTGGCACGTTCTAACACTTATCCTGTAGTGAATGCACGAGAGACTGCCAAGCTATACAAGCATATAGAACCTTTTGTCAAGGACGCTCTCAACAATTTATATCTGCGCAAAGTGTCCACAGCTGACTGGGCAAAACCGACTGACCCTTTAGTGAGACGACCAAGTATGTAGATCAACCATGAATTTTTTGTCTCCATTATGCTGAATGCTCAACATTCATGTTTCAAGCTGCTCAAGTCATCAATCTACCAATGTATACCAAGTTTTTGTTAATCGCTGCATTCCTTGCATCGTACAATCCTCCACGTTTCGATTTACGGTTCTTTGCTAATGAGCGAGAGGCATCTAAACGTAGGAAGGGTGGAAAGGACAAAACAGGAGGAAAGGTAAAGCATTACTGAAAAAGAGCTTCTCTCCAGTATATAACTCACGGCCCTTTTTTTAGCTTCGACCTCAACTCGTTGGACCAAAAGCATTTCCAGTTGAACGTCAAATGGCTATATTCCATAGCATTGTGGGAGATAATATCAATGTGAATGTCGATTTGCAGATTCAGGTATGTGTGGGCAAGAAACAATGTCATCCGAACAACCTCCCCCACTTGACTTGCTCACATTTTACTCGTAGAACACATCACTCATTTCTTTGAGACTGCTTCTTCGAGCCACGGCTGCAGATCGGTTAGATGGCATCAAATGTAAATGCAACGTGAGCTACGATACCGTTCAGGCTGTCTCCAAGTCCGTCAAGTTTGATGTTGCCAAATACCTGTATGATTTCGCATAACATTGTTTAACATGTATAACATTGTGTATAGAACATTCCACTTGTCTTGTAAACATTCCACATCCACGAGTTGTTATGACAGGGTTTTTATTATTGGGGTTGGGCACTCCAAATGACGATATAATTATTTAGTGACTGGCAGCTGCACCAGCGGCGTGACCTGCTGAAGCTTCCTTGGCCAACTGTTCTTCATACCATTTGGTAGCGTCGTTTCGTAGTTTTTGCTTTCCAGTGGCATCACTGACGTCCTTGCTACAATGATGATGTTTCATATCAGGAGAGTGTTAGAGTTTTACACCAAGCAAATACTAGACAGCAAGGACAAAAAGACTAGGAAACAAACGCTCTCATGCATACACAATGTTCATCCACTTGTTAGTTGGGTCTATAATAGCACAAACGTTAGCAATCATCCATCACAAAAACTGCAAAATGTTTGGCAGAAGCGGAATCTGGTAACGTACTGTCCATCATCTTGGTATGAGCAAACGAAAACAGGAAGAATGCAAATGCTCCACTAAAGAAGAATGGGTAGTAGACTTTTAAAAAGGAGCCTGGCCATACTCGTTGACCGAGAAAAGTTCGGTATGCTAGAAATTTGGGATGTGGAGGAGAGGGATTAACTATTGACATGGAGGAAGCTCGATGCATCCACGGCTCGTCTTACCTGGTGCGCTCATCTCTACTTTCAAATTCTTTTTATGATGTGAGTGTGAGTCTGTGACGACAAATGGTCAGCGAATTACACTTTCTTGCAATGCGATGTATATTAACAGAATACGCGAGTAAACAATTATTTGCATTATTTACAAGTTCTTTTAGTTCTTTTGCGTGCATGATGCTTATAACACGAATTTTGAGTGATAATAGTCCTTTGTCAGTGCTTCATATACATCCTGAGCACTTTCACTCAATACATCCACCAAGCGACCTATTATGACGCGTGTCAGTGATACATGAATCGTTCCTGAACGTGACTGCACTGTTTTGAAGAAACCTGGGTTGCCTCCGTATACGGAGAACGAGGGGATCACAGTGTTTGGTGGAATCACGGTTCCGTCTAATATCCTGCAGCAGTCTTTGATCCAAGAGAATCGACCCTGGGCATGATAAAATCATAAATTTTGCATCAATTCCCCTCGTTCTTGGCGTTGAAACTGGCTTACAAGTACACAATTCTTGCCAATCATAACATGAGATCCAATTGTAGCTGCTTCCACGATCGAGTCCTCGCCGATATGTACATAGTCTCCAATTTTCATTGGATAGTAGCTGAATACCCTAAGTGCGATATGACAAGGTCAAGATCTTTCTACGACACAAAGACCAAGTGCCATACCCTTTGTAAGTCCTGTACGGTGGCCTAACAATACATCGTTGTCCCAGCAAACAATATCGTCCAATAGAGACCACGACTGAGTGTCCTCCACCAGTTCTTCGCAAATCACCCCTTACAACACAATTGTCTTGAATGATGGTCTATGTGTGAAGATTTAGGAACTGTTAAGTCATAAATAGAGAATACAATGAATATAGTATATGGACAAAAACCTTGCCGCCAAGAATGATGTTTTGACTTCCCGAGATGGTCGAGTTTCGACTGACTTTGTTTCCAGTGTCCTAGTAATTTAGCTTTTAGCCATAATTGAATAGATCCAGCTCCAAAGAGGCCACTCACAGTCTCTATATAATCGCTTCGTTTATATGTAGTCACTGGGAGCTCCATCCTATCTAAGTGTTGGCTGGAGAGATGCTGTTTGGCGAGTTGGACCAGGGAGACTTTCTGCAGCAGCTTCGATTTTGATTTATGACACAGTGCAGTGAGACACATCACTGGTAGCGCTTAGCGCTTGGCTCGGAAACGTCGGAAACACGTGATTTGATGCTTAAACACGTCCAATCGCGTCCCTGCAATATGGGGAGTTCGTCTTGCGTTGGAGGTCGTTGTTCAATGATGGTGCCGAAGCAACAGGGCAATGGCAACCGCTTTGATCATTCACGCGAAAATTAGTACTTAAAACGCGTCCGATCTCGTCCTTGTTCATCAGCCAATACGCGCATCCAAACACCGATTTGTTGGTTTGCTTTATGCTTTATTCCACTCACACAACTTTTCTCACCTAGTGTGCTGAGGTTCAATGTCGATTTCGAGAATTTCAACGCTTATTTGTACTCTTGAATATGTTCAATGGACTGGATCTCACTGGCTAAGGCGGGCTTGTTTGCAGTATGCACTCCATCAAACAACTAACGTCGTCGACGTCTTGGCCTGCTTCGAATGTGACTTGACCGTGGATAAAATCTAGCCATTTTCGAATACACAGGACTATCCGCACAATTTGTCGTCGAGACCTGCCTGAACTAGCCAAGACTTCCACATTTCGCAGGGTGAAAGGTCGAAGCAGACGCAAATATGGTTGAATGGAACTGTAGGCATCTTTTCGGCCTCTGTCAATTTTTTGAGGCGTAGACCTATAACGGTATTCGGCTGACCGTTAAAGAGGAGCCTTTTCTACAGCTCCAACGCAACATCTGCTCAAAAACCTGCTCCCAAAGCACACTTTCCAACATAATCTCAGGCTCTTGAAATCGAAAGGGCTGTAATCGTCGTAAAATAAGGGCATATTACAACATGCACGAAGAGGAACTTGCTCATGACAAAAAAGTCGAAGACTTTCTTCATGATGTAAAAATTTCGGGGTTTGAGCTAAAGGACGAAGGAAATGGCGAGAAACCACAGAAGAGTAAGTGTTGAGAGGATAAAGTAAAAGCCTTCTTGTGATGTAATACTTGGTTTGGAATGTCTTTTTCAACCTTCTATGGTGCTTTGAGAGAGATCTTACACTCATCACATTTTAGAAATGTCTTGGGCGCGTCGTAATAGATGCCTATGCTGTTTTCTGGGATGTAATGGCTTCATGATAGCGCTATATCCGCTGTTGGTCCTGTTTATAATTCCCTTCGTCGTCGGTATGGTCTGATTCCTGTACGGCTACACCATCTCATCAACTGATGCGCTTATTTTCTGCTGCAGAGTATGCTATTACCAACATTCCGTTGAAGATACCTGCTAATCGTCCCAATATTACTCTTCCGGCGACTCTCATTAACAACTTTACTGAAAATTCAATAACTCTCCACAGTGAAGTCAAAGGAATGTACCTTCCGGTTACAATCTCAGTATTTCTTCAACCATTGTCCTTGTTATACAACGATGCTCCTTTGACGGTTATATCTATGAACAGCATCGTAGCTGCCTCCAATACTCCCACTATTGTCGATGGAGTTATCAGCTTCCCCGATGCTATGAAGATCAGGTCTATAATGGACTCTATTTCAGCTGCCATTCTAAAGCCTCCGGCAAATATTGCTTTGACTGGCACCGTTGGAGTACAGGGTGCCGTTGGTATATCTATTGGGTATATGTAAGTATCAAGCATCCGGCCGGGTCTTCTCCTTTGATGGCTCTCAAACATCTTTGTCTTTGACAGGTATATCCCTAAAATCCGAATTATACGAACCATTCCACTCGCTGATCGTCAAGCACTTGCAGCCCAAGCGGCAATGACCATGCCAGCACCACAAATCGATGTTATGGGCCTGCTCGGTGGTGTAGCCGTTGACAAATTCAACATTGCCAACTTAACAGATACTAAAGTAGCACCGTTTGAGCTTGGCCTGACGATCCAGAATCCTGCTCCAATCACTTTAGATACCTGTACTGGCATTGGTGTATCCATCTCGATGGCTTCCCAACAAATCTTTTCGGTCAGTGTCCTCAAACTAGCTATAAATCCAGGCCCGACGGTTATCTCTATCAATGGAAACGTATATGCTGGCACCCTAGTACAGATTGCCCAAACTATGGCTATGAATATGGCTATGGCCATGACCAATGCTACTGGTGGAACTCCTCAGTTGGTTACTGTAGTTTTATCCAACGCTACGTAAGCTTGTTAATCGGTCACCGACTATTTGAGTATAAGAGCTGAATTGTTAACCGTTTAGGTCCCCTGGTACATGGCTGAACACAATACTGAACGGTTACACGGTGTCAATTGATCCTGCCCTGTTGCCTAAACCAAATCTTACTGGTGTTGATATTGGTGCTAAGATTAAGGATGTTCTGGCAATGGTACCTCCGCCACTTAAGTCTAGTATGCAGAATGGTGTCAAACAAGTCATTGGTATGTACTTGTACTAAATGGTTTCTCCTTGTTATTAAAGCGTAACTGCTTTAAAGTTGATCTAACTCGTTTCTTTACAGAATATACTGTGGCCAACGTCCCAATTGATTTGAACAATCTACCGACTCTTCCAAAGACCACCGCTTTTATTGCTGTCCCTCAAGGATTATCCGCTTCAGTTAGTATGACAACTGATGGAGTGAAGATCAATGCTCAAGCTCCACTTCCAGCTATACCTGTCCCTGTCTCTCTCAAACTTCAGCCTATCGGCATAATGTTTAACAACGCTCAGCTGATGAGCATAAATATGTCTCCCGTAGCTGTCGGTCCTTCCGTGAACATGCTAAATCCAGACATTGCCGTCACAATGGGAGCTCCAGTCATCAAAGACATTGTCACCCAAGTGTCTGGTATCTTTAATGGAGTACCACTCACCGGTGCAGCAGTCGGTGTTAGCACTGCATTCGATCTCAATATAGCCGATGGTGCCTTCATGCTTCAAGGTGTCAACATTGCTAAGACTGTAGCATTGCCGACCATATCAATGGAGACTCTTGCCAATCTACAACCACCGGCTGTAGCAGGTGGCACCGCTACGAAACTCAATATCGGTCCAATCCTCAACGCGGTTGCAGTTGATAAATTCAACATTGCGCCCTTGACAGATGCAAAGGTCGCTCCATTTGAGCTTGCTATGAATATCGCAAATCCCATTCCATTTACCCTTGAAACCGGTACTGGTATTACTTTATCGGTCTCTGCTGCTGCCTTACCAGCATTCGACGTCACTCTCAATCAAATTGCTGTGAAACCTGGTCAAATGCCGATTGCCATCAGCGGTAATGTAATGGCGGGTAGTTTGTTACAGATAGCATCAACGATGGCTATGAATGTGATGGCAGCAAATGCGACACCAAACTTGATTACTTTCTACCTATCCAATGTCAAGTAAGTACTCTGTTTGACTAATCATTGTTTTCGCTGAAGTATTGTTGCAGTACATTAACGAATTGCTTTTGTTACTAGCTCTCCCGGTGTATGGCTGAACAGTCTTCTCAACAATGCTTGTCTGACCGTCGATCCAGCTATGTTCCCTAAGCCAAATCTCACCGGTATGGACTTTACTCCCATGGTTAAGGACGTAATGGCAATGGTGCCTCCACAGATCAAATCCAACATACAAAATGGGGTCAAGCAAGTCGTTGGTATGTTATGTTATATTGATGTAGCTCACTTGATGCACTCACTATTTTCATCAACAATCCAACTGATTTTGCTACAGAATATTCCGTCACCAACTTCCCGATTGACTTGAATAATCTACCAGTTATGAATATGGCCAATGCTGGTACTGCTGTCGCCATTCCTGCAGGAGTCTCTGCAGCTGCTGTTACGACGTCTGATGGAATTAAGATCACCGCTCAAGTTCCCCCTATGGGCATACCAGTCGCCGTTGGAGTCAACCTTCAGCCTTTGACTATAATGTATAATAATGCTCAGTTGATGAGCATCAACGTAGCTCCTGTAGCTGTTGGTCCAGATGTCGCGATGAGCCCAGATGTCGCTGTGACCATGGCTATTCCAGTACTCAAAGGTATACTCAATCAAGCTGCTGGAGTCATCAACGGACAAGCAATCACTGGTGCCTCTGTCGGTTTTAGTACTGCAGTCGATGTAAATATAGCAGATGGTGCCTTTATGTTGATGGGCATGAACATGGCTCGAACATTGGCATTGCCAACGATTCCAGCTTTGAATATCGCCAATCTGAATCTCCAGGGTGCCATGACCGGTGCCGCTCCTGCCCTTAGCAATCTTACCGTCGGCAATCCGTTTGCTGCTGCAGGAATGACGTTTGGTGCTACAGCTACACTCATGAATGCTATGCCGCTCACATTTGATATGGGTGGTGGTGCTGGTGCTACTGTCATGATTGCTGGAACACCAGCAGTTGATGCAGTTCTTCCACAGATTAAATTGGATCAAGGAGCGTCTCCCATAAATGTAAGTGGAGTGATTCATATTGGTAATACTGCTAATGGAGCACTCGTGGGCCTTGAAGCTCTTGTCGGAGCTGCAGCCGCCCCTATGGTGTCTGTTCAAGTGAACAACGTGCAAGGTATGATAAGTTTGTCCTCTGTTTCAACCTGCATTCTCAAAACACACGTCTTCATTCATCGTTTAGGTACTGCAACTTGGCTGAAAGACTCCTTGGATGGATTTACTGTCGACATTCCTGTTGCAAGCCTCGCCAATCAAGTCATCGCCGGTATGAAGAATATGGTAGCTACAGCTCAAAAGGCTCAGAAGGCTCAGGACGCTCGTGCACCGTTGACAGTTGCGGCATAGAATAGCTTTGTTTCTCTTTGTGGTGACTCAAGCAAACAAAATATGGGTTTGATATCTAGTTCTTCTCTATGTAGCTTCGAAATCAACAGTTTTACTCTCAAAATATAAAGTCGATTCTATCCCCCAAATGCTTCTTGTGTGTCTTCTGGTTGTATGTTTTCATATGGATTGACAACGGAAAAGAGGCAGT